CAACAACACCAGCAACAACACCAACAACAACACCAGCAACAACACCAACAACAACACCAGCAACAACACCAACAACAACACCAGCAACAACACCAGCAGCACTCCCAACCATCTCCATTCGGACTCAGCTCCTACAACAACCAGGGGTCTTTTGACACGAACCCTAGCGCCGCCAACTTTACCATCCCTGGCCTGGGCTTGCTGCCAACAACTCTCCACGAGAAGGCCATCTCTTCACCAGCCATCCAAAGCCAACAAGAATCAACTCCAACCTCGTCCCAACCACAAAGTAGGACTTCAACACCATGTCTCCCGGAGAATCTGCGCAGCAAGACTGCCGCTCCTAATATCAATGTCCCGGACGCATCGACCATCACCACCTGGCCAGCAGCGCTGAAACACGTCTCACGCCATCTCGTCCACAATGAGCAAGCGGCAAACAGAATCAAACACTTGATCAACGAACAGCATAAGCATGAGCGGCAGTGGTGGGCCGGACGTGAAGCGATTATTGCGAGGCGGCAGGGGAGATCCGGGACGTCACAGCAGGTCTCGGCGATATTGAAATCCCTTGGTGCAAAGGAAGTGGCACCCGCCTCCCCACCAACAGTTTCACTGTCAGATGAACAGCAGAAAGCGGACCAAGCAGAGTTAGATGCTTATGATAAGAAAGTCTATGCTGGTTTGTTGGCCATGACGGCAGATTTTGACAGGCAGTTGCGAGCTTTGGGTGTGCCATTTTATGCAATTAAGCATGAATTGGTGATTCTGGAAGATGGCCCTGAGAAACTGGCTGGTGCCAACAAGGGGAAGATTGACAAAGGAGAGTTGAGGGAGTTGCAGAAACGGATGTGTCAGACTTTAGAGGATTTGTTCGGGGACTGAAGGATGTTGAAAGGGGCGGGTAGGACCGGTGCGATGATATGTTCAGACTGCCAGTCATGTTTTGGTGTCATACCGGTACACGGCAGCCAGTTTGAAGTCTAGAAACACTCTATCCCCCTTCGAGTGTATCCCTTTGAGACGACTTGGTGGGCATGCAGAAACGGAAGATATTGTTCTTCAGGCACAAGGACAAAGCCGGCCACGGTAGCGCAGACGGTGTCAAGAACTCTCAAGAAACTGGAGACGATGAGAAGAGATCACATCTGGACGGGCTTGTCTGTGAAGAGATGTCGTTACCTGGCAGATTGCCGCCAATGCCTGGAGCCCAGACTACATCTCATCCTCAGCACGTGATGCGCACAATGGTGAAGTCGCTGATGGTCGTGGAAAGAAACATTGGTTGCCAATTTGCCAATTCTCAGATTCATCGCCGCACCCTCAACTTGCCTCCAACACTTCATCTCGCCTCCAAATCGTCCCAAATTGTCCTCACGCCCACGCCATCGCCTGCGTCAACCATGGGCGCCTTACTCCGCTACCTCACCACCACTGAGGGCTGCGATCTGGTCATAATCAGTCGCGGAGAGTTCTTCTTTGTCCACAAAGCCATCATCGCTGCGCACTGCCCGGTGTTGGAGGAGGACGCATGCAAGTCAACGGTAGCTTCTATCCACACCAGTGGGGTCTCTTTTCCTCTGTGTCCTAATAAGAAAACCAGTTCCTTGATGGTGAGGCCTACACTCTGGATGCCATCTCTCCAGATGTCTTACGCAAAGTCCTCACTTTTATGTACACTGGCGACATTCCTGAGACCTTCCAAAGCTCCCTCGCTGCTTCAGCCAAACTTCCTCTCAACGAAAAGTTTCCCGCGACTGACGCGTTCCTCGTCACTCTCACTGTCAACGCAAAGCCGACTACTGTCAACCTCAACGACGGTTCGTCAAAGGCGGTTGACACCATGACCAACTCCGATAAATGGGCAATCTTGATGGCAAAGCAGGCCTTGATGAAGGATCCCTATGATACGCTTCCATGCAAGAATTCGGACGAAGTCTTCCTTGAACTAAATATATACCTCGTGGCGAAACAGCTCGAGATCAATCCCTTGAAGAAGATCGCCATGCAAAAAATCGTTGCTTGGTTTGAGAACGAACTTGGTGCAGGATTGCCACTGTCCGAGGACTTCCATGCCTGGGCAGGTTGCATTCTCAGAGCGTACGAAGACTTCACAAAACCGTTTTTCGGTCTCTGTGCGGCGCACCTTCCTGTTGTGGAGAAAGACAGTGCTCTGACATCTTTGCTTGAGAAATGCAACCCAAATTTCTGGGAGATGATGATGTGCGTCCGTACCCAGTGGAAAAATGAACTCACGGAGCAGCGGCATGAGTTGCAAAAGAGCAAGGAGCAGATTGTGGATCTGAAGACTATCACTAAGCAGCAGATGGCTGCAGCGGCCGATCTCGAGAAGGCATATCAAACGAAAACGGAGTTTTTGGGGAAGTCGCTATCGCTGGCCGAGGGCAGGAGAGAGGCTGCACAAACAATGGTCCAACAGCTCGAAAACCTCACGCGATCCTTACAAGATGACCTGCTGAAAGAGAAGGCACATACACTGCGATTGAAGGAGAACAATGCCCAGAAACAGAAGAAGCTTCAGACAAATGACCCTTCCGTCCAAAAACTCCAGAAGGAAGTTGAGGATTTGAAGAGGTTGGTCATCAACAAAGAACAGGCGTTGGAACAATCGAAAGCGGCCAACCATAAAGTCAAGCAAGAGCTTCGGCAGGAGAGAGACCGGCTTCGCACTGAATTTGCGAAATTCAAGAAATAAGTCAATGGCACGGGAGGATGTGGCGGCTGTCGCAGGGGATACCACTTCCGCGTCGAGCAGGAACGACATGCATCAAGCCGCATTGCATCCAAGGTTTACAATAGCCGCCGGGTGTGGAGCGGGAAAGACAAACGAGTATGTGACCATATGAGGCAGGATGATATCGAAAGACATCAATAAGGCATCCCTCGGCTGTTTACAAGCCGATGCCAATCCTGTTTGGTCGAAAGGGGATGTGCAAGTGCGGAAGGTCCAGCTGGGAGAGTGTATGATTCAGGACAAGAGATGCCGCAATTCCACCTGGAGCTGATGAAGGCTTCATTTCACATGACAGTTGTCGTTTGCTGTTGTTTGAGGATACCCATGAGCTTCCCACATGAACCTTCTTTCCTCGATGATGAATGGCATAGAGCAAGTCGCAGTTGCCAGCGTCTGCACGCACCTGCTCTTTTGAACTTCATGGCTGCAGGGTACTCGGATTACGGCTTTCTCTTCGTTCACGTACATTGCCGACACGAGCCCTCGATCAGGCACGTCGTCTTCCAGCCATCTACCTCCAGTCTCCCTCTTCATGAGCACTGCCAGCATGGATGAAACGAGAGGTACCACCAGGCACATTGACACTTCTGCCCACTCTTCGTTCGCCCAGCCTAACGCTGCATCCTCCTCCGCTGAAGAAACGGCCGATTTACGCAGTCTTGCAACTCAAGCAGAAGCACTCTCGAGCAGTCTTAACAAGCTCCGCCTGCACTGTGGACACGAGAGCACCTCGTTGGATATCGCCAATGCCACCGAAGAACTCAAACTCCTTGTGGGGGAGCTCTACAGTCTCGATTCCGCAGTCAAAGCCAACAAGGAGCTATATACTGATGCCTTTGGCGAAGATCTAGGCGAGATTCGTGCCCATCTCGGGGGCATCTTCGAAGATATTGCCGATTGCTGTAAAGAGATGCAAAAGGCTGATGGGCCGAACACCAGTGCAGTGGGTTGGTTGACCAAGAAGAGATACGTTCGCAAGCTGCAGAAACACCTCGAAGTAAACAAGACGACTCTGATTGTCATGCGTACTGTCCTGCATCATGGCAAGGAATATGGCACCCACAAGTTAGTTTCATCCCCCCCATGAAGCAGCTGCGGATCTGACCTTCTCCAGTTCGCCCGGGCGCCTGGCCGAGTCCTCGCCGCACACCTTGCAAGAAGACCTTGCCATCCTCGAAACTGTGTTTGCCAGCAGGAACGCCATCAAGGACCTTCAAAGTCTTGCCAAAAAGCCTCATGACCACTCTTCTTCAACTTCGTCAACGGGAACCAGCGACACAATGCCATCATTCCAACCAGGTGCACATGGCCGAAACCTGTCCTCGGCAACAGGTGTCGATGTCCCAGTAATGGGAGACGTTCTTCCAGCCAGTATTGCGGATGGGAAAAAGAAGAAACAAGATGCACTAGCCCGAAGGTTCTCTCGCCGCGGTGTCCGCCTGGCCATTCACAGCTCCATCATGGACACTAACGCTCATGATGTTCCAATCTCTCTCCGGAAGAAATGGATTCACCAAGCTCAACTTCGACATGATTCTGACCATGCGGACGCCGGCAACCAGTCTATTGCGCAGCTGAGCAAGATCTCTGAAGTCAATTCCAGTTCTGGGCCGGATGAGGAACCGACGAAGTCAACCAGCCATACAAGCCTCACCACACCGGAGCATATGAAGGGCAGGGAGTCTGAGCGCGCTGGCAGCGCAGCTTCATCAACGTCGGATCCTTCTTCGAATGCCCCAAGGAGAAGCTCCTCACTGATAAATTCGCCCCTGGGCAGAAAGCTCGGAAACGCCATTGCTCGGCTTTCCCGCGGTAATAGCACCGACCAACGCGGTACAGTTGATGGAGACTGTGCTGAATCAACAGAGCAAGTGGATCAACACAAGAATGACAACTCGAAGCAAGCGGGCAAGGAAATGAAAGAAGCAACGGTGGTCAAGAAGGAAATGTCCGCAAAGGAGAAGCCAGGATGGTCGTATCGTTTGACAAGGCCATTCGTGAAGCCGGAGCTAACCACGCCTGATTTCGAACGCGGTTTCTGAGGGAAATCACCGGCAGGAGGGATGATTTTGCAAGGGCAGTTCTACAACAGAGAGGAAACTTCTGATGTCGGGAAGATATGTTATATGACTTTGCATCACTATTGGTCCAGCGGCGATTGAAAGAGAAGGGTCATGACCGATACTTGCTCGCTTATGGAGAGGCCAGAGAACGTATTTAAAAACTGTTCGGGGACGCAACATTGCTTGATATTACCTACAGTTAGTAGTGGATTGTGGGAGACGAGAGGCTCTCGCCATTCATAATAATACGCAGCTGTATTAGCTGGGTAGTATAGTACCTAAAACTTTGATAGCATTACAGTGTTTGAAAGTACGAGCCGGGGCGGAGGTGCTCTCTGGGTGTATCCAGTACTCTGGACGTGACGAGAGAACAAGGCTGAAGGCCTGCCAAGAACTCAGGGGCCGGTGTTTAACACTCGCACTCAGTACAAGGTACTTGGCACGGAGTTACTTACCTCCCTACATATCCAGCTCGCTAGGTATCGAGACCCCTCTCACCGCATCCGACGTGTCAGCCAGTCCGTCGGTCGGTCAAATAGAGGTCGTTTTCCTGGAGTCACCAATAGTATACCTACCCAATCAAGGACGCAACTACCGCTACCCCCAGCAAACTAACTTCAGTAGCGGGGGCCGCTTTTCCCGCAAGATATGGCCCGCGTGGGCCGTTTTGCATGTTTTCGTACGACACATTGTCGTTGTCCTCGGCTCTTCTCAGCAAACGAAGCAATCAATCAATCAATCAATCAATCTCCCTGCCGGCCAGGTGGGAGGGAGTGAATGAATGGACCTTGTTAGCAAAGATCTGGCCTCTTCTTTCTCTGGGGGCTTTTCGTTTTCGTTTCCCTGGAGCCTGGTGGAGGCTGATGAGTTGTATTTAACGAACGCTGGCTCCATGGCTTTGAAGTATTGTACACCGGAGGGCGACGTACTTGCTCGTTTACTTGCTGACCTACTTACATATATACAAACATATATAAGTATTCCTTGAAATTTCAGACATAGAGACACTACGTCGATCTATCCAGCGTCGACCGACTCTATCTTTTCTCAGCGCTTACGCCTCCCCCCTCCTCCCAAAAAAGCGAACCATCTATTGCAGCTGCGGGAAAAACCAAACAATGTTACGTCGATTTCTCTCTTTCCGGCTCGCAAAACCTAGACCGGAAGCAGCTCCTCGTATCATCGACGTGTCGCGCCTCCGCATCGATGGTTTCGCGATGTGTAGCCATGGCCTTGACGACGACGGCGTGGATGATGAGGACGATGGTGATTGGTCAATTGTGTCTAATGATGACGATGATGACGATGACTACCTCCGCGGCGCTAGGTATGGTGGCATCGATGGCACCCGTGGGTGGGAGATTGTCAAGCGTCAAGAAATAGAATGTGAACTGCTGCAAGCGGAGAGATCTACGGACGCGGATGCGCACGCGGACTTGCATGGCCCCTACGAGGACGAGGACGAGGATAAGGAGGAGGTACTGCCGCAGATTCAGCCGCAGGACGGAAAAGGGCTCTTGGCCACTTCCCGAGAAGATAGTCCTCTCGACAATGAGAGCCGTCTGTCACCGGAACGGAGACCAAGGCTGCGGCTGGCGCCAGGCTTCGAGGGGCAACTTTCTCGGTGAGATGAGTCCTAATGCGTTCGGGGCTTCACGGCGGTCAGAATGTCATGACGGCCCGCTGCGGATAAAGTTGAATTCATCACTTTGCCGTAGACCGATGACGCCTGCCTGTGACATGCTCTCTATCGTGTCGTTTCAACCTTCGTTTGCAGGACATACAAACCCCGAGTCAGCTAGAATGACGGAAATGAGAAGGTGGACAGGGATAGGGCATACCTATGCGAACAGGGATATTCCTCCAGATCTAGAGCGAGAGAAATCTTCCCGGCTATCTCACACTGCCATATTTCGAAACTCAACACTTGGCGACATACCTTGACTCCAAGAACTGCTACAGCAGCCGATCAGCCGTGTTCGGAAACATGAATGATTTCCCGCCATGGTAGCAGTAGCAGCAGTAGCAGCAGCAGCAGCAGCAGCAGCAGCAGGTGGCAGGATAAAAATGTATGACGTCTTTCGGCAGCTGGGCGAAGAAGCTGCCAAACTGTCCTCTGCGTCCGAATCGGTGCTGGGTCTGATCAGGGGCATAACCAACAGAGCGCTCGACGGTCTTGTAGAGGCACCCAGAAACCACCAGAAGCAATCCACGCGATCGGCCAATGACAACAGTCTCATCGAGGTCGAGGTCTCACATGTCGGGCGTCCATATGACAACGACGACAACGACGACAACGACGACGGGGACTGGCAGGTCGTCTCCGTCTCCGAGAAAATCGATGCACAGATCGCAGCAAAGCCGACAATTCCGCTGGAAGATGACTGGATAGTCTGCAGCTTAGACAAAGACGGTTCCGTCTCTGTGATCAACCTTCAGGAGCCACCAACACAGCGCCCGGGGGCAGCACCACATCCTATACCATCCCCGGCCACGTCTGCTGACCTGTGGCGGTCGATCCAGGTCGATCTGTGCCAGGCCAACCCTCCGATGCACACTGCAGCCAAGCTGACGGCATATATCTGCCTTCGTGACAAGGAGACACGGCTTGCTGAGCAAAAATTCTGAGGGCAGATCGACAATGACGACACGGACAGGAGTCGGAGCTTCAGGGCTTCCGATGCCAATAGAAAAGATGATGAGAATGGTGATCCTGACATTGGCGACCATATCGATTGCCAGGAACAGGATGATGATCATAGACATAACGTCCAGAAGCTCTCCACATTACCATTCAGCATCTCTTCGGAGAGAAATTCTTCAACGTGCCGCTGTAGTCGATTGTAAGTTCCTGTTTGCAATGTCGCTGGCCGGCATCGAGAGATGCTGGAGACCACATCTTACAATACCTTTCAAAGTTCCACCAATGCTGTCTATGTTCACTGTGATTGACTGACACCTGCCACGCAAACCGAGGACAATGCAGCCGTGACCAGATAAGAGAGTGGAAAATCCCAGTGACTGACCAAATTGCCCCTTCAAACGAAGGGACAAATCACGGAAATGGTGGTATTTCTTGGTCTTCCGTTTGATCCTGAATGTTTTTGGATGGCAGTGGAGTCGATACAAACGCAGGCGGCGATTTTTAAGAGCGTCTCCGCTCACCTCTCTTGGCCTTTCTCCCGTTATATCTAGTATAAGTGGGAAAAAACTTACTCGTGTTCAAAACGACCTTTTTCAAAGGCAATACTCCGGAAGATTGACCAGACTGCCTGAGCAAGCTCAGCAGAATCAAGCCTGGATACCCGTATCTTCTCCTCGTCAACGACACACCGCCACGGGCGATTCGAACTCAAGCACACAGACACCGTCTCCCTTCCCGACTGGATCTCGGGCCCAACCATGAACTTGGCGAACAAGATGTCCGGCCTCGACATGAATCTTTATAATGCCGAAGATGACGGGCCATGCCCGTCTGACTTCGACAAGATAGATGCTCCCGGTGGTCCTCCACACCCGCCGTCACGGCTTGGCCACGAAACATTCGACGTGGAAGATGAGCCTGGCGCAGGAGTCGAGAATGTTGGTGCAGGTAGTGATGGCGAATGGGAAGTTGTGCCGCAAGATCCCGACTGGGACATGGTTCCCCACGACAAGGCCCTCCATTCACGGAAGACCTTTGAACGAGAGGCGCCGCCAAGCGCAGATTGGGTCGTGTGTGAGAAGGGAAGGAATGGGGAAGTGCAAATGTTCGAGGGGTCCCTGTCGAAACACACAGATGTATCGTCAGCGTCGACCGAGAACTGCGATCAGAAGTCGGTCTGTCTTGCTGAGTTCCACGAGGGCGCCACCACGCCAACTGAGATGCGATTGTCTGCAGAATCCGATCCAGAGGATGCATCCCACATAGCACGAGAAAGGAAGTCTGACCCCCTACTTTTAGAAAGCCAAACACTGCCGTCGAGTCAAGCCTCATCCGGTCTGGTCCTGTCGAATCAGGCACCGTCGAGACGGTCTTATGAGCGACTTCGTCCTGAGAAGAAAGTCCGGTCACGCCAGTTGCAATCGACTCCGGCGCGAGCTGAGGCTCGAAAAGATGGCAGCGGGAATGCACCGCAATCAGTCCCGATCCGCATTTCGACCGGTCACGTCGCCAGACCGAATCCCAACCATAATCCCAACAAGAACCGACCATTTTCAGCCGATGAAAAAGAGCTGCCATTCCTAGCTCCAAAAGCAACCCCCGCCGCTGCCCAGGATTCCAGACGACAAAGGCATCGTCAAATAGCCGACCAGCTGCGGACGCAGGCTGACCAGGAGCACGTCGCGCTTATGGCCGGGCAGCAGAGGATGGACGAGAGGTTGCAGCGCACGGAATGTGCTCTGCCTAATCGGTACGGCCTCCCTCATGAATGGTCTCCACACTTTGATTAGTCCTTTCAGGTGCGTGAGTCGATTTTTTCGTGCTTGAGCGGGGAATGTGACTGGAAACGAGGTAGCAGGAGGCTTGTGGCTTGTGGCTTATGGCTTGTTACTGCTGAGGACATCTGATGGAGCTCCAGGGCGATCGAGCGCAGAACCGAACATTAGACACTGAATAGAGGTTGCATATACGCAGAGGACTTGTCCATCTTCCTAGAACGCCGGATATCAGCCAGCATCTATTCTGACATATTCAGCTTGCTCGCATGAAACGAGACAATGGGAAGAAGTGACAACATGACACAGAACATCTCTTCCTCCTTTCTTCATTAACATCTAATTCTCATTATTTTGGATTCTTTCTTTTCGGACTGATATCCTGCATGAGAGTGTACATGAGTCGTAAAACGCTGGGTTATGCCGGGTGTACCAGAGGCGCCCAGTCCAGGCACACCGCAGTATCTATCCACATATTAACACAGGTGACAGACCAAAAAAAAAAAAAAAGAAAACCCTTTTCAGTCCAAAGAAAAGCCTCCCATAGGATGGCTGGTCCAATAAGGTTCCACTATATCGAGAAGGAGAGGACGAGGACATCACCACATGCCATAGTTCTGTCCTGGGAACGGGCCGCAAACGCCACCGGCCATGGTTTGCGGCGGCCCAACGTCGACATAGCCGCCCGCGGCCGGCAAGACGATCACGGCTCCGTCCACGCCAAAGAAGGCACAGGACGCGCCCGCCGAGGTCTGGATGTGCGAGATGCTCAGCGGGTTGTCGGTGGGGAACCATTCGCTATTCGCGGGGATTTGCAGCGTGTATTGGGCGTCTGCCGCCCCGATGAAGGTCGCCGATACTGTTGTGGACGTTTGGCGCTTCTCGATGGGAGTGGCGCTGGCGAGAGAGGCGGCGAGGGGGAGCAGGGACAGGAGTGCTGTTGTGAAGGAAACCATTGCAACGACGAGTTTGGTATGCAATAGGTATGTAGATAGATGTGGATTGGGGTTGGGCTTTGTTTATGGGAGTTTTCAGATGTAGATGCTCTGTTTGTTGAGGCTGATGATGATGAAGACGATGGTGCTGCTGGGTTCAAGAACACAACACACTTACCTGGGAACCCCTTGGGCAGTCATATCTACCTTTCCGGCCATCTGGCAACTCAGACCGTCTGTTCAAGAGTGGCTGATTTTTCGATATCCCAGAGTTGCGAGAGTGCGAGGGAGAAGGGCCGCTAGGCCTAGAAAGAAGGAATTGGGGCGGAGGTGGCTCGCTAGGGCGTTTCGCTTGCAGCCAGATGAAGGCCATAGCGGCCACGGGTAATATGACAGTCTGTCGATAAGCGCGCTCGGATCTGACTGGCGGCACGAGACAGCGAGAGGCGCAGCCTCAGGTGATGACCACAATCTGAGTGTGTTCGAGTTCGTGGGTGTGTGAGCTGCGAAGATATTTCGAGGGGGGCGGAATTGGTGCGGATCATGGAATCCCTGGGATTTGGGTGAATTGGGCCTCGAACCAGAAACCACAAACATTAGTGGCCAGCCTTACGACCGCCGTGTCTATTTTCGCATCCATGTCCCACGGTGATGGGAAGAGGCGTTGTGGGTTGGATGTATCCCTTCAGCCTCACTAGCCTGATCATTCTGGTGTGCTAGGGACGAGAGAAAATGTGCTCGGCCTTGCTCAGGCGGCATTTGAGGCGGGCATATTACATGTGCTCCCGGGTGAAGACGAAAATGGGTGATATTCTGCCACTGTGCTTGACGACGAGAGGGTGCTGGGATGTAACTACTTGCAAAGAAAATGATAACCTTTAGTGGAAGTGAAGCTGTCTCTATCCTAATAACAGCTACCACGGACTTCGCGGTCGAGGCAGCCGCTGAGCCAGAATGTGCCGCTTTTCCTTCTGGCCGGGGCCGGCTCGCCCTGGCATCTTATCTGGAACCGAAATATTTATGAGATGTCTGAGGCAACGGGGCCCTTGACCTGTCGGGGCCCTTGATAGAACACGCGAAGCTGACAACGTCGGCTCCCACGATCAACTCGCACAGTGGATACCACAGAGTGACCATCCATCAGAACCCCGATTTGAGCCGTGTCCCTGGTTGTCAGACTGTGCTTCACGCAGGCGACTGGTATCGTCGAAGATGGCATTGGCTATCCTTATATAGGAACGACCGGCCATGATGCGACACCTCTGCCTCTCATAAAAATGGATGCTTAGCATTTTCTGTCATGGATGAGGGCCTGTCTGTCCAGCGATGCAGCAACACACTTTGTTGAACGATTTGTCGAATTCCGAAGATTGTGTATCCAGAAACATTGTGGCCAAGTTGCAGGTTGGTTCACGGACGTCAGAACCAGATATTCGTCGGTGCTCGCGTGAGTAGTCGCTTCCCCCGAATCATTTCTGCAACAGATTCTGCGGACATACAAGGACAGTTGAAGGTCAGCCGGAGGCTTCCTGAAACTCCCCCAACTGTGTTTGAGAGGTGGACAGAAGGTCAATCCCTCTTGCCCAAATTGCTGGTGTATCCCCCGTACCCTCCGTAGCCGGAGCTCCTTGCTATGCCATTTCCGACGTTGCCACCGAGGATCCCGTTACCATATATCCCACTTCTCCCACTCTTCCTCCTTTCGTAAACGAGCATTGCCATCGCTCCCACGCCAGCACTGGCAGCTAAAGCGAAGAAGCTCAACAATGAAAACCCTATGCTGTGATCCGTGACCTTGAGGACAGGCCGCCCAATCATGCCGGGTAAGACTGCACCGTCTATCCAGCCGACATTGAAAGACAGGACCAATGGCTCATTGCGAACAATTTTGGCACCCCCACTAGGAGCGGAGGATGAAGTATTAGGGAGGGAATATGCAGTAGAAGCAATTAGGTATGATTGCTGCGAGGAAGCTGTTGCCGAATCCGGGTCCTGGGACATGTGGAAGAGGGCATTGATGTTCGTGTGTAGATGTAGATGGCTTAGTTGTAGAGTTCCCTGTAATGCAATCGTAAAGGGAGTCCAGAGGGCCTTGTCCGCTCCCATCCCGCTGGATTCAGGGAGTGACGGTATAATTCCAAGCTCTTCTTGCGTCAAGGGAAAGGAGGGGACGCGACAGGTCAGTGGTACATCGCTGTGGACAAAGAACTCAAGGAGGTGATAGAGTTCGTCGGGCAAGGAATCGATCGTGCAGGTCTGCGTTTGGGGCTCGTTGTACTTGAATGACAAGGGTTGACCGGTCTCGTTGCACGTAGGAAACGGTATATATTGTAGATTCCCATGGTCATCAGTGATCTAGTTGCATCTCCCCATAAGTATCCATGGACGGGACGATAGAAGCCACGGTTGCCGCTTGAGGAATCGTAGCACCCATCTTTTTCGTGGTCAATACAACTCACATGCTCGCCAGTATCGCTGCAGTCGTAAGTAGCAGTACAACTAGCCCATGGTTCAACACTCACATTGTTCTGTTCAGGCAGCTGACCGGTATCAGCTCCCCCTTGGAGTAGCCTCTGCGTTTGGGGGCTCCGTTCAGCAACGTCGACTCGTCGGCGGCGCTTACCGAAGCGGACAGGGATAAGTAGAACACAAAGAGGGCATTCAGGGACACAGATACATAACGCAACATGGTTGAGGTCCGCCCGCGCTCATCAAAGCAATGTAAACTGGTCAACGAGTTAAGATCTCGGAGTGAACTTTCGAGGCGCAGTTGTACACCGATCTTACTAGTCCGTGTTGTCCGTGTCAACCTGCCATTTTCGCGATTGAAGGCGCCAAAAGCGGGCCGAACCGAAGCAGCCAATGCCGGTGACGTCACCCACAATCCACAGTACCACATTGAAGGCCGCGCAACCGCGGCGATAGTTTCCGGGCAACCTGAGAAACTACTATCACCGTTCGTCCATGCCATCTAGGTATTCCTTCGGTCGCTTGGAACGGGAACCCTCTTTTACACCATTCGAAACTTCTTTTTTTCTGGCTTGGGATGTCGAGCAATATTCTCACGCAATGAGACAATGTGTTGGTTCGAAAATCAAAGATCTAAGGAGAGGGGATAAAGACAGTTACTGTCGGATTCTCTATGGATTGTTCAGCCTCGATGGAAGAACCATCGAATATCAAGATTCTCTACTCAGTCAACTCGCTGAGGAATCGTCAGTGATCGACCTGGGGTTCGCTTGATGGGCCACGCGACCATCTGCAGCAGTGAGCTAGTTGAGATAGGCTAGTGTTTGTGGTTTGACTGAAGGCCCTGAAGACGACATCTCTTTTTGGAGCAGAGCTATCGGAGTGGTAGAGACAAGTTTTCAGAAACTGATAAGACTGCTGGCAAGACTTTTGATGGTGGGTTGATTTCATGCTCAAATTCGCTCTCTAGGTAGCATCACAACCCACTGGTGATATCTGACCACCCACGCTTTCTAGATCCGACAAGCTCTTCGACATGCCCTTCATGTCTAGCTCGAAGCTCCTGTGCTCTTGGCTGTCTTTGTTTCGGCATGATCGTGAAGGATGTGCTTTGGGTTGCTCGTAAGGTTGGCCGTTTGGTCGTCTTTGCCTTCATTCTTGCTCTGAGAGTTGTCGAGCTGCTCCACACAGTCAGTAATGCTATCAAGGTGGGATGGTTTTGTCTTCAGGAACGGTGATGTAGCCTAAGCTTGGTCACCAAACGGCAGAGGCAAGGGAGCGTACCTTTCCGCTACCCGGCTGGGAAGGGTGATCTTGCTGTTGAGCACCAGTCTGGCGTTCGGGGTCCGGTGACTGACGACCTTGGTTTGGTGCAGACATTGTGGAGGAGAGGCAGAGAATTCACTAACGCTCTGTGTGCAGCGTGAGCAATAGGCTCGAACAAGCAGACAAGCAGCAACGAGCATTGAAGTCATAGGACGACTTACTGGGTCTTGAGGTGAATGGTTGTGAGGTGTTGGATGGTCAATGGTTGGGAGGAGGCCTGAGGTTTCTCAAGAAGAAATGTCCGTAAAATAAATAGGAAACGGTTCAAGTGAGAAGGGACAAGGAAGAGAGCGATTCGGCATACTTCGTCACCCCGCTGAGCATCCCTGGTAATCACGATTGATGATCCCACCGCCAACTATGACGTGTGGAGGTTACGAAAACGCTGGGCAGCCCAAGCAGCCACGAACCATGTCACGGCTGCTGTGAACCTTTTCAAGGCCACGAAGTGAAGTTCCCCGTGTGCTGCCAGGATCAATCCTGCATCTCGCCATGTGAGATTTGGCACATAATCTCGCATTGTCTCGGTCGAGGGGGTGATATGTATCTAGTATATATGTGGACTAACAACCCGTGAAATGAATGGACAGACTGGCCACTCGCTGCTCCTAGGCGCTCTCCCAAGAAACAAAGCGGAATTTCCACCGTTGCCTCTAGTTTGCCCATTCCTCAGACATGTTAAACAACTTGACCGACTCCAGCAAAGTCTAGATCGCCACTCAATCAGTGTCGCAAACAGCCACCCTCCTTTTGTCAGCGCCGTGCCCTTCGGGCTTTGATCACCCAGACATCCGCTCTCATGTTCGCAAAGCACATCTGTAAATCTATTTCGCCCATCTGAGGCTCGGACTGGCGATGCCGAATGTGGCCAGAAGGTTGGCTTTGCAGCTGGGACAGCTCCGATTCTTGTCCTGGCGGATTTGAAGCTGGATGTAGTTCGGGCACCGGCGACCAGCCTGATACTTGCACCCTGTCTTGTCCAACTGGTAGGATTCGTAGTGACCGCACCTCAGGCTGACCAGGCGCTCGAAGCACATGTTGGTGGGTTGTCTCGTCCAGATCCGGCTGCTGCGCTGAAGGCGTTAATCTGTGCCTCATGGTGAAAAAGAGCGGCGCGCTCGCACTCACGTACCTCTGATCGTTTAAATATTTATGTATCCAATGTAGCGTTGTGCTGCTCAATTCTGCCACTGTGGGCGGTGCAGGCGATCGGCCCAGTTATCCAGGCTCTCCGCAGGCCTCACAGAAGCGATCAGTTGAGATGGTGGAAGGCTTGTTCATACTCTGGGAAATGATGGAAAGAGAGAATAGACGATGATAGAAGAAGCTATCGTCCGGGACGACAGCGACGTGGTTGAATAAAAGGAAGGGGGACAGCGAGGACAAGAGTCATTCAAGGTGGGCAGGGTAAATTAAAGCTGCTCAGGTGGTTTGGGGCGCAGGCAAAGATTTGTTCTCTCGGGAGGGTGGGAGTGTGGTCACTCCCGGCCAGCTGGCGAGCTGGCTAGCGGTTTGGTCTCGGACCACCTGTACGCAACTGCATTGCGTTGCACGCGGTCAGGTGGGCTAATTCTGTACCCATTACCACTCGGTGGCCACACTCTTGGTTATCTCGCTTTGTCCTCACCAGCCCACAAACGGGTGTTGTTGGCACGCGACATGCGAAACATAATTACAGTGCCATGGCTCGATCTCGCAACTGTTGAAATAGAGGACCGGCTCACACGTCGTCTCCTCGAAAATGCCAAACTGGCCAAACTAATCCAGCTACTGCGGCAACTACACGATACTGCTTCAAGCACCCTAAGCAGACCTCCATCAAACCTAATAACGGTCAAATCACTGAGACTCCGCCCTCAAACAATACCGCCTTGAATGATAGCCCTAATTCCCCCCTTACACAGAACCAGGCGGCAATTGTTGCCCGCTGGCCTGAGCAGCCTCCTTCGCTTCCGTGGTTGCTTCAGTGCTGCCCTTTGCACAGTTTGCACAGGCACAGTGACCAGGAGGGCAGGGGCATTTGGCCTCGGAGCCCCCACACACGCAAACCGTCTTGTCAGTGCCCTTGACTGGCTCTGGCTGGATGGCTCCGACATCGCTCTTTGCGCACCTAGCACAGCTACAATAACCTGGAGCACATCCACAGACACCCTCCTCGCCACCACACTTGCAGACCGTCTTGTCTGTTCCTGGGACAGGCTCTGGTTCGTAGTGCTTGCCAGCCTTAAGATCTGCCAATCTGCGAGCCTCGTTGTGAACATCTCTAACTTGCTTGTCTCCTTGCATGTAAAACTGTCTGATTCTCTGCCCGGTGGGGGTGCCCAGTGCCTTCTCAAAATATGTGTGGACACCACCCCAGGCACTCATCGCCTTGTCACTCACACCATACTTAGTATCCATAGACTTGGCGGTGTCGGTTGCCTTGTACTTCTGGTCAAAGTTGGCCAAGGCGTTGGTGAACCGGTGGCTGAAGCCGTGCTTCTGGTCCAATGCAATTGCTCTTGAGATCACCTGGTCTGAGAGATGGTAGCCTTGAGCCAGGTATTCGGCGACAATTCTTGAACGAGGTTTATCTTCTTGTGCAATGTGCTCTTCGCCAGCGGCGGACGAGACAGCAGCGCCAGCTTTGGAGGCGACCTCATCGATGGTACTGGCCGCAGACACCTGAACTTGGGATTTTCCAAGCTGAGTGCTGTCGAGAAGGAGGGCGGTCTTAGCGGCTCTATGCGAACATTGTTAAACTTGTGGTCAAAAGGTCCTCGGTATATGAAGGACTTACGTTTCCTTCTCGAATGTCACCGTGGCAGATTTCGAGGCATCTGGGGCGTCGGACTCTGGTGTCACAGAGATTGAGGTTATCTTGCCACTAGAAACAGGTCAACGTCGTGTATTTCTTGTGGGTGTGTCCAACAACTCACCAGAAGCTGAAAAAGTCCTTGACCTCCTTTTCGCCGGTGTCATGAGAGATACCCTTAACATGGACGGTGGTCGACATCGTGGCGGGGTTGTGTGCAAAATGAGACTTTGTTCGGGGATAAGTTTAGAAACAGTTATTGAGTTACAGATGCGTTTCTCGCGAAGAAAATCAAGAGCATACGATGGTTCTTTTATGGCGTGAGGAGATCAATTGCAGAGACTGCGGGATGCCCGCGATGGATTGATGAATTGAAGGATCGATCATACGTCACTCACTTCCACGTCGACATTTCCCCCCCTCGCCCCCTCCCGTCACTCCTGCCTGCCTGCGCCACATCAAACCACACCAACCCACGCCGCCACCACAACTAGTGAAGCCCACCAGCCTCAACATAATGACGACGGCACTACGGTTCGGTTCTCAGTGCAGTCAGGCAACAACAAACCGCTGGTGCCACATGAATGCGGATCTCTCAACTGATGGAATGTCCATCCGGCGAGCCGGGCTATGCGGGCAAACCCATGAATATCATTGCTAGGCCTAGCTCCACGCTGTCTGCGAATCCCAATCCTTGTCAAGAACTCCTCCATGCCTAACTTTAGCCGCCGTCACAGAACGCCCCCAATGTCCGCTCCAATATCAGTCCCCGAGCAAGAAAACTCGGTCTGTCTCGAAAAGCGAAGCAGAACCGTTCCAGGCGCCGACGCAACAGCGGATACGTGACTTGATGACTGCCCTCTAATAGTTGACTGCGGCCGTGGTATCACTTCGGCGCCTACAACCAACGTTAGATTATGATCAAATGATGAGGGCCGCCAAAGGATCAAATGGCGTCTGGGGGGTCTCCTTTGCCTTAGAAGTGGTCTTGGTCGCCTTCGTCGACTTGGGCTTAGCCTTGGATGAAGTCTTGCTTGGGCCTTTGGTGGACTTCGGGTTCCTAGTCGTGGTGTCGGCAGCCACGGTGGTTGCTCTTCCAATAACGGAGATTTGGGCACATTGTTGCATGTTCACTCCCTGGCCAGCTCGTCAGATATCAGAGGAATAAGTATGAACAAGATCCAGAATGTGGACCGAAAGGCATAGGGACTCACTGGAGGGCAGCAGCGATTGGCAGCGACACCTGTGCCGCAGGTATAGCCTGCTGGACAGATTCCTATTCCATCACTGAATCAGTCTTCGCACTTCGAGACACGAGGTGGAGATGGGAGTCGTACCACTTCCATCTTGGCAGCAGGTATCCTTTTTGGCGTAACAGTACGCTCCATTAAACGCATCGCAAAGGCTTGACCCGTCCGGGCAAATCGACCAGTTCTGCACGTCATCCGCAGAAACGAGGGCGGAAAGAAATAGTGTGAATATGGCTAATATGAGCTTCATCTTTGCGGAGAGATGGTTGGATCTGTCGAGTCAAAATAAGGCTGCAGTGAAGTATATCCTCCGATCCCGGCTTCTCCAAGGGCAGCAGACCATATAAATACTCATATCCTGTCCTCAGGCCCGGACAATGAATCTACACCGGAGAAAGACAGGAGAACAACGTAATCAGCATGGTTGCAGGCGTTCGTCGACTGGGAAGTGGCAGAGAGGTCCGGATGAGAGCCTCAATAGAGGTGCAAACAAAGAAAATATGGGTCGTCGCAGGTTGAGCACGGCCATCTTGGGTTGGTACCGTTCTATGTCGCTAATAAACAAAGGCAATAAATACTGGTCTTGATGGTCAACAAGTGCACCCTTTGTTGAGGGCGTTGAATCAGCAGTGTATAAAGACGAAACAGAGCGTCTTGCGTAAGTGGGAAACGGGCAATGAAGCACAGCACTAGGGGTGTGCCCTCTGGTCAAACCGCGAGGCTGTGACCCAGGAATGCCTTGATGTGGCAGGAAATGGTCCGTGCGGCTTGAAACTTGTCGCCGTTGTATGCCAGCAGGACATTCTGAGACTGGGCCAGGTTGCTCCTCGCCTCATACACGATGCATTTGGCGATTCCCATTCCTTGCCTCGACCCAAATCTTTCGAAATACGTGTTGTTCTGATATGTGATCAGCTGAGGAGTGCAACATTTGGACGGGCGGACCATCTTCACCGCGCCCAGATCGGTTCTCTGTCCTCTGCGCCTTGAGGTGCAAAGCATTCGGCCATCCGGCGCGCCTGCCTATGAGATTGTACCTTTGCGATTAGATGTTTGTGGCGAATGGATTGGTACTCCATCTTCAGAGACTTAAGTGGATACCGAGTACAGAGGCTCCACAGTGATCGAATACATACATACTGTACCATCAAGCCATGATTAGCCTATGGGACGCTTTAGCGCCTTGGCATACATCTATTGACATTCCATTGCTGTACCCAGTACAGACCGCCATTCGCCCTGGTGTGCCAGTCACCGGTTCGCCTATGGTATACCTCGGGAGTGGGCTCGGGAATGGCAGGTATTTCGTCTATATTGTCTCTATTTGTCAACGTGGTGTTGACTTTCGGATCGGAAACCACGAAATTCATAAATACATTGCTAGATTCAACATATCCTATAACACGTCCGGACCGCGTCCTTCATAAATACAACACAACGCCGATAGCCAATGTCACCGATCAGCAATGATGCTCTCCTTAATAATCGCCATCGCCACCTCCACCGTGCCATTCCCCGCCGTGGTGATGACCATTGCCATCATGGCCTCCATCGTGCCATTGCCCATCGTGTTGCTGACCACTGTCATCACCACCTTCATCGTGCCATTGTCCGCCATGGTGATGACCACTGTCATAATCACCTCCATCATGCCATTGGCCCTCACCGTGGTGATGACCGCTGCCATCGTCACCTCCATCGTGCCATTGCCCGTCGTGCTGCCCGTTGTTGCCATCATCCCAAGACTGCTCGGGGTCGTAATCGTGATCCTGGTAGTCATCATTGCCGCCGGGATACTCGTCATTTTCCCCTGTCCCGTCATGCTCATGGTCATACTGGTCATCATGTTCTCCGCCAGAATATTCAGGGTTATCTGCATTGTCAAAGTTGTCGCCATAATTCTCGTTCTCATTCTCGTCCTCGCCCTCATCATCATCATCATCATCATCATCATCATCATCATTAGGGTCGCTATCCATGCCTTCAGGACGGGGAACTCCAAAGATGTGCTCCGACATTTTGGGCTTGTGCTCACTATAGTCGACGCCTTCGTGGCCGTAGAAGCGGTTGAAGAGGGAGGCAGAGTGATCGCGATGTAGATTCAATGCGCGTTCATTTTCTGGGTCAATTTGCAGGATTTTGAAGCAAACCATGGTTATATCCGCCGTGTGATGGTGGAGCTTTGGTTGTTGAACCTCATCCGGCTCTACTGGACGCATCAGACTTGACCGGCGGTGTCAATGCCACAACACAGCATAGCTTACCGTCGGAATAGTACGTCGTTTCATACTTTTTCTCGAGCTTGTCAAGCTTGTGCTCGAGCTCCTGCAATTTACCGTCAAGGTCCTGCTCTCCATCCTCGCCATTTTGCGCCATTCCCCCTTCATTGTAGAAGTCGCCGTACCCTTGGTCTTCTCCTTGACCGAACCCGTTGTGCGCGTGATCTTCTCCTTGGCCAAATTCGTTATGTCCATAATCTATTCCTTGACCGAAACCGTTGTGCGTTGGGTCTTCTCCTTGGTCAAATTGGGTCTGCGCTGGATATCCTTCTTGGGTGAATCCATTCTGCGCTGGATGTCCTTCTTGGGTGAATCCATTCTGCGCTGGATGTCCTTCTTGGGTGAATCCATTCTGCGCTGGATGCCCTTCTTGGATGAGTCCATTTTGCGCTGGATATCCTTCTTCGGCGAATCCATTCTGTGCTGGGTCTCCTCCATTGCCGAAGGGGTGTCCAGCATGTTGGAAATCGCCATGTCCTTGGCCCTCTCCAGGGTAATGTCCGCCGTAGTCGCCTCCCTCCATAGTTTGAACGTCAACAGTATTCATAAATGCAAGAGATGCTTGGGAAAAGAGTGTGATGGATCAAGAACCTTGGGCTGGAAGGGAATTGTCCACGGACTGCGAAGAAATATCTGGACGAGCACCGCCCCCGTAAGTCACGCTTACACATACATGTTGGACGGTGCTAGCCTCGGTGGGCGGCCCCAGTCCCGCCGGGTTTTATATAACTCTTCGGACAGTGACTTCTAGATCCCATGTGCTCTTGAAATGCAACTTCAAGCCGGAGCGCCAAGGATAAGCTATAAGCAATGGTGGTGAGGTTAGTATATCAGTCAACACGACCGGGTCCACTATTTAGACTACGTTACTTGAAGTTGGCCCCATCACTTGAAGTGCCCGTAATCCTCATGTTGTTTCATTGGGAACGAATGGTACTGACTTGAGGGATGATTCTGAGTATTAGTTGTAATAATAAAAATAGTTTCAACGGTTAACTTACTTAGAACCAACTAATCAGTGGGTCTTACACACTTAGAGTTTAAGCTTAGGGGCTTGGCTTCTTCTATTAGTTGTACTACTTGTAGACATTTCAGCAACACAAAGGATAGTCTATTTGTATTAGGTTAAAGAAAGGCCCGATACCTACCTAGGCAGGATCTGGTAGGATTTTTGTTCGGTCCGGGCTCGGACACAGGCTTGAAGTATTCTGATCCTGCAGATTCGGACACCTCGAGGAGGAAGTGCACATGGTCCAGATTGGGCCAAGGGCATCAGATCAGCGGTTTCAACTCGTGATGGTGGGACATTTTTGGGTCAGCGCTATCACTAAGTAAGGAGATCTAGGTCTTCGGCTTGAAGCTTGAACCGCCCGAACACATCTTGATATGGTACTCGCTAGTCATGCTGATGGCCGCTACTAACCACCTTCTCTTGCCCCTCATAAATACGAGTACATCAGCATCGGATAGACAGTTGTAACGGGGTCCGACCAGAGGGATTGGGTGCTTTGGCCAATTTTGGATTGCTGACAGTGTTACAATTCGAATGATTAGGAGGTAATGTACATCATCATGGAAGATGGGGGCTGAATCCAATTTACCCACCATGATTGATTACAAGACTCAGTCCACCCTTTTGACGACCCTCGTGAGGAGCGCGTATGTCGAAGTCCAGCTGTCCTTCATGGATTATAAGACGCCACTCCCTGCGATAAGGCCGACGCACTCAAAAGCTCTAGATCAACTGAAATCCAACGTTCCTCAGACAGAACAGCGGTAGCGATGGCTGCTGCTCCTCACCCGGGCGGTGCGCCCGGACCAGGTCCCCCTCAGCCTATAGTGCTCCCTCATGGTGCAGCGCCCGCAGCGCCCGCTCCTTCTCGAAGGCATCTCATCTTCTGTGATGGGACTGGTGAAAATGCAGCGGACGTAGGACCATCAAGTAATCTGGCGAGGCTGGCCCTTTCTATTGGGGCACAAGGCTTGGATGGAAAACAACAGATTTGTTATTATCAGCAAGGGCTAGGCACAGGTACCAACAATATCAAGGGTATAGCAAACCGTATCTTCGAATTGGGGCTCGGGCAAGGTGAGACAAAGCGATCCGAGACTCTGAACAGGCTAACGCAGCGTAGGCATGGACCAGAACATCCAGATTATATATAGTTCCCTGTGTCCTATACCAGCGCCCCAACGATCCGTGCCAGCCAGTCCTCCACCACCACCAAGGTACCAACCGGGCGATACGCTGTGTTTCTTTGGATTTTCGAGGGGTGCAGCAACCGCACGCGCTGCCGCTGATTTTATTGCAACCGTTGGGCTTCTACAGGGTCCAGCAGACCCAAAATTGGTGAGCGCTCTCTACGGGGAATGGCTTAAAGTATCCAGCGACAACTATAAGCCACCTACTGCACCAGAGCTTAGAACAACTCGAGCCGAGATCGAATGTGTGGGTGTTTTCGACACGGTCCAAGGTCTTGGAGTACCGAAACCCGTACAAGAGAGCCTGCGCTCGGGAGTGCCTCCTACAGTGAATCCCCTGGCGAGAAAGGCTCACCTGCTGCACAAAAGCATCCCATATGGATTTCAAGCACTTGCGCTGCATGAAATGCGCGACGCTTTTACTCCAGAGGTTTGGAGTTCGAAGTCGGCACCTGCCCAGAGATTGCAACAGACTTGGTTTGCTGGGAAACATTCAGACGTCGGCGGTGCGATTGTCGAAGGAAAACCGAATTCTGGTCTCGCAAATGTAGCTCTAAGATGGATGGCAGCACTTTTGACCAACATCCACATCGGCATCGCTGTGAAAAACGCGGATCTGAACAAGAACTTGGAAATTCTCCTAGGAGAGGCCGGGCAGGGACAAGCTCGAATCCAGGGCACTACCTCTGCAACCCTGACGGGAGGACAGACACCAAGAACACCGGGAAGGTATGCAAAGGGTATCGAAGAGGTCCACGTCTCGGTTCGAAACACGGGGTTACTGAATATCGAAAGCATGCCCTCCGAACCTGCCCTTGAACAGCTCATTGGGGTTGCCGAACACGGGCCCAACGGGAACTTTGTATGGGTAAATAAAACTGCGCCCAGCACACGAGTAAATGCGCAAGCAGATGCACCGCCAGAGGAAATCATAATGGAGGAAGATCCGACTATTGCGCCCCAAGAAGGGAGTGCCGGAAACCAGACGCAAACTGCACCAGTGCATCCGCTACCCAGCAGCTCAAATCCGGCTGGTTCGGTACCTCGACCAATTCGACGATGAAAGAGTCTCGCCGCAGAGGCAAAGTTCTCCGCGAGCAGTTGTGTTACGCTTCCGTTGGTTGGCGTCTGCGACAGCGCTCAGCCGTTTGGTTCTGAAACGGTGGACGGGCAAGATTCGTGGAAATTGCACAGGAGTCTATGGCGCAGCTACAGGAGACAACCAGTGGGCATCCAAATGACCGCGGGGGTTCGAGAACGGGGATTGAACAAGGGTGATAGGAAGAGGCAGTGTATTGAACAGACTGCTGCTCAGCCAGGGGTGTTGGCGCTATTTGATTGATTGATTGATGCATTGATTAATGGATTGATTGGTTTATACGAAGTACCTACACTGGCAGAAGATCCGGTCTCTGTAGGTCAAAGTATCGTCTAGGCATTGTCTGTACTTCCAGACCTCTTGTCACCCTAGCTGGTCGCTCACCTCTTCTCGTGGCTCTCCTCGGTCGAGCTAGTAGTCATCTATATCTTCACATCTGTGATGTTGGCGTCCGTGATGGCAAGAAGGCTTGGGTGAGCGGATCGCGGTTCCCGCTATGAGAGCCGGAACAGACTTGTCAAGGCCACAACCGCAGCGACGGAACCGTCAGCAAGAAACACGCCAAATCATCCCAACAGCCAGTATTGTTTGGTGACGCACAAAATTTCCGTTAGTCTGGGTCATTTCTCGAGGTCTTGTAGGGTTTGACACATCCTTCTTTCTGGATAGGTAGGGTGGCGGCTCTGATTGATGATTTTGGTTGATGGGTGGAGGGGTGGATGGGCGCACACAGGAAAAGGTACGCAAAAAGGCTTCAGCGAGAATTTGTCACTTGAGCAGCAGCAGCTGGTCGAAGAGGGCAACCTATCATCTGTCCTTCAATGTGTCTCTCTTACCACTACTTAGGGCCATATCACTTACGTTGGCATGAAGAACAGTTAAGAGGCGATGGCCAAGTTCTCCAGGGCCGTGAGGTCGAGCTGACTGCCCGCTCCATTTCACTCTGCTCATCTTCCCGAATGTCACCGGCTCAGTCTATCTGGGCAGCCTCTGCAATACATACTGTGCATCGAGACTGTGCTCGGCATTAATGGCGAGAAAAAGGTCCGGCGAAGCAGCAAGCCTCGCAAGTCAGCACAAAGGCAAGGCTTCCGACGCTGGGCACCACGGCTTCAAGTCCCATCACTCAAATCCGTCCTCTTGCTTTGCACTCCTGCTTACACTTACATGTTGTCTATATCTCTACATACATACGAGGTACTCGGTACTCGTACACATTATCGTCCGGTCAGAGCGTCAGAGGGGGGGAAAAGTGCACCCGTTCGGGACAAGCTACAGCAAGCTTTTGAGGCTGGCAATGCCGACGGTCTTGTCTACTCGGGACAAGAAAAGGCGCAACGTCAGCCGCCTCGGCAAAAGCTTTTCAGGGCAAGCTTCGAATGGATTACGGCCTAGCCAAGCAGCTAGTGAGCCACCAGCCTCAGGTCGGTGACAACGAGGCGATCACAAAGGATCTGCTGGGGTCCTTTTGCCCGCCTGTCTCGCCTTCGCCTTCGTTCGCCTCGTGCCTCTTCCCTTTCCCCAATCAACCGCTGTTGAGAAGAAAGAGAAAGGACTTGCTGTGTGAAAGTGGATTTGGGTTGACAATTCCTCTCCTCTGAGTGGCGAGCTGCTTCTGGAGCCTCTCTGCCCTTGGGCATCGCCTCCACCACGACAACCTTTCTGCTGACCCCCAATACTCAATGGCACCCAGATGGCTAAACATGCCTGTACTAGGTAAGGATCTAACTAGCATCGATCTTTCTTCTGTTCCACCCCCACCGCATGACCTGGCTTTTTCTCCAGCCAGTCTCCTCGGCAATGCCATGCTCTATCTTTCCTATCTATCCTAGATTGTCAGCCTTTGATATAGGGCCCCTTCGCTCTAAGCAGGAATTTGTTCCTGCTTCGGACAAGTGCGGATTGGGGTAGCAGTAAGCGTGTTTGAGGTCTAGCTGGGGCCGATCGCCCTCCCAGCTATAACCTAGACCACAAGCCCCAACTCGCTCAGAGTCTTTTCAGCTTTGTGAAGCCCTGCTCTCCGTTGCGTGCGGTCGCCTTCGTGTGCCGGTTCCAAATTCTCGTCCATATTACGGTCGGTCGGGGGCCCAGGGGGGCGTCAAAACCATGGCACGCGTCAAGGAAGACAACACCGACAGCACCATTCTCGCGCTTCTCGGGAAGAAACAGGTGCTCAAACGACGATTCGGCTTCTGGTCGCTCTTTGGGTTCGCCGTGTGCGAGTTGATCACCTGGGAAACAGTCCTCGCACTATTCAGCCAGGGATTCGACAATGGCGGGCCCGCCGGATTGGTTTACGGATTCATCATCGCATGGTCCAGCACGCTGTCCGTCTATACCGTCATCTCGGAGCTCGCATCCATGGCCCCAATTGCTGGAGGCCAGTACTATTGGGTCTACATGCTCGCACCACCGCGCTGGAAGGTGTTTAGCAGCTACATCATCGGATGGCTGACCTCGCTGGCCTGGATTGCGACGGTCGCGACAGAGACCATTTTCGCGGGGACAATGCTCCAGGGCATCATCATTCTCGACTACAAGGACTACGACGCCCAGCGATGGCACGGCACGCTGCTGGCGTGGCTGGTCATCGCCGTTGCGATCTTCATCAACGTGGTCATCCCCGGCGCGCTGCCGAAATTCGAGATCTTCATCATTGTGTTCCACATCGCGGGCTTCGTCACCATCCTCGGACTGCTGTGGGCCTACGCGCCACACAACTCGGCGCACTTCGTCTTCGCAACCGCGTTGAACGAAGGCGGTTGGCCAACCCAAGGTCTGTCGTACTGCGTCGGCTTTTTGGGCAACGTCGCGACCTTTGTCGGCGCAGACGCGTCCGTCCACATGGCCGAGGAAGTCGAACACGCGGCGGTGAACATTCCGCGCGCAATCATTGCGAGCATGTGCATTAACGGGCTCGTCGGCTTCGTCATGATGTTGACAGTGCTATTCTGTCTCGGAGATGTGGAATCCGTCCTGGGAACGGCAACTGGATATCCGTTTATCCAGATCTTTTACAGTAAGTCAAAAAGAAACCCCCATCCTCTCCCAAACATGTTTAAAAAGAAGGCCGAAAAAAGACAAAGTCAGGGTGCTGGGACCACACATGTTGACCTGAATTTTTTTTTCCTTCCCCCGAATAGATAGCGTGAACTCGATCGCAGGCGCCACAGTAATGGTCGCCGTCGTGCTGGCGCTGACATGGGCCTGCGCGACGGGGATCATTACCACGGCGTCACGAATGACCTGGTCCTTTGCGCGCGACAGAGGGACGCCCTTCAGCAAACCGGTCAGCTACGTGTCGCGGGTGCGCCGAATCCCCGTCGTCGGCGTCTTCGTCGTGACCGGGCTCGCGGCCTTGCTGACGCTCATCTACATCGGCTCGTACACGGCCTTCAACGACGTCATATCCCTGACCATTACGGGTTTCTACTGCTCGTACTTCCTTCCAGCAGCCTTTCTGCTATACCACCGGCTCAAGGGACACATCAGCCCGCACAAGCAAGACACGCCGGGCTTCCCGATCGGAGACGACAATGGCATCATTGAAGGCAGCGCTTCCGAGCAGCAGGTGGACGAGAAGATTGCGTCGCCCGGCGACTCCAAGGTACTCGAATCCGGCTTCACGACCGGCGGCGCGCTAAACGACGGCCCCATCTATGCACCGGGTCAGGACATCACGTCGGCCCGGCGGCCCTCGCTGGTCGCCCAGCCCCAGCTCCAATGGGGCCCCTTCCACCTGCCCGAGCCGCTGGGCACCATCAACAACGCGTACGCGTGCGTGTACATGATCTTCGTCATCTTCTGGAGCGTGTGGCCGCCCGTCACTCCCGTCGACGCCTCGACCATGAACTACAGCGTCGTCGTCACCAGCGCCGTCGTCATCTTCAGCATCGTCTGGTACTGGGTGAAGGGCCGCAAGGAGTACCACGGCCCCACAATTGATGACGAGGTCGCCAGCGTCATGCGGCTCGGGAGCGTGGTCGCCGTTTGATCCACCCATCCCTCCCTCCACGGCTGTGTGCTGATTCCCATGGCCCCAACCCGCCCGGGAAAGTGATGTCCTCAGGGAGGGCGGGGTTCTGAGAAGGTTTCCGAAAAGACATGATGGCGAGGTAGGAGGCCCCCCCAGTTTAGGCCATGTAAGAGCGCGCCCGTGTGCAAGTGGGTGGTGGAATTCTGTTGAAACAGCAAAAATGTCGCCGAATAAAATGTCATCGAATCTGCCATAGCGAAAAATTCTATCTCGAAAAAGTTGGCAATAGCCTCACCCCTTTGTTCAGTTACCGATTGCATAAGCCTCAAGGGTGAAAAGGCGGGTCAAAAAAAGGAAAAAGGGGAGAGGGAAGATCCTGCGGAGGTGATGCTAGGAAAGGCATTATTTTGTACAACTTTTTCCAACTAAATTTCTCCGACATCTCTGTCCGTCTCTCTCTCACTCACTCACTCACTCACTCTCTTCTGGGGCTTGACCCTGGCGGAGGTCGTAGACTGGCACTACCACATAAACCTCTGAACATTCCCCGGCTCCTGAGGCCACTCAAATCCACGGTACAGGAACAAGTAGCATGTGACCACGTCGACGAGAACATACCACACCAGCTCCAACCACGCAGAGTGCGCTGCCGCCGTTCTCAGTAACGACTGAATCGCCGATGGTGAGGGGCCATCCATGGAGCTGTTGTTAGAAGAAGACGATTTCCTCTCTAGCTCTGTTCTCTTCCGTTTCTCCTCTGACGGTGCTATATATTCCGGAACAGCCAGCCGCCACGTGAGCCACGGTATCAGGAAGTATCGAGGTTCCACAAGTGGGGCGGCTATAAGCGATAGTGAGGTCGCTATGAGCCAGACAAGTATAAAGCTCACACGCACAGTGTCGTCTCCGTAAACGACACGAACGGACTTTGAAGACGATACCGTAGCATCCGTGGCACCTCCTAGGGTTCCCAGAACCAGCCAGGCGCATAAAAAGTAGACTGGAACGGCGGCATATCTGATGAGCCAGTGTTTTCTCAGGATGGCGAAGACATAGAATGTATAATGTCGGTTATCAGCCAGGGTGAAGGGATGTATGATAGTGTTGAAGTTGACTATGGCGAGCATGAGTGCGAGGAAGGTCACTGTCGTGGTTAATCTGGGTAGTCGTTGGCGAAGGCCGCGGAGGTCGGAGAAAAGTGGCAGCAGCAGAGGCCACGAAAAGAAGACGATTGCTGGCCAAATATAGAGCATTTGGGCGAGATGGATCGCTGGAACGTGGTTGTCTCTGTCCCCGAGGACCACGCCACTGTTCCAGACGACAAACGCGGCGAACGAAGCCAGGAGCGATAGCTGGGGCCATAGGTCGAAAAGGAGTTGGGGTATCATGGGGACGGCAGATTGTGCGAGAGAAATGCTTGTAATGGGGAAATCTGGAATTGCCGTCAGAAACCAATCAAGGAAAGCTTCAATCGAGAGGACTTGAGACAAACAGGCCGGTCGAACCTTCAAAGTATGATTCAGACACAGGAGGATCATGGACCTCGCGCGCACCGACTCTCTGCTTTACACTTTCAATCACCTGGAGTCCACCCAGATACACCGCAACCCAAAAGATATTCGTCTGCCGGGCGGACAATGACACCAGCCCAGCCGAGAAATGTGACGCTTGAAAGAGGACCTTGACAGGTCCCTGGGAGTTGGTCCCTGCAGTCCAAAATATCTCGCTGAGGACCACGGTGAAAACGCTGAACAGATCGGTGTAATATATGCCAGAGAAGAAGAAAATCAATGGGAAGCAAATGATGCTGAACTCCCGCTGAAGGATATTTTCGTGATGCACAATCCTCCTCCCAACAGCCGCCAGAATGTATAGCGCGACAAGCAATAGATACAGCAATAGCACATTGGCAAATCTCCACTCGTTGACAGACGGTCTTAATTCTTCTTTGGAGAAGAATGCCCGGACCGAATTGACGGCGTAGGAAAAGACGTAGAGTCCTGGAGGGGTGGTGATTTTAGGATCCCATTGTGACCACTTCCCAAGCCAATATGCTTGAGCTTGAGGGATGTGGAAGAATTCGTCGAGATAGGGTTCTGGAACGACCTGATTGGCGAGCCTTCGCCATGTCATGTGCAGCGAGGTGATGAAGCCAAGAAGGAGGACTCGCAGAAATTCCGGGCTTGCAAAGTATGACATGGCGAGGGGCTAGAGAAGTGGTAGGAGGCAGGGCAGCTTTGAGCAAATAATGGCAAGGTCCCGCGAGTTGACTCGAGAAAAACCAAGAGACATAGGAAACATGAGAAACTAATGGGTGAAGTTGAAGCTCGCGACTTGGCGTCGGAAGTCAAGCGCGATTACCTAAGCAGGTTGCCAAGAGGTGTAATGACAGTCGACCGTCGAACCCGTTAAACTTAGCCCAACCAGTCATCAGTGGAATGCTAGAGAGGCTAGCGGCGCTAGCGACACCTTTAAAATGCGCTAGTAAACTCAGCGCGTTTGCTGTGATAAGAGCCCATCTACCCAGTACATACTTGTACGAGCATTAGATTAATAGGGACCATCTTGGATTCTCGGTCAACAGATGTCTGTGGCTTTAAGGAAACGCTGCACCCTACCTGGGCATGATGATCGTCAGGTGAGTCTAACGAAATGGCATGGTGGCCGCACTATCAGGTGAGATCAAGACTACAAAAGCAGGTCGTTTGAGCAAGTTTCGGTACTCTTTGACATGAATATCCTATCGCTAGGACGGGGTGTTTCGGCCCTTAGGATACTTCAACAACTCATAGGAACCATTGATCCAGATGCACCACCGAAACCGTGTGATTACTTTGACATGCTCGGCGGAACCAGCACAGGCGGATAGGTCATGGAATTCCGCAGCTGCAGACATCCCGACTGAGCGATTAAACTCATTGCCATCATGCAGGGACGGTTGTAGGATGAGCATCAGTGACTGTATCAATGCCTATTTACGCATTTCAGACCGAGTCTTTCAAAGGCCAAATAAGTGGTTTTCAATATCGCTTTTAGGCAGGGTTCAAGCCAAGTTCGACTCGGCCTAGCTGAGGCAAGCGGTGAAGGAAGTCATTGAACAACACGTTCTTCAGAAAAATTCACTGCCAAAGGATGCATCAGAGAATGCGTGCAAAGTGTAAGGACAGTTCCGCGGCGTGGAAAGCCTTCTGACGATGCTAGATTTGTGTATGGGGTCAGCAAGCAGACCACTCAACCTGTGTGTCTTACGAGCTACACTCGCCGCTCGTAAGCACCGAATTTTCGAACGAAATAACCATATTGCAAGCGAGTTTGGAGACGTCGGCGGGATCGTCTTTTTTTGAACCGATTCAAATGGGGTGCTTTAAGGAGGAGTTCTTTGATGGAGGCACTGGAGCGAACAATCCGGTGTCGCAACTACGGAACCACGCAGAACACTTGTGGGAACATGGATAGGGACTGGAACCAATTGATGGCAAAGTTTAATGCTCAGTTATCAATCAGTACTGGTGTTCCTTCATTGGAAGCATTTGGAAGCAACATGGCCAAGTGGGCCGGACGCTGATCAAAATTGCAACCGAGACAGAGGAGACTGTCCAGTCATTCCTGGCATTGAAACCAAACCTCGCCAACGCCAGAAGGCACTATCGGTTCAATGCCACCACCGGCCTGGAAGGAATCGGGCTAGAAGAGTCGGAGAAGATGAATGAGATCGCCGCAGCTACGCGACTATATCTCCGTTCCAGAGTGACGCCCAAGAACATCCAGCCATTGTCGAGTTTCTTTTGGCAGCAACCCAGAGGGAAACGGTTTCCTGAACTACGTGGGGGTGTCTGGATTGACAAACCAATTCATTCTGCCGCTTTTGCTGCTCACCCACATGTTATCGAAACGTTAATGCGATTAGGGGCGTCTATTGAGGCACGTCCTTAGAACGGTTATATGCGACTGCACTTCACATAGTTTGCCAACACGGCAGACCAGAAACAGCACGAAAACCGTTAGAGCTGGGGGCAGATCCAGCCACCCGCGACAAGTCCGATCAGACCCCTTCTGCACTTGCGGCCCAACATGGACATGTCGAGATTGTCCGAGATCTGCTCAATGCTTGTCGAGGGAAGCTTCGTGCTTGCCTTGCCCTGCGTTGCAGCCTCAGTGGAGATACTGCCCTACACAAAGCAGCCATCTACGCCTTTGGATTCAAGCCTTGCTACAGTCCTTACATCCCGATTCCAGAGTCAATCCGCGATCAGACTTAGCTTCAGTGTTTTACTCTCCTCCATAAGGCGGGCGCTGATTTGCTAACCTCCAACGATCTCCATGAGATGGCGCTCCATCTAGCCGTCCAGACGGGCAATCTCCCGTCAGCCAACTATATCTTATACCACATGGCAACAACTGAGAATGCCATGGTTTTACAGCAGGTTACAGTTGAAGGCTTTACAGCGCTCCGTCTAGCGATTCGTCGTGGAAGTTTGGATATTGTGCACTCGCTGCTTGATGAAGGAGCCAATTCGCCGCAGCAGACTAGTAACGGTGACACTCGGTTGGGATTGGCGCAGGATACGGGACAGCAGAGATTGGTTAATCTACTAAATAGTTTCCATTAACACTATGTCCTCCTCCATTGAGAAAGATTTTACCCAGGCTATTGAATATCCTTCTGCGTCTTAGGGTTAAGTTGAGAAATAGATGTCTACTGAGTCAAATCTGATGTGCCAGACCGCGCCAGTTATTTTCGCGCGGGGTGACTTGTGCGCAGTCTTCTAGCGCACGCGCCGCGACGAGGCTGCCCCCCCTCTACACCTCGAATATTTTGGAGCACAAGAGAATAACAACCCCGTATTGTCAACCTCCGACCCTCCTCCTAGACGAGCCCGATGTCTGCTTTCCCTCATCCTCCTGGCTTGCTGCCCGCCGAGGTCGCATTCCTGTGCGAAATGGAGCAGGTGACCATCATACCGCGACAGCGCCTCGAACGCCTCGACTTACTGGGCGTAAGTCCATCTTCCCACGACCTCTGCATCACATGAGGTGCGAAGCATATCTCTCGTTGTATTAGTCCCTCGTGTCAAACGCGTCCAGCAACGACGACATGTTGACGCTTTGATATATTTCGATGTCTAGGGTCCTACCCGACCACTCATCCCGCCTCAGCGATCAACTCTCCCCATGTGGCTCGCGGTCTTGTTAAAGCGCCAAAGACGCGCCAATATCCTCCCTCCGCCCTGGCTCCTCGCTGAGAATCTGCAAGATATCCTCGAGACCGAGACCCACAAAGACTTTCAAGAGACGTTTTCTCCCGCTGCCTCAATACCTTCTGTTCGTCAGACAGACTACAGCGGAAAATCCTTCTATGCTTCTCCACCTTTCGTGGAGTCATGTACTGTCGATGCAAATCCGACGACGCTCCCATATCATTGGTTCGAACTCTCAGAGATATTACTGGAAGCGGCGAGCGACGACATTCCAGAACCTGACAAAGTCCGGCAGTTACTGAGAGACATACGGGAAGCGCGGCTCGCAAAGATGCGAAAACGAGTAGAGCATTTGTCGGGTGATGGCGAAGGCACACGGCTTGACGGCATAGGCGCTATGGAGATCTCTGAGTCAAGAGGCTTTATGACCGGAGTAGTCGACGGCCTAAGAAAGATTGACGCAAGTAGGGAGCAGGAGAGAAGAGAACGAGAGGAAGAAGAGAGGGAGGACCGGAGATATGACGACGATGACCAAGACGAAGACGACGAAATGACTTGAAGTGATTTCCCATAGCGCGAGACGAATTCTCCATTGATGTTGGCGGATCCAGCGGGCAAAATCATTGGAGCTCGTAGGCCAAATTCGATCGATCATTTTCCTTGAGCGCCTGCGCAAGGTCAAAGTCATAATTACGGTGGAGGACTTGCATTCTCAGCATCCTTCTCCTGCATTCTCCTCCGAGCTGCGAGAATCATTTCATCTCGCCGTCTCTGGAGCATCCTCTGTCGCTCCTCTTTATTGCTGGCCCACCCTGGCGGCGGTGATTCTTCTTCTCTCTCTTTCCCCTTTGAGTTTATTTTTGCCTGTAAATTGTACCGCGTGATCAAGTCCTGCGGATGTGGCTTTTTGAAGGGCGTTAATACCGTAGGTGTGGCAGTTGACTCGGAAGATGGGGCCATGAACGAAGGGGGCGGTTCAAACGAAGGCGGAGCCTGTATACAAGTTCCAACATCAGCCCCTGTATCCTATTGCTGCCAGTCTCGCGCCAATGCGCTCGTGCGCAATCACTTACCGGATCTAGTCCTCTTCCCGTCAATACCCTTTCCGTTGTCGCCTGCACACTGCCTCTGTTCCGATGCAAATCCCACATGATATCCCTGCGGTTTAACTGCGGAAACACCTGGGCTATCTGATCCACTTGTGCAGGCGTGAAACGAATTCCAGGAGTGGTGCCTCTGGGGGTAGTGGAGGATGTTTGAGAGCTGCCGTCGGCGGGGCTTGAGCGGGAAGAGAAGAAGTAGCGATAGATGAAGTAGCCCAGCACGGCGACAAAGGCAAGGCTCGGGATAGAGATGGTCGCTTCCTCGTCGACGGATGAAGACATGGTTACGATGTTCGATGGCGACGCGGGGTTCTTGTTGCTGGGGAGGGGAAGTTATGTCCAATGTCTACGGTGAGACAGTAGGGATACCTCCGGAATGCGGAGGTGCAACGGGCTGCGAAGGCAGAGGGAACCGTAGATAATTAGGAGAGTACAGGAGAAATATGTGCAGAACAGGTGATGAGTTGAAGATCACAGCGGCCGGAGGAGTGATATCAACCGCCAAGCCCGGAAGGAATAAATATCGGCCGAGGTTGTCAACAATGTTTGCCTCGCTGTGATATCTGGCGCCTGCATGATCGATATCGAGGATATTACCATTTGAGAATCAGAATGACGAGAAGAGAACATGAACTCGTACACGCTAATATTCTGGCATCAGACAACAGCAAAGAGATCCACTGCGCATTCTGCTTCCCATACGACGGCCATGTCACCTTGGAACCTCCGAGTTGTCCGGGGAAACGTACTTGTTTCGCGCAGCAGAAGGTATTAAAGGCGGGGAAGAGATGTATTGATTTTTTTGTATCTTTATCGTGGTCAGGTTCCTTTTCGTATGACAAGCGTCCAGGATCATTGCACACACAACATGAACTACCAAGGTATCATCATCATTGTTGGAGGTCTTCCATGCACAAGAGCCCATCTCGTCTAGAATAAAATGGCCTAAATCACGACTTGATAGTATCCCAATTCACCCAAGTCCTCGGCATGACCCTCCAAACCATGACCTCTCCGCTCTTCAAATCGCCGACCTTGAAACTCTCCTCTCTGACCTTCGGCCTTTTTCCCTTCTCCAGATCCCTCCCTTGCTCCCAAGCGCGGATCTTCTTCTTCGTGCCATCCCAATCAATAACCACGGCCACGTGCTCTGGTTTCCCCACGTCGACACTGTACTTTTGGTGCAGGCCGCCTTTGTGGCCGGAGAACTTGGCATTGCGGAACGTGACTATGTCACCCGGCCGAATTTCGTCGAATTGTTGTGTAGACGCGTTACCTAAGTTGGAGTAAACGAGAGCACCATATGCCCTCGTGCCAACCGGTAGGAGCGCTGTAGGGTGGGGTTTTAAGAGTTCGCGGACAAATCCTCGTGCGGAGCCGTCGCCGACAGTCGTACCAGAAAGACCGCTGGCGACTCTTGCTATCTGACTCCCATATTGACCAGACGCATTTTCCAGTTGATCACGCCGAGGTGCAGGTGGTGGTCGCCCGTGGTTCTGCTCCATCTTCACGTGAGTCGGGTCGGCCGCGTCGTAGCTAACATTGATGATAGTCTGAGAATAGTCCATGTAAAGCACGTAAATATCCTTCGAGACGGTGGTCCTGCCTCCCCGCTTGGTAGAGGAACCAGACTCCATTTCATATAGGATATCAGGTCTTCCTTGGAGTGAAGGAGGTGGTAAGTTGTCTTGTGTCCACCACATTGAGCCCTTTCCAAGGTCAATATCTTGAGCAATGTACCCCTGTTCGCTACTTCCCCGAGAATGATCCATCGAACGGCGAGAAAGAGTACCCGATCTTCGGAGATCTGTAGGCTGTTCAGGAGAATCTGCTGGAAGAGGAGGTGCAAGGGTTGGAGGTGGAATATACTCCGCCGGCTCTGGTAGCGGCGGTGGAGGTGCGGGCCTTTCTGCAGGTGGAGGCGGTAGAGTGGTTGGTTGTGGCATTGCACTGTACATATCATCTTCCTCGAGCTCCTCTTTCGGTGATCGCAACGACGTGGAATACAACGACGTGGAATACGGTGTTTTGGCATAGTGAGATGGCGGAGGATGTTGGGGTGCGGAGTATCGGTATGGGTCATAATCGTCGTCTTCAGCTACTTTTGGAGGCGGAACTGGTGGAGGGGCCGCACGTGGCGCATCCATAGATCGCCTGCTCTTTGGCGTTGGTAGAGATGGCGGCGGAGGCGGCACGTCTCGCGGAACACTGACAGGCGGCAGCGGAGGAGCAGCTCGCGGGGGTGCGTGCTTTGGCGACTTCATGTCATCCGTGAGCACGCCTTCGTCGAGACTCGAGTCTCGATTGTGAGCCTTCAATGCGTCTTTGTGCTTTGCACTTGAAGCAATGTCCGTATCGTAATCTCCGTCATATTCAGTGACTTCCTCTTCGTCGTCCATCTCAGGCCTCGGGGACTGCACAATGCCAAGACCACGCGAATCAGTCGTTGAACGGCGACTTGGGGGAGCGCCTGGTGGTGGAGGCGGAGGAGCTCTGGTCTGAGGAGAAGTCGGGCTCATGGGAATAGGAGGTGGGAGCCGCGAAGCACGTTTATCCGTGGTTGGAGACATGCTGCTCTCGGCCGTGTCCAAGGCAGAAGGTTCAGGTATTCTAGTTGGTAGTATAGGAGGAAGAGCAGGCGCCCCAGCCGGAGTCTCTGGCGCCTTCTGGGTGTCTTCCTCCGGACGTTCGTTGTCTTCATCCCCTTCTTCGTAACCAGGAGTTTCTGAAGATGCTGGAGGCAACGACGGGGGAGGGTGAGGCACGGATCGGGCTAAGAGAGTCAGCAGAACTTCAAGACGCCATCAGAGATTGCACAAACTGGTTGGTGATTGCGGAATTGGAGGAGCTGCTCTCGAGCCTGAGGGTGGAGGAGGAGGAGCACCCCTTGTATCACGTACTGGTGGAGGAGGAACGGCGCGGTCTGTTATTGTGAGCGGGCAAGCTGCTTTACAGTCAGTGGAACATACCTTGTGGCGTCGGTGGAGCGGGACGATCTGTCGAGCGACGTTGCAATGGTTTCGAAACATGGTCTTCGGTCTCCCCCTGAACGCCAGGTTCTTGAGGCGTCGGACGTGCCGTCTCATCTTCGTCGCTTTCTTGAGAAGCGGGAGGTTCTTCTTGATGTCTGGTTGACTGGGACATTCCTGGCAAGGCCATGATTCGGACTGGAGCCGCTCGTTCTTGAGGTTCTTCCTGCGTATGGCTCTCAGAAGTCTGCCGAGAGGGTTCTGATTTTGGCTTCCTCGCAACTCCAGGAAGTCCTATCCCGCCTGGAGGGCCAAACATGCCCATCATGCCCATACCTCCGCTCATCTTAGCCATCCTGTCTCTTAGCTCTCTTCTCCGGCGGATCTCCGGATCTTCCTCCTCTTCCTCTTCCTCTTCTTCCTCGCCCTCTTGGTCCCGGTCGTCATCCACTGATTTCCTGGCAATAGCTGCTGGAGCGGCTATATCTGTGCCTTTGGACTTTGGGCGCTCCTCTTCGGTGGATGTTTCCTGGATGTCATCATCATCCGCGGCTCCTGAGTCATCGGCATCATTTGTATCACTGACGAGCTCTCGAGAAGCCGGCTGTGGGGTGCCGAGACCAGTTGTTCGGCGAGCGAGGCTTATCGGTTCACGCTCGCTCTCCATCACCTCAGCAGATGGGCGGCCTACAGTCTCATTGGAATCTAGTCTTGCCAAAGTCGGCTCAGCTGGCTGGGTTTGTTCGCTAGGCTCAAGGGTGTCGACTCTCTTCTTGGGCGGCTTCTTTGGTTTTTCCTTCTTCTCAGCATTTCGTGCCGCTTGCTCCAGTTGTTGCTTCTGCAGAAGTGCTATCCTTTCTTTGAGAGACTGGGGCTTTGGTTGCTCTTCGGCCCCAGGCTCCGATTGCGTAGCTGCAGGTTCTCCTACATCTCTGGATTCTGCTCCATTTACACTTGCCTCATCCTCACGTCGGTATGGCTTCTGAAGGGGAGGTTCCCGAGGAGGAGGAACGAAAGCGTTTCTGCTGGGTGGAGGTGCAACAAATGGCTTTCTGATGAAAACGCTGCTTGCTCCACCTCCCCCTGGCTTGAAAGGCGTAATCGGGGCCGCTGCAGGTTTGTTGAAGGCGGCAATCCTGTCTTTGAAAGAACTCGAAGATGGCTTCTCTGCGACGGGTGGAGGGGCTCGGGCAGCGGCGGGAGGAGAACTTGCGACCGTAGTCGATGCGATGGGTGCAACAGGTTGAGGCTTCGGAACTGGCAGGGGTACCTCAGGTTCTACTCTCGCTGGTTCCGCTGATTCCCTTACGAATGCTTTCTCTTCCTCTTGTACAATTTCAGAAGGCTCTGTTGGCGGAGGGATTGGTTGTGGTGCCAGAGGCTCTGGGACACGTTCCAACGGCTCTGGAACCTGAGCACGCCGTGGGGCACGCACCGGGCGCGAAGGGATTGTCGGTTCGTACTTCTCGACAAAGTTCCTTGGGAAAAGGCCTTGAAGCTTCTCCCCGGAGGCATCCACGTATTCGCCAGTGTACCAATCCGCATCCTCCTCTTCTGTAACCGTGATTATCTGGCCATTTTCAAAGTTGAGATCATCAGGCTCATCCGATCTGTATTCGAAAATCGCCTTCACTTTGAACGGCACCGCAGGCATTTTGTCTAGAGGAGCTGCTCCTCAAAGGGCGAGAAAAACGTGGATGTAGGCGGAGAGTTGAAGTTTCAATGATCTTACTTGACCAGCACGGTGACGCAGCGCCTGCGCCACCTCGCTCGAAGGTCGGTGCCAAGGTCAGATTTGGACCTCCTGGTGAGTGATTATTAGATCACCTGAACATATGACAGCGGGATGCGGGCATAGAGGGACGGTATAAGCTGGAACAGGGGCGGTGCACAGGGGAATGTTATTCAGAGTGTAGGAGAATGTGTAGCCGTGGTCGACTTGAACGTGGGGCATTTAACACAGTAGTTGCTACACTTCACAATGTATCTAGTACGGAATACTTTAGCCTTGTTACTTAATCAGGCCGCTTTGGCTTCGGTCTAGATATTTGCCGCCATCATTCTTTGTCTATCGTCTCACCATTTCGGGGTTTGCGCTACGCATCGAAGAAGAACTATTACTGATCACCGAGAACACCTGGTTGTCTCGAGCACTTGCACCCAACATTTCAGCCTGGCATCTGGCAAAAGTGTCCGGAATATGGCCCGCGATGGCCACTGAGCAACCCGAAGCCAGCAGGGAAGATCGTGTCCGCTCAACGGCGTTACGCCATGCCATAGACATCGAGGAGAGAAAGAAATTGCAAGCACGCATAGCCGACCTTGTAGTCGAAGCATTTGAGTTGCCGTCCAGACCTGACGCCGACCCAGCGAAGCCACAACCGTCCGACGCTTCTCTCTTCAGACGTTGTCTGAGCCTATTTCAGACCTCGGATTTGGATGATCTCATCTACGAGCGAAACGTAGATAACCGATGCGGTTATGCTCTTTGTCCAAACCCAAATTTGAAGCTGGCGCATGGTGGCCAAAAAGTGTGGAATCAGAAGGGTGGCAAAGACTTCAAACTGGTAGACAGAAGCGAGCTAGAAAAGTGGTGTTCAAAGGCCTGTCAGGAGAGGACCGCCTTCGTGCGAGCTCAGCTTGGGGCAGAGCCCGCGTGGCTTCGAGCCGGTCAAGCTGTCGACATCCGGTTGCTTGATGAAATCGATTCTGAGGATCTCGCCACCTCTCTCAAGGTACGTGCAATCGAGACACGACTTCCATCAGGGTCTGGGGATAATGTTGCTAAATGCTTGCAGGAGCTCTCGCTCGCTAAAGCGGCTGATATAGAAATGACTGAAAAGATGCAGGCTCTCGCGCTTGAACGGGGCGAGCTCAGTGTCAAGGCTGATCAGAGGACTGTTGATCTTGTTGAGAGGACAAGTAATTCAATTCCGAGTGCTCCAACATTGAAGGGGAGCCAACTGCAAAATGCCGTTGAAGGCCACCAGCCACGAAAGGTCCGCTTCTCAGAGAGGTGATTGGTCCTGGCGATAGACCCCTTAGCGAAATGCTGGATGCTCTGCGTCACTTTGGGAAGACGGCTAAGACTAAGACTAACCTCCAGTGGATGACGCCGCAGGAGATGATCCCTTGGACTCTCAGACCCTTTGTGCTTTGCCTAAGCCTGTCTCTTTGTCTTTTAGACGAAGCTGAGATCCACGACTAACTGGATTCCGCTAAGACGCGCCGTGAGGAAAACATGAAGGAGGCGCGAGCTCGGAAGGTCTTAGAGTCTTGGAGAGACGGGAACGATTAGGCGAGAAAGGAAGACATCGAGACAAGTCATGACTGCACTGCGCGGTGATTGACAAGTGGCCTTCAGCATGCTGTACCATAGATACGCCATCTGCCGCTCCCGGGATTATCGACCAAATGCAAAATATGCTCTTTCAAGAGGTTGTCTCTGGTATTCCCACGCTAACCAATCGCTTCTGGTCGTAGGCAACAGTCCCATGCTGTTTACTTTATAGACGCCCAAGCCAAGGAGAAGGCACTGCATCAGAATATATACCGCCTTGACGCCCATCATCTGTGTGCGATTGCCAGCGCTCTCGAATCTGGCGAATTGCGTATTCGTTTGCGAGATGGCCTGGATAGGATTCTTAAAGCTGTACCACACCATCAGTTTTGACGCTCAAAAGGCTCCATGCGGTGACCCACAGCATAAAGACCATCATGATAGAGAATATCTGAAGCGAATTGCCGGACATGTAGCCCATGATAGCTTGCATGGGGAGTTGCTTCGCAGGTCCAAGGGCAACCTCCCAGGCTTTCTTGAGTTTCAGCGTTTCTGTCTCTTCAGATGTCGGGGGTTTTCGTCCAGGACCTTGCGACTTCTGTTCGACTTGTCAGCGTGTGTCGGTTGTAGGTAGGATGTGGTGGTCACCGAACCTGTTTCCCAACAACTGCTTTGGATCCCGAAAAGCCGGGAGGATCTGGTATGCTGGACACATTCTTCGATTTGGGAGGGACGCCGCTGTTTAGGTCAACAACCCATTTCGGTCTCGGAGGAACCATGCTGTCTGAGGTCGCCACCGTAGGAGGATAGATAGCCTTTTCGAAAGAGCCATGTCAAGCGAAAGCTGCGTAAAGTCGTTGGCTGACGGGGCCGGAAAAAGGGAACTCCGCGACCCCTTGGCATGAACGGGCGCCTCGAGCGAGACGACTCCAACTCCAACGTCCTTTCACCTCGTTCACCTCCAGTAAGTCTTACATACATTGAGCGCCTACCACTCGGACAGCGTCAATACCATCGACATTCCTGGGCAATCTTGTCTCTTATTTGAACCAGGTCCTCTAATGATCATGCCGTAATCTGAGCCGCAATCCGCTGAATCCAGCAGCAACTTCGCCTACCCTGGAGTGAAATCTGAGTCTGCCAATTGCTAGTTTGGTGGACGACTGAAGGGTTCAGGATGTCGTCTGGACATGGAGACTCGAAGCTCTTTGCCAGGGTACGTCGGCGTGGCTGATCCATTCATTTCTGTCGACTCTGCATTCTCTCTCTCGATTCCCCCGTTGTAGCGGACTATCCTGAGCTAAGTAACTTACACACATAAACAGGGCAAAGTCGCTGAGCTGCGAGCAGAGCTCACCAATTCTGGCAAGAAGGACAAGAACCACACCACCAAGAAGAACGCTCTGAAGAAGATCGTTGCCAATATGACAATGAGCAACAACGACATGGTTGCACTATTTCCGGATATCGTGGCTTGCATGGATATCCCAGTCCTCGAGATCAAGAAGATGTCTGTCGATATGCCTTCGGAAACTGTGCCGCCTGCTAAATCACATGTAGGTGTTTTTTGTACCTTCAGCATTATGCTCGAATGAAACCAGATATTGCTTTGCGCGCGTTGCCGGTGCTCGAAGAGGTGAGCATGGCCGACATCCATTGTTGAATCTCCTTGCTCAAGTGCAATTAGGATCTTTTGGACCCCAATCCGTTGATCCGCGCGCTTGCATTACGGACTATTTCATACGTCCACGTTCGAGAGTTTGTCGAAGGCACGATCCCACCACTGAAAAAATTAATGGCAGACCAAGATCCCTACGTCCGGAAAACAGCTGCCATTACTGTCGCCAAAATCTACGACCACGACAAACGACTTATTGAAGGATCAGACCTGATTGATAGACTGAACAGAATGCTGAAGGATGACAATCCTACCGTTGTCGCAAGTGCACTTTCCGCGTTGCAGGATATCTGGGAGCGGAGCGAGAACATTAAGCTGACAATCGACTACGCGAGCGCATCCAAAATCATCTCGATCTTGCCAGACTGCAATGAATGGTCTCAGACATACATCTTGGAAGCACTCGTATCCTACGTCCCGCACGAATCTGGAGAGGCTCTCTTACTTGCAGAACGAATATCCTCTCGACTTTCACATTCGAACTCTGCTGTGGTGCTTACCTGCATTCGAGTCATTATGTACCTGATGAATTACATCTCCGACCAGAAGAAAGTCGACGAACTTGCCCGCAAATTATCTCCCCCGCTGATCACCCTCCTCTCTAAACCACCAGAGATCCAATATCTTGCTCTGAGAAATGCCATCCTCATCCTCCAACAAAGGCCTGAGGTCCTGCAAAATGACATCCGCGTCTTCTTTTGCAAGTACAACGATCCGATATACGTCAAAGTGACGAAACTCGAATTGATATTCATGCTGGCCAACAAGAACAACATTTCGGTGGTCCTTAATGAGTTGAGAGAGTACGCGACTGAGATTGATGTACAGTTTGTGCGCAAGGCCGTTCGAGCAATTGGAAAACTTGCAATCAAAATCGAACCGGCGGCGCGACAGTGTATCGACGCACTTTTGGAGCTTGTTAACGCCAAAATTCCGTACATCGTGCAAGAAGCAACGGTGGTGATCAAGAACATTTTTCGCAAATACCCGAACCAGTACGAATCCGTCATCTCGACCGTGATCGGCCAGATTGATGAACTGGACGAGCCAGAGGCAAAAGCTGCCATCATCTGGATCATAGGAGAGTACGCAGACCGGATCGATAACGCCGATTCGCTGCTCCAAGATTACCTTTCGACTTTCCACGAAGAACCTATAGAGGTACAATTGGCGCTCCTGACTGCAACAGTCAAGCTCTTCCTTCACCGGCCAACGAAGGGCTCCTCAATCGTTCCGCAAGTTCTGAAATGGTGCACGGAAGAGTCGGACGATCCAGACCTGCGCGATCGAGGATATATGTACTGGCGCCTGTTATCTACCGACCCAGTGACTGCAAAGAAAGTTGTTATGGGTACAAAACCACCCATTACAGCCGAAAGCGAGAAATTAGACCCAACAACTTTGGAAGAGCTGTGCCTGGGCATTGGGACCTTGGCTACCATTTATTTGAAACCAGTACAGCAAGTCTTCCGGTCTGCACGAACACGCCGGCTCCAGGACTCGCCTGCTCTGCAAAGGAAGAGAGAGGACTTGACCCGCGCTCTGACTGGTATGGATCTCGCGAATCCCCTCTCACTGAACACAACCGTCACAACTCCAGGCGGCACAGCCATCCCCAATCACCAAGCCGCGATTGAAGCAGCCGACGAGTATTTCAAGAATTTGAGCCTGAGTGACAATAGCGGGGGAGACATTCTGACTAGCCCGACTGGTGGAGGAGTAGGAAACCCATATATTGTCAGCCAGAGCGCTCCACAGCACAGCTTCCATCCCCAAACTAGTGTTGCCAACAACGGAGATCTCTTGTACTAGTATTACAGGGAGGAAGAAGCTGAAGAGAACGCAGAAGAGAACGAATGAGCAATGGTTTGTTTGTCTGGCGCCCAAAAACAGAAGGTTGTAAATGCAGGCTCTCTCAATGCGCATATAGCGGAATCCATTCTTCAGCCAAGATACCAAATGTTCAGCTATGGCTGGGAGATGCTCCAGCACTGGCAGGTCTCAGTTTCACACTTGCTCAATCGTAGCTTATACCTGACGCCGTAGTCAGAGGCACAGGACGAAGTTCAGGGAATCGCCCACAATCCGCGTCCGGCGAGTCCAATTCAACGTCATCACTGATTCGCTGTCCACAGGAACTTTCGGCATTCTGCACCCTGTTCACTCCACACTGAAATTCCCAAGGTCCTCCGCGAAAGCAACCAACTCTACCTGTAAGACAATACGGCGACCAAGAAAAGGACGGGAAGCTCGAGCCGCGTGCGGGAACCGTTCCATTTTCACTTCTTTGCGCGCAAATAAGCCGGCCTTCATGCCCTCATGATCACAAGGTGAACGCAAACCAACCGAAACTGCTGCGTCGTTCCTCCATCATGGTCTCTCTCCTCGTCACCGTCTTCATAATCCAACTAGTCTGCCACCTCATTCTAACCATCGGTTCCAAACCTATCAACGACCTAGTACGTCGAACCTGCCTCTGTCCTTGTTTCTGCATCTACATATCCCCGTCCTGTCCCTTTCAGGCAAAGACGAAGAGGAAGAAGAACAACGCATGGAAGGGGGGGGGAGAGAGAATGTGTCCACAGACAGTGCTGACAGACACCGGGGGTTTTCTGCCCCCGAATAAAATAGCTATGGCAAATCTACTGCCGCCTCCCGCTGCAATCGTCCAAGGACATCCAAGAACAAATACGCCTGCGCCGCGAGGTCCTGCGACTGAAGCGAGAAATGAACGCCGTCAGCGCGCAGGATGAGTTTTCCAAGTGGGCCAAACTGAGGAGGCAGCACGACAAGGCCATGGAGGAGCATGATAAGAAAGGTGAGTCATTTCCGAGGGAGGTTGTGACGAGCCAGAGAGGGGGGAAGGGAGACAAGAGAAACAAGTTGATTTCGATCGTGGATATACAAAATCTATTCTGTGTGTGCAACGCGGGAGGACGTAGGCAGTGAGGGAGAGAGGGAGGGAGGGAGGGAGGCAAGGTGCGAGCCATTTTCTCTATCTAGCTAACCAAAAGACTTGGACTGTTCCAGCCGCCGCAGTTTCCTCCTCCCGGTCCTCGTTCGACACAAAGGCCACAGCCATTCGATGGACGTCCACAAGCGGCCTGAGACTCGCGCTGCAGTTCTGGCACGCAAAGACACCCGTCTTCACCTACCCGCGCGGCTGGTTCCCGTGGTACATCGAGTGGTTGCTCGGCTTTCCGCGATGCCCCTACGGCGGCGTGAGCATCAACGTCTGGAGCACTGCTTGCGCGACCGTCATTGCGCTGGTGTGGGATGTCATGGTGTACCTGATACAGAGCGTGCAGCAGGTACGAGGAGGCGATCAAAAGGGGGAGAAGGAAAAGGTCAACAACGATAGAAGAAAAGAAGAAATGAGAATATGAAAAGAAAAACGACACTTTCAGTCTGAATAGATGAATTTGATTGACGGGGGGATTGTTGATAAAAGATCAATCAAGGTCCCATGCATGCATATCAAGGGCTCAAGGATATTTCAAGGCTTTGGCGTGGTTCCATCAGAAAGTGTTCAACCATGTTCGCGTCACTGACCAGTCCACGCCCGCTTGGAGTCATGGAGGCCTCAGTGCTTGACTCTATTGTGATTGAGAGTTCATCATTTGAAACCACTTACCACAGCCCTCACTCCTCTTCATCGCCTTTGGGGGGAGAATCCGCTGGTGCAACTCCAGATGCACAGTGCGGGTTTTCATTGAGTTGCCTCGCAAACAACACCAAAGTAGAGTCCGGTCCTTTCGACAGGACATCTGCGCCATCATGGAAGATAGTCGCTGCTTTTCCATAAGCTACAGACCCAAAAGAAGAATAAAAAGTAATGGTGTGTGCTCCGCGCCTCAAGAATAAGCCCCATCGAGTTACTCTCCGCCGCCCACCACAGCGAAGAACGCGGCAGTCAGGGCGGAGAGCAATCGCATAACTTTCGACATATGACGAATTGCGCAACCTCCCAAAAAATCACTCTTTGAGCTCTCCGAGTATCCAGACTGGCTCCGTCAATCTCCCAATTGTGGATGTTACCCTCTCCATCTCTTCCCCCTGGTGAGCCAACAAAAGTTCAAGGCCTCTCTGCTTCAGAAAAAGGAAAATTATCTTCACGGAGACGGACTCATATCTTCATCCATCCCCCAGACAAATCTTCCCCTCATTCATTCCACACCGAGACCCACGAACAAGAAGGAGGTCCAGAGGAGAATACAAACGACAATGAGGTCGGATCTCGAAGGAGAGGGATAGAGCTCGGAGAAGAGTGGGAGGCGAAATGAGAACCGCAGTGAAAGATTGCTTTTATGGCGGTTGCCTCTCGGCAGGTCCTAACGTTCTCTCCCCAAAATTGAGAAGAGGTAGGGCGGTCCGGGGACTTTCTCCCAAAGCTGTTTTTGAGTGGGTTTGCAGATATCTGAGAAAGACTTCTGCTGTACGTGAGCTTTGAATGCGATTCTTTGAACGCGGAGACTGGATGAACACCCAGGTAAGAAGAGAGAGAGAGAGACCGCAGTCCGAAATTTCTAGGTAGGGTTCAGGCCAAGGAAAATATTGCCAAGAGACACTAGTCCAAATTGAGCTGGGGTGTGACCTTTCTGCGAGCTCGCAAGGTTCACGGTGCCAAACTCGCAAAACCTCGAAACTTTCTCCGCTCCGCGCAAGTTTCCGATCAACCGCCTTTCCTGCCTGCCACCCAGAACAACCTTATCTTTTTTCTGAGGACGACCGACATATTATTAAAGAGGTGTCCCAAGTGGAAAAGCCTTTCAGGCGGTCGATGACCCGAGAAGTCTAGCCGTTCTATCATGAATTGAACAAGGAAATAGCAATCGTCGAGGGATAGCTGTGCTAGCTTATCCTCAAAACGGCCAGCATCATCCCAAACTGGGGCTGGAGTCTGAACGCTCTCTGCCATATCAGTAGAGAAGCACGCGCCGCGCGCGACATAGCAATGATGAAGATGCCGCCTCCTCACCGAGGGCTGAGGCCTGGGTTGGCAACCGCCTTCGCCCAACCCAGCAAAGGACCATATCTCCGCTCAAGACGAGAACTGAGCTCTCTGGTCACGGCATCCGCTTCATCACCCTCGCCACGGCAGCCTCTTCGTCGCTATCCGGCGGAGCTGATCCCGATACCAATTCCCATCCCCCAGCCCAAACCAACATTCCCGCCATCGTCCTTCAAGTCACATCAGCAACGACGGTATGCCTCGACGAAACCTGAACCGGAAGAAGAACTAAAACACACGCCCCTGTACGGCCTCCATGCTTCCCTTGGCGCGAAAATGGTCCCCTTCGCTTCCTATGCCATGCCGGTTACATATCCGGACCTGTCCCATAAGGAATCCCACCTCTGGACGCGCAAACACGCCAGTCTCTTCGATGTCTCTCACATGGTTCAGCACAAACTCTCCGGAGAACTCGCCGAGGAATTTCTCATGACCATTACCCCGTCGGCGATTAACGAGTTAGAAAAGCATCGCTCGAGCCTGTCTTGCCTTTTGAATGATGAAGGGGGCATAGTTGATGACACGGTGATCTCGAGAATAGGTAAAGATAGCTTCTACTTTGTGACAAATGCGGGTTGTCGAGAGAAGGACATCGCGTTTATTGACGAGCATATATCCAAATTCCTCAAGGCAAAGGGAGCCTCGGGGGATAAGATCAACTGGCATGTGCTTGACCACCACGCGCTGTTGGCCCTTCAAGGTCCTGAGGCTGCAAGCGTGCTCCAGTCCCTCATCTTCAACGACACAGAAGATGAAAGTCTCGACACGTTGCTGGATACGCTCTACTTCGGATCAAGTCGGTGGTTACAACTGACTCTACCGGACTCCGGAATGAACACGCCATCCCTACTGATTAGCCGTACCGGATACACGGGGGAGGATGGCTTTGAAATCTCGATTCCACCTGAAAACGGGGATGCAACTGAACTGGCGACGAACATAGCGAGTGCTCTGACTGCCGACAGCTCCAAAGTCCGCTGGGCGGGGCTTGGAGCGCGCGACTCGCTCCGCCTAGAGGCCGGAATGTGTCTCTACGGGCATGACTTAAATGAGAAGATCACGCCGCCCATGGCCGCGTTGGGCTGGTTGGTTGGCAAATCACGCCGTGTTGACAGCCCTACCCCAGCCTTCAACGGGCACCAAATCATCAACAAACAGCTTGCCTCGCCAAAGACAATGACTGAGCGACGGGTTGGATTGCTCATAGAAAAGGGTCCCGCCGCGCGCGAAGGGGCAGAAATCGTCGATCCGGAAAACGACAATCAAATCATTGGTCACATAACCTCAGGTTCTCCCAGCCCGAGCCTAGACGGACAGAACATTGCCATGGGGTATATTAAGAACGGATTCCACAAAAAGGGAACCCCAGTGGGCGTCAGAGTTCGGAAGAACGTGAGGAAAGCGGAGGTCGCTAAGATGCCATTCGTGCCGAACAAGTTTTACACTCGGCCCTCGTGAAAAATTGTATATGTAGGGTTATGTCGAACTGATCTCTGCAGTTTAATGGCAAGAGCGGTCAAAGCACCGGGGGCGGTGAAGTTGCAGCTGTTTTCGCCGAAGGGGTATGGCTGGAGGATGGGCGATGTGATTGAATGGTGATCCCTCTTCCTAGGTAGATCTTGTCACACTCTGATTGTCGGCTGCGGTCGATCCTTTTGGGCGACGCCCGCAGCGATCTTCTGGCACGGAAGCCTGGCCTCACCAGCCGCTTTTCAGCTTCAGTACCTCTTTTCTTACTTTCTCCGCAGTGGGTGCTTTGTGATGAGTTGGGCTGCAGACGTGTGTTTGACTCTCCTCTTCGTATATGCATGGGGTTTTCTGCTAGATGTTTAACTGGCCCTGAGTAGCTCGACAAAAGGCAACATGAACTCGCGTATCCGATGTGATTGGGGGCGAGACTTGGTGTACCCAATGATCGATGCATAGAGTTTTCCACCATCACATCCGTCTTGCGAGCCTCAAATGTGCTTCGGCACTCGGAGTTCCTGAATGGTTGCCGAGCACTCTTGTCCAGCTTCGAGAGTACCGTAGCTACGCCCCCGCCGTGCAAGATGATCATCCGTCGTCAGAAGGTAGACTGTCAACCCCAGGAGTGTACCTATTGCATGCTATCCGAAGAGGCGCTAAGTCTGGATCCGAAAATCAAGGCCAAGGTTCGGGGCTAATGTTGAAAACTTTGGCACTCGCTCATCGTCGTCCACATGGAGCAGCAGAGGGGCGGTCAGCGGCGGCAAAGGGCAATTGCCGCTTCCCACGCTTGTGATAGCCCACTCGATGCTTGTTCAGCTTCTGGATAGTGTATGGCAGATAGTTTGGTGGAGCTTTAGTGGACCCGGTAGCAAAGCAGCTGGCGTTTTTGCCTATTTTGACGACATTTCGGTGCATCGATCTCGTCCAATCCGTCGGGGGAAAGGGTCGAGCAATTTCATCGTCGATTGACTGAAAGATGGGCGGAATTTAAAAACCGCTCTCTGTGACCATGGCAAAATCCTGCATGGCCTCGGAGGATGCGCCCCAGACCACGCACAGACCAGTGTGGACCTCACTGCCCGGCCCATGAGGTCATGTTTATCCGGTCTAGAGCCCGTGGCTGTCCTTTGTGACTGTCTAGATGGATCCGATATAAGCTAACCCTCCGTACCTGGCGAGCTGGGTAGCAAATGACCAACGAGCCGCGGATGTCTCTTGCGAGGTCGCATGGCTTCTCAGGAGCCCTGTACGTCACCTTCGGCAAGCAAGAAATACGTGCTACCTGCGCTACATGCACTAGTGGACATCTCCAGCTGCATAACCAGGCTTGTGGCATGACTTTGGCGTTGTTGAGAGATTTCCACATCGATCCTGGGGAGTTGTGCCATTAGCAGTAGGTGCTGTGCCGGCCCGCCCTCGAGTCGCTATGCTGGTGGCTTGTCGTTCTTCTTTTGAATTTTGTGGTTCTTCCAACGACGATCATGCGCCTTCACGAGGGTTATCGCCTTTGGATGAGGCAGTCAATGAGAGCGTTCTCTGTCATTGACGTGGTCTCGAGTTTCCTCTTCTGGTATTTCTCAGGACACAGGGAAGAGATCGAATGCCGCAGGGACCTCCCCAGAGGAGAGGACAGTGGAAGTTTCTGAAACAGCTGCGTGACTGGGAGACTCCTGAATCAGCTCCCATCCGAAAGTTGTTTATCGAGTCTGTCCATCGTCTGAGGGCTCAAACCACAGTCGCAAAGGTGTCTAGGCCCCACCGCAAGGACCTGGCAGTCGACCGACAGGACACGGCGAGGACGGGGGGCTCAGAAGCCAGGCTCGTTGAGCTCTGCAGCTTTCATTTTGCCGTGCTTGGCATCACCTCCAGCTGGATCCTTTGGCACCGCCCGTGGTTTGCTTGCCCTGTTCTGTCCTGTTCCAGGGGGTGAATGATCTAGCTCTTTCGGTAACTCCCTTGATTTCTCTCCATCCAGGATGGCAGACAAGAGGCGCAGGTGAAAGAGTGAGATCTAGTGCGGCCTAAGGTGTGGACGCCTCTTTATTTGCTCTTTGCTTGCCGTTCACACCCGACAAGGCGGGGTTGGATCCTCTCGATTGATAATAATGTTTCGCTTCTCCCTCTCAGCGCCTGTCGATGATGACGGTGGCTGTTTGAGGTGAGAAAAGCCAGAGAGCCGTCTCGTAGAGCCAGCTCGAGTGGCAGAGGCAAGGCTCCGGTCGCGGGCAGCAACTGGCTAGGATACTGGATACGAAATGGCGGCTGGTTTGCGAATAGAACTGAAAGATCAATTAGAAGCGGAGCCAGAGGGCTCGATAATCACAACGGAGCCTGAGGGAGGGATGGGTCATGCCACCCTCCAGGGAGCAGGGGGAGGGCGTACCTTTGGAACCCAACGACTCTCACCCACTCCCCAATCCGGAGTGCTGAATGGCAAGGAAGGGGGTCAGGTGGTCCAGGGTACTGCGGTGTCGAGCAGGGCAGGGCACGGCGAGGCGCCAAACAAGAATATGCGTGGACCTTGGAGACCGTCTTTGAAGGGGACAAGAGCATTTTGAGGTGGGAAGAAAGTAAATTACTCCGTGCGCAAGAGGCCAGCAGGTCCAGGAAGCCTCCAAGCTCGTTTTCGTCGTATCTCGATGCCAAAGCTAACTCCTACATCCAAACCCTTTGCCTCGCCGGTGCAACGCCATGTCTCCCGCGCCGGCTTTTGCTTCCCATCGTGGGCTTGGTCGCCCGTTCTCGTGGGATCGATGTAACAGGCCCCGAGCTTGCCTACGTTTAATCCGTACATTAAAATCATTAAATGTAGTTATATGCCGTTATAGTATCATCACGTCGTGTTGAGCGCAGCAATCTACGTCTGCGTATACCGTTTTCCCAGTACCATTGTCCCTCGATGATGTGCCCCGTCCAGTAGTCTCGTCCTTAACCCCATATGCAGCTGCTCTTGTATATCCCTGTGCTGGTCCATGCCATTTCCCCTCCTTTGCCATGCACCATGCTCTGAGTGGTCATCAAGGGCGTGGAAACCTGTCATGCTATATGCTTGATTCAGTTCCTTGTAACCCATCCATGCGCCATGCCCTGTCTGAATGAACCGGGGGGTATCTCTAGATCCTGTGCAAGTCTTGCCCTGTTCCACTTGCTGCACTGTCCTTTCGCCATCGTACAACATGATTCCAGAAAACACTGAATAAGAAATGACTGGATTTGACCACATAGGTCAATACCTCAACAAACACTGCTTAGCAGTACCTTCAATGTATGCTAGATACAGCCGTAGCGCCCTTAAACCACTCACCAGACGTGGATCACGATGATGCACATAAAAGTTTCGAGTACGGCGTGGCCGAGAAGTCGACAAGCGTTGCCATGCTGTCAGTGAATGGCCCTGGTAATGGGAAGCGCATATGTTCCTCTTCTCCGTCGTCCTCGAAAGGCCTCTTCCGACCTGTGGTCTCGCGGTCAAGGCTACTGAACATAGGATCTTCACTCCGTTCCGACATTGGGGTCAATGCAGATCGGTCCGACGACAGAGTGCAAGAGGACTTTGCCGTATGGGAGTCGCAGAGGCTGACCTCTACGTCTGTTGGCGTTCCAGCCAGGGTGCTTGAAACCAAACTCGCCGGAGAGAAGCGAGAGGTAGATGCATGGCGGTAGCTGGATCCCCCGAAATGGCCGCCCTGTCGATGACTCCCCATCCAGTCCATTGATGTATGAGTATGCCCGTAGCTCCCTGACGAGAGTGGACCGGCATGTCCGTCTGACCCATGCCCAGTTCCGCGGTCGGGATCCATACTAGCCTGACTGTCTCGCCGCCCATTGTCCTTGTAATGACCAGGGGATCGGCCACGCACCACCATAGGGTCGGATTCTTTAGTTGCTATCACGACCCAGTTCTCGGTACCCTGCCTCCCAATATTGGCAGAAAGCTCGACCACCACCAAAAAATATTGTTGTTGTGCTCGCCGTTTGCCGTTGTTGGCGGTAGCTTTCTGAAACTGGATTCTCTCGAACGTATGTGAGGTCGGAATCGAATTCGCGCCGGGATTTTCGAAGCCCGAAAAGGTCCCCATGATACTAGAATGGAGATGGTTTGGTCCTCCATACATATGTCCGGTGCTCGAATATGCGCCATTTGCACCAATCTGATGGTGGGGCGAAGGCGCAATTGGGTGGCGACCAGGAACTGACTCTGTTGCCTTGTCCCGTTTGGGGGTATGCTGAACAAGACCTCGAGCCTCACTTTCACCATTACTGGTCATGGCGGTCTTTGCGGTGATTGATACGGCAAACTGCTGGATCAATTCCTCCGAGCCATTCCTGCTGAGATAGAATGGCCCGTCCACGGTGCCATTTCTGAACCCGAAAGAACACTGTACTGCAAAGTAATTTCGGCGGTAGCAGGTCCATTTTCTGTCCACCTGGAAAAATCCTTTCTGTATGGAAGCCATGATCTCCGGCATCAAGCGTGGATTGCGAACTGTCAACACAGGATGAAGAACGGTCGTTTCGTGGAATGGAGGTCCATCTTGTCGCGTAGCGTTTTGGCTCTCATGGCAATGCGTTGACATGTTTTGGCCTAGGTACGTGGCCTCTTGGATTGGGAAAGGAAACGCCGGGCTGCTGCGAGCAGGGTATGAGTTTGAATGATACCTTATCCCTCCTGGAAAGGGCCCCGGACTTATTTGGGTGTGAAGGGTGGCCGAGTATTGTGGTAATCTGTCTGCTATAGTCTTGAAGGTTGACCCAATGCCGTTTGCCGAATTGTACGAATGGGGAGGTGACAAAGGAGGCCTGTACAACAGGAGTCAACACCTGTCACAAGGCTGACGGTTTGAGGTTGGAGCAGACGAGACTTACACTCGATGAGGTCGGTCCATGACCGTCATTGAGGAGCCAGACCAGTTAGACGAGAGAACTGAAGGAGGTGCGCTCGGAAAATGGTCTGGGGCACATGCATTGCTGGGAAACGGCTTAGGGAGCGTCGTATAGGTATTGGCAGAGGTCGTAGGATTGCCCCCCGCGCTTGCTGACCCAGTAGTGGAATCAGGCGGGCTCAGCAAAAGTTGTGAGCTCTGGTGATACCTGCAAAGACCATTATCGATGGGTCAGTAAGACAGAACTAAAAGAGCGGCCACATCAAGATTATATGTCACAAGTGCGACGATTGAGTCATGGGATAAGCGCATTCTCAAAACAACCGAAGATCATCGGCCGCCTTTTACAGCTCTTCATCAACACCGGAGAGTGGACGAAACATCACGCCGATGCCCAACTTCAAGATTCGGGCTCTAGACTTGCATGTCGGCCAAATAGTCGGTCTGGGGCAGCCATTGGGTATTTCGAAGACACATGAACTGGCGGGGAAAGCTGGGAATCGGATACTCACGGTGTTTCGTTCAGGAGCGAACTGCCATTGAAGTCGAGACTGGAATTTGCTGGCAGCGCCACTCCTGAAGCACCACTCGTCAGGTTGCTCTGAGGCCGTCGGCTCGAAAACGTGAAGTCATTGGCAGGATAGGGCGGATTTGAGAAGGTACGCTCCTGCCCGAGGTATTTGGATTCTGTGAAGTCGAACGGTGAAGATTGTTGAAGCAATGCTGCAAGCAAGCAAAGTCAGCAGCGGCCAGTAATGGGAGGAGACAGTTTCAAGGATGGGATTTGATAAAAGAAAGAAAAAGCCTGCCACAAGGCCTCATGCAACTCGGCTGGACTGAGGGGCCTTTCTTCGTGCACAATTACCCATTCAGTACCAATTTGGCAGGCAGAGTAGGACGGAGCGGGGCATCCTTGTCGGCTGAGCGTAGGTGGCAATTGCAGGAGACAAGCACACGGCGGCCACCAGATTGCAATCCGTATTGACACAGCATATCAATGCCAGATTGCCGAGCCGCAGTATTGTTTCGTTGAATCTGGCCTCGAACAAAACAAAACAAGATATACGAAGTGTCGATGCAAATACGTACTGGGATCCATGACCGTCCTTCAAGATACGCACTGCTTGCGGGGACAAGGCTGAATCAGCAAAGGGGAAGCTTTAGAGTTTGTTCAATTCGCGGAGTCTCGAGGTGGGTAAGAAGCTTGTCCTTTTCGGCAGTCCTTGGGTCGGGTGCTCCGTATTTGCTCAGCCGTCCGCTAGCCCTTCTTCTTGGACGGGGGTTGATAGCCCGGCGGCTGTGGACTAGGTGTGCTAGGCCCTAAGAACGCGAGGCGCATGCAGGACACACAGGCCTGCCAATAAGCGGGAAGAGTGCCAATATGTGTACGGAGTCCACAGCGTCCCTCCAGGTCTGATGCAAACTGCTGAGAGGTCAGCGACGAATTTGCTCTCATTTCTCATGGCCGCAGGCCTCTTTTTGTCCGTGTCAAGGTCGTGTATCGGCAATAACAGAGCAGGCCACCTTCTGCAGTCGTACCTAAAGAACCAAGACAAGTCGCTACTTTCAGCGAAATGCGTCTTTCGCGGTTGTGCTGCCATTGGTCAGTCATCTTGCGAGCGCATCGCCGGACATGTTCAACTTACTTTTTATCTCTCTAGTTCTCGCACTGCACGTTCGGCCTGCTCGAGGCTTAGTCTTCCTTCTCCTCAATATACAAAAGCTGGTCGTGTGTCTGTACAGATGACTCTTCAAGATCGTCCAGCTCAAGCTGCATTGAATCGAGACTGCTCAAAACGCGCGTCGTAGCGAGCAGTCACAGTGGACAGGCGCTAGACGGCGATAAATCATACACGACGATGTTAAACACTTGAGCGTCCACAATAAGGATAAGCACTGGTCCTCAGACGATATGCGATGGGAGGGAGTTTTGATGGGAGCAAAAGGCGCACAATATGTTGGCTGAAACGGAAATGGTTCAGTGAAAGAGACATCAGAGCCTTTCTGATGGGAAAGAGAGTTTTGGGACAATTGAACGGGTTGAGAAGTCTTCAAATGAGCGCGCAATGCAGCAGTCAACACCAAGGTAGGGGGTTCCACACAAGCCTCAGACCAATTCCTGGCCCGGTTGGGCAGGCTGGAATTGCGTTGGAGTGCCTTCGTCGGATGTAGAAATGACTAGCTCAGCCCTCGGCGCAGCGTTCAGATCTGACACTTGCTACCAGTATTCGGTGAGAATACGGGATCGACCAGACGTTGTTGGCAAGGACCATTCAAAGGAAGGCTGCATATTCGACAGGCCAATGACCATGCAGAACATGACCTTTGAGTCTTGAGACCGCCCGACTGTGATGCAGGCGGCCTTCTTCAGCAGCCCCAACTTCAGCCCAAAATCGCCACAACATTGGCTTGGCCACCAAATCATTACCTTGAAGGGCGAAATAAAGGAATATTTGGAAGAATCGAATCAGGTCCAAACGAGATGCAGAACAAAGAATGCATTCAAGCGCAGGCCTTGCAGAGACTGGTTTCAGCTGAGGCCCGCCATAAACAGGAGGAAGTTGGCACAGGGATTATGACTGCAACAGTTCCTTTGGCACGTGGCTGGGAACACGCCTGTCTGTTAAGTATCGAGCGGGCAACGACGCCCTTGCCCTCCGACCCACCGTGAGCATGCTTTGTTTTGCAATTACTTGATAGAGGGCAAGTAAGTCATGTGGCGGCGGAGTGGACTCGATGTGTCCGGATGAAGCGAAGTTGAGCCGGTCAAGCGGCTCCAGAGGGGGATTCATTGCTCACACAGACCGAGCGGTGCTGAGTTTGACATCGAAGGCAGATGTCTGAGCCTTGGAGAAAATCGGGCGCGGGAAGCCGGCTGTTGACGGACTGATCGTCGGCCGACTTGATAACAAGCCAATGGCCACCTGAAACGGGGCAGGGGCAGGGCTGCCCGATATCCCTATCCTCCGCGAAAAGACTCAGGCGAAAAGGAAATGTTCCGACTGGACGTGTGGGCCAAAGAGGCGTGGGCTGCTGCGATTGTGCGTGGCCAGTGGACTCTTTCACTCGAGGTTGGTTCAGGGTAGACGACAAGAATCAGGGCTCTGTTGCTCGATCGACATGGTCCCAGGGGAGGGTTGAGCGCAATGATGCGTGGCCTCACCGGCAGGCTGAAGCTTCGGGAATCTCCAAGCAATCTGGGCCCCAGCTAGAATGCAAGGGTCGGCAGTGCTGGCCCTTCCAACCAGAATTGAAAGGGTCTCGAATTGAATGCCCTCAAAAAAGGACAAAATTGAGTAGGGTGGAGCTAGGAATAAGGTGAATCATTGGCGCAGGACGATGAGCGATTGTTTCCACCGTCCACCAAGGCTGCTGCGGCCCGCAGCCTGTTGTCATCTGCAAGTATGTCGTGCGCACTTCCGGAATATGCAACACGGGGTGGGTTTAGAAGTCGAGCAAGGGGCGGAGCCGCGTGGAGTGGATGATCTGGCTACAGCCAAAAACAGCTCCAGTTGAGACTGCCAGCCTGAACAGGAGACTGGGACGAAGGCGCACATGATGCTAGTGGTGGAGGAGGAGGAGAAGGAGGAGAAAGAGAAAGGGCGGTAGCTTGTGGTAATGGTGGTGGGTGTCAGGGGGAGAGAGAAAGGAGCAGAAAGAATTGAGGTGTCGAGGTGTCGAGGTGTCGAGGTGGGTGGGCGGTGAGGTGAGCAGGTCGTGAGTCGTGACTTTCCTGCCGCCTCGATTCTCTCGCCATCTTCCAACTTCCCATCTCTCCTCCATCCCCTGACTTCGGCCCTTCTCACCACCACGCCCACCATCATCACCCCCTTCTTCCGCCATGCTCCATCCTCGCCATCCATATGGCGACCTTGACGATATGCCCAGGCTCCTTTCAACCCTGAGGCAGAATGAGCTGATAGGCCGAGCGGCTAAGTGACAATGGTTCATGACTGCTAATCTTATGGGTACAGCTATCAACTCCCATTTCTGCCTCAATGCCCCCTTTGGTGGATTACGCCCTGTCCCTTTGCTTCTTGCATTCTTTTGATCTTAGTCATTCTTCAGGATGCTTAGACACAGATCGGTTGATACCTAACCAAAGAGCCAATCACTCCACAGTACATCCCTTTCCTGCCATCTGTACTCAGCACGGTGATCGCTTAACTTCTAGTTGGCTTCACATTCCATTTCCTCTGCCAGCCACAGCAAACTGAAAGGAGCTCGGTATGCACCAGGGATTGTAAGCCGCGAGACATATCCCGACTTTCAGGTTGGACTAAGTCGGTGAAGAAATATTCCGTTCTCTTGAATCTCCAACAAGGCGCCTATCTACGGCCGCTCGGGAGGCGCCTGGGTAAGCTTAACGGCTTCCCCGACCTCTACCTTTTTGAAACCTGGACTCGCCCTATGAGTCCCCTTTGACCATGGAGGCTTGGTTGGGTCCTGACAAATCCCGCGGCTTTGACAGGTTGCACCAAATCTGCCTCCTTTGCAGCTTGGACCACCGGTTCGCCTTTGATGCCTGCAGTGGTGTCACCGAGTTGAACTTGTCTTGGTCCGCCAAACGGTGTCGACAACACAAAGATGAACAGATTTTCCCTGACCTTGACTCGCAGCTTCCTTGGTCTGGCCCGGAGTCCCCGGTGGCCCTGGTTTGGAATAGTTCCAGATGCTGGCATTCGGTCTTGCTTTGCATCTTGACTCAGAGGATCTTGATGGCGGTGGCGATCTCTTTAGGATGGTGCTTGAGAGAAACCGGGTGCTGCCACGCCGTGTTGGCCGTGCCAAATCGGTCGTTCAATGTGTTTCCAGGCCATAGAACCGTTACCGCCGGCTCGTGCTTCCCCGATGCAGGTCCAAAACAAACACTGGTGTCGAGCAAAATGCTTGGTTCGCCTCAGCAGAAGGGAATCGCCTTTTCAAAGGCCCGTCGGGCGATCACCCCTGGAATAGTTTCCCTCTTCGGGCTATTGTGATCTCAGCTGGCTGGCAACCATAACAACCATTAACATTATGACCTGAACCTCAAATGCCAGACATCTCACCTCGTGGTTCCGCTGGACCCTGGAGATATCAAGCTTCGGCACCGCTCATACATCTCAGTTTGCAGGAGGAAGATCAGGCGGAAAGGTCAAGCTGACGTGTTTGTGCGAGGTCCCTTTGCGTCCATCGTGGAGGTTGGAAAAAAGGATTACCCATGCCTGCGTGCCAGACAATGCGCAATGCAACCAGTCGATTCAGTAGAGGTCAGCCATGTTTGATCATCTGGCATCCTAGTCGCTGTGGTCCTTCTTCGTCACCACCATGGCCACCGCTCCCGTTCTTTCGGGTAAGCAGCTCCCATACCTCTCGCCGTCTGTTTCGGGCGGTCCATGAGGGTTCACAAGACAACTCAGTAAAAAGCTTAAACGAGCTTTCCCACTGCTGTCGTGGCTATTTCAGGTAAGTTACCATGCTTCTTCTACACTCCCTGCACTGCCTTTCCATGACCCGGGAGCAAGGCTTGGAAGTCTGCAAGGTTTACGGGGTTTCAACCTATCTATAGGCCTATCTATAGGCCTCACTGGCCTACTCCCAAGGCGACTTCGGCCTAGTGGTGGACACACTGTGTTCCAATGCTTTAGATCCATCCCGTTGCTGCTTGTCCTTGGGCCTGATCCCGTTTCGGTCCTTCTCAAATCTCCATCCGCTGCCGTTGCTGCTGGTGGAGGGCCGAACACAAGCAAGAAGCAACTCATAGAGCCTGGAAGATGCTATTTCAGGCACATCATATCCGGCGGGGGCGGAAAGAATCGTCACCATCGCACCGATACTTCTTTTGAGGGAAAGAGGTCTCTTCGTGCAGGCTGAGGGCTGCAGGAACGAGCCCTCCTATCACCGATCTATTCTGGCTTGGTCCATGATGTGTACCTGGACTTTTTTCTTTTCATGCAAGGCCAAGAAATATGTCATGACCATTGAAATTTTATGCAATGAATTCTTTTTGCTATCAATCACAAATCCCGTTCACACCGTGAACTGCGTAATTCGGGTTAAGGTCATCAACTTCCCATCCGAGCCAGCCAGCTAATTTGCAGTTGTTGCTATAATCAATTCGTGGACCGCTTTCGCCTCAACTTCTGGCAAAGTCGTAGTCTGCTAGGTCGTCCTCTTCGCAAACTCCACTCTTAGGATCAAGTGCCTGTATCCAAAGCCGTCCATCTTTTCGCAGGCTCTAGCGGCATCAGATCTGTCGACAAAGGAAATGAATGCAAACCCCTTGGCACGGCCAGTATCTCTGTCCTTGGCGAGGAAGACTCTGGTGACGCGGCCGAACCGTTCGAAGAGATCGCGGAGTTCCTGCTCTTCGGCCATCTCGGAAACCTGTTCGAATGGTGGGTTAGCCACGAATCCAGAATGATCAGACCGCTGTATTGGTGTTGAGGGGGAGAACTCACGTTCGTAACTCGCAATGTAGCCAGATCGTCTCTCTCGTACTTCCCGCCCATCCTCTCTCCCGCTCCCTGTGCGCCTTTCCTGAGATGTGGCGGTACGTAGCTGCTACCACCACCACCGAGGGCACCTTGCGGCTTGGGCCCGGATTCATCGTCTTCGGCCATGGGATCCACCACGGGCGTTGTCCCATCATCCGCCGGCGCCATTGTATCCTTGAATGGACATCTCGCTGTGAAATGCTCGCCCTGACAGATTCGACACTTCACCTTCTTATCTCTCAGTTGCTCCTTCAGAGACTTCTCCTCGGCTTTGCCACCGCCCGCTTTGGCTTCTTCGGCCTGCGCGTTCTTCCAGTCTCGGCTCGGTCTGAAGAGGATGTTCTCGCCCACGGAGGTGGTGTCGGGTTGTGGGCCCTTTGGCTTGCCCTTCTCGAGGCCGAATTTGTCCCAGGTGCGCCGCTCAGCGACGACCGGGTTGACTTTTTCTTTGTGCGTTGTGATGCGGGTCTTGCGTGTGACTTTCACTTTCTGACCCTGGTCGTTGAAGCGGTAAAATACAGTGGTGCGAGTCCCATCTTTGTTCACAGTCGTTACTGGGGCGGGCAGCGCCGAGGGGTCGTTGATCTGTTCGGACTCGGAAACATCGTCTGCCCAGTCTGGGCGACTGGATTTCAAAAATCGTTGGTTAGCGAAAGCGTTCTTCGATCTTTCGTCGCGCTACGCGAGGAGGGTACTTACGTTGCGGTTTTGGACATCTTGGTAGAGCTTTCTATCTCTCTGTAAACAGAATCTTGGAAATCCTGAAGTATGGTCAAAGTATGAGTCGGGAGAGGATGGAAGGCAAAACCATGGAACCATCCCACATACTCGCCATTTTATGTCACTGCGCCTGCTCGGCCAAAAACAGTTTAGCTCCGCCAAGGCCGCCAAAGGCCTCTGATAGGACAACATCAGTGCATAAAAGGGGCGAGGCTAAATATGTACGGATCACTGCTCGTAGATTCCATGCGCCCCTGCCCTTCGTCTGGACAGGATGCATTCAAGCGAGATGGCGTATTGTTCATCATTGCCATGACTATACCCCGCTTTGCTGTAAGAGTTTTACGTACATATTGCTCGAATAGAGCTCCGCAGTCAGCAGTCGAATCGAGTCACCAACCTGGCCCTTCATGTGTTCAATTCCCAACCTGCTTCGCCCTTCAGCTTCATATCGAGCTCGGAGTTCTGCTCAAGCAGCGAATATCGCATCGCTCGTATGCTGCACATCAGCCACATCATTTAAGCCCCTCACTTACAGAATCCATGGGGACTCTACCACTTCCGTCATTCCATGAGATGAATGGCTCTTTCGCCCACGAGGAACTGGATGGCCAAACTCCACCACCATTGTGGATTTGACGAGCACGATTTTCTTACTGGAATCCGACGATTTGCGCACGAATGCAAGATACACGGTGAATAGAACCTCGCCAACTCTCCTGGATGGACCTGCAACTGGAACCGCCGTAGAACGCAAGGGACACCCGGTCCGGCTATCAACAATCGTGAAATCTTTAAATCTCTCCTCGTTGATCACTAGAGGTCCATAGTTGTAATCCAACTCATATTCTGCCATGGACTCCCGAATGTTTTCGGCCAGACTGCCCGCTTCTTGCACGAATCGACTGCACAGCGACAGATCTCTGGAACGAACGCGAAGCCCTGTCCCCTTCAACAGTTGCAGACATCGCATAATGGTGGCCTCAATTTCGCGCAATTCATTTTCGCGCAGTCGTTTGGACTGTTCATCGGCGTGGAGAGTTCGTTGCAGGTCAACTCGCCACATCTGGACAGCGGTCTGGTCTTTCATGGGTTAGTCGTGAAGCGACAGCAGTAAAGGATCTTCTTACCTTTTGCGGGCTTCAGGAAATTCATACCATCGATGATCATTCCCAGACATGCTTCCGTGGCCTGATCGAGACCCGGGAAGATTCTCTCCGTTCTAAGCAGCTTCTCATACAGATAACAACAGACCAGTCCCTGCATCATTGGAATCTCCAGGTTTCGGTTGCCATCGGCGAGGAGTACCAATCGTTCCGGAAGATGATCACTCACCAAATTCCTTCGACTTTCTGACAGTCCGACTTTTGAAAGGGAAGCGATCATGCTTTCCGCATCACCGAAATGGCTGTCCAAACAATACTCAACAGTTTTGCACAACATCACGTATTGATCCTGTAGCTGAGTATCGACCATCCCCTCCACCGGTAGCATGTTGAAAATGTGTTCTTTGCAGCTCTCGAGGCTTTACAAGAAATACTCTTTCTCATGTCTTAACTTTTTCGCTTCATGTTTTAGATCTGCAATCCAGACACCGTCATTTTGGGACCTCACATCGGCCTCGGTTTGCTGTGTCATTAGAACATTCTCATGATGGGCCATCACATCCCGTTAGATTTCGAGCTCCTGCTTAAGTTATTCATTCTCCCTGGTGAGTGCAGTAATCCCCATTTGCAGGTCCTTTTCTGATGCGCCATCAGCGTTCTTGCGTCCTTCTGTATCTCTTCCCTGCTGATCCATTACGCGCCCGTGATGCATAGGAGGATGGAAGGATGGACCAGTTCAGTATGTGGGAGTTTGTCAGACGTGGATGTTTCCTGGTTGTTGAAATTAATCCTAGCGTAAGACTGTTCGAACAGTTCTTGCCCATCTGGCTGCCGCGCGGTGTCTCCACTGCTCGACCAGGGCAGAAAATTACTAAATGGGAGGAAGGTCGAAGTGGCTGCACCTGTCTTTCCTGCGGAATCGAGCGTCAGAAGCTCATGATCAAGGCATCCGTTATAAAAGACCTCTTCAAACTAGTCATGACTGCTCTCCCAACTCTTGTCACATCGCAACTGCAACAATCCTAGAAGGCGAGAGCAGTCATCCTCGTCGGTGGCTTCGGCTAGACTCCTTATCTTCGCAGTTGAATTCAGTGGGTCATGGGCGAGGATATCGAGATCAAGCAGCCCGTGTAGGGTTGGACTGCTGTATAGTGCGGAGCATTACTCACGGCTCTTCATGATACAACGCTAGACGACTCATGGCTCAACATTGCTTCACGGCAAGCCCGCCAAGCATATGAAATTAGGTGTAGTAGGAACTATGACGATTCTGAACACATAGGTCGTCCAAGGTACGTGGGTCGTCCTACTCGACGAATATTTGCTGAATTACCTAGGTAAGGGAGCTCCGGCGATGGGTGTTACGAAGTCAAAGTTATGAATTGGTTTGTCAAGAGAGTACTACGTTGCCTTTAGGTCGAAGCAGCAACATACGAGAAAGCCAATGTGTGGGTAGGGTGACGAAGTTGATCAACAAAGCCCGCTTGTTACTAAGTGGTACCGGACCAGACCAGTGTCCCACGGTCCATTTTCGGTCATATCTGACAATCTGTACACCTTTATTCCTGAGGAAGAGGAAGATGTGCCCAGGTGTCCCTGTGAAGGTAATGACCACCTCAGACCCGGCACCCCATTTCCAGGAAGAGATCGTCTGACATCAAACAGAAATAAAGGAGCTTTTGACACTGACTGCTGATCTGTCTGCCATTGATGTCGCAGAAACCCCAGTAATGGTTGGCAAGGACGGGCAATACCATTATTATCTGAATTACGAAATCAGAGTGGGCTTCTTCTCAGCACGCATGGACTTCTCTCTGTGGTATCTCGACAAACAGTATGGCAAGATCGAGGCCGAGTTTTTCTGGACGAGACTGAGCACCTCATACCTGCCTCTACTGCCCATGTTCAGCTACTGATTTGACTTGAGCGAGGTCTTCTGACTGGATATGTCAGATAAATGCTAGAGACCACAATGACACAAATCACAAAGGTGGTCGAGGAGAAAGAGATGTAAAACGAGCACACACGGTTCAAGAGGGACAAATCAACACAAGTGCGGGGAGCAAGACAGAGCCCAAAGATGCGGAATGAAGAGCAAGACCTCATGAGGCCATGTTCTCTGGCTGAAGAGGACGAGCCAGCCAGCTAGCGGGCTATGTAGAAGGACTTGGTGGCTAGCCTGATCGAATGAGATGGGGAAAAGCAGAATCCATGAATGAGATGCATCTCGGTCCAACAAGATTCAATCAAGAACGAATCCACGTCAATCAATCGCGCCCCTCTTACTAGAAGGCTACCAAGCTCGTCTCTCTCGATTCCGCTAGTGTACGAGGAGAATATTGTCCTTCGCTATAAGACCGCGCGAGCAGTGTGGTTTCTAACTGAGCAACACCGAAGGGGAGGATCCAAGGAAAGAGGACGTAGATAGAAAAGGAAACCAAGATATCATGAGAGGAGAGCACGGAGCTGTTGCAGCAGTAGCACTACTACGCCAACAATTTTCGCCATGATGCATTGCATGCGCCTGAAACCAGCCGGAATGGCAGACTACATAGGTACAAACGAACCCCTCCCTCTACACTCCTAGCGTCGTCGCCCAACCTCCGACCTCAAACCACTCACTGGGCAGTCATGGAGCGATCGATCATAGTTTGCTCTTCGAGACAATCAAGGCATTACCCGTCTGCAAGCATTTGACGGCGTCATTGACAAACTCGTCGACGATTTCACGGGCGGATTTCTTCTCATTGACCACCGCGGCGGCCTTGCCCATCAGGAAGGGGCGAGCGTTCTCCATGTCCTCATCGGACAGGTCGTCACCCTTGGTCTCGAAGTCGTGTTCGACCTAGATAACATAAAGCCAAGATTGTCAGTTATTCGCGTTGCGGAAAATCCGGGTGAGGAAATGATGAGGAAAGAGGGCGAAGTAGAGAGAAATCACAAACGTGGGAAACCCTTACCGGAATGACGCCTTTCTCCGTCAACGCCTTGATCTCAGCTTGCCGATTCTCTTCCCAGTTCTTAATGTATTCATTGTTTCTGACCCGTAGAGGCCGTCCGGTGAAAATGATAGTTCGAATATTATCATCGAAGCCGGCGGTTCGGACGGCCTCCTGGTGTGCTTTGGGTGCACCAGCTTCCTCGGAAAGCACGAAGCGTGTTCCGACCCAAACCGCTGAGGCACCGAGCATCAGGGCCGATGCCAGGGACGCGCCACAGAAAATACCTCCCGCCGCAATACATTGGACGGGTTGGCCGGTGAATTTGGAGGGCGGGGCTTCGGCGCATAGTTTGGCGACAGCAGGGATGAGCACCGAGGTGGGTGTATCACCCTAAAGGGCCTGTCAGTGGTTTCCGCTCAAGAAGGTGTGAGGGGAAACGGTATGCTTACGGTGTGACCACCGCCTTCACCACCCTGAGCGCATATCAGGTCGACGCCCAGGTCAAGGCATTTCTTCACGTGCTTGACGTGGCCGATCATGTTCTGGGCAGGGGAAAGTTAGCCAGGTCATCTAAACGGACGGCATTTGGGTGATTCACCATGTAGAGAATGCCATTTCTGTGGAGCTTGTCCACAACTTCCTTCGGCGGAACACCGACGGCAGAGACTATCTCAAATGGTCAACATCAAATACCACACACCGGAGTTAAGCCGTGAGCGGTTCTCACCGAAAAGCTTCGCGCCCGAGTCAATGATGATATCAATCAGCTCATTGAGTTTGCCCTTGGTATAGTCGTAGCTAGAAGACCATCAGCAACCGCCTGGGCCGTGTGTCTGCAACCGTCTCTCACTTTGTCTTTCTTGCATTTCCGCCGACTTGAGGCAGGAGAAGATCGACACCAAAGGGAGCATTCTTGTCATTGAGATGGCTTTTGAGCTCGGCGACCTGTTCCCGGAGCATATCTGGGGTATATCCAACCTGCACACATCAACACGTGTCCAACACAAGTCTGGGTTTCCATGTTCTTTCTTACACCACCAATGACACCAAGACCTCCAGCATTGGTAACTGCGGCGGCCAATTTGGGGCCGGCGGCCACGTTCATGCCCGCCAACAGGACCGGGTGCTTGATCTTCAGGAGATCGGTGGTCGTGGTTCGGAGTTGCTGAGGAGACGACATGGTGGTCTAATGCGTGTATGCAAATAGATGGGGAGATACAGATGGTTCAGGGAGGGTGATCGTGGACAGGATTGATTGAAGGATCTGGTTGGCGTCTAGGAGCACAGATGAATCGACTATGTTTTGGAGGCTCAAAGGGAAGATATATATCGGCCCACAATGCAGGCCCGAGACTTGCTAAGAGATGGAAGAGCCGAAAGGCGCACAGTAATCATCAAAACCTGAAGGACAAGAAGAAGATTTAAGGCGAATGCAGTATGGCATGCGAGAGATGCGAAGGACAGTCGTCCAAGTACCGAGGCATCTCCCCGATTCAGCCATCTCGCTGCTCGGTCCCCACGACTCCTCCACATTTGCACGGAATACGCCCCTGATACGACATCTCGCCATTGAGACACCTGACGGTCTTGGCTGTGGAGTCTTCTTCTCCGGCTCTCAACTTATATACGGCCGGAACGAAGCAAAGGGGGAGCTTCTTTACTTCGAGACGTACATTATCCGGTGCACGTGAGGCCGTGTCCGAAATGCGGAGAGGCCTCGACTCGGTAAAGGTGCCGTTTTGGGCCTAGAGAGGGCACGTGATTCGGTTTTTCCGTCCAAGTCCGTCCTCGCCGTCTCCATGCAAAAGAGGCTGGCAACGGGTAATAGTAACGATGATGGGAATCCCACTACCATAATCGAGACGGGTCCGGATTGTCCGTCAAGAGCGTTGCGCTGTGGTGGTTGCTACCGACAGCTGAGCCCCCCATCCTCGATCCATCTCCCTGATCTGTCTCTACTGCCAGCATTAAGCTCGTATGTCCATCAAACCGGTCGCCACGTTTGGCCGCCTTCCTCGCATACAGAATTTGCCTACCGTCTCCAACCACATATGGGTTCCAGGGATCCAGTTCCGTGGGCCATCAAATGTTCACAAATGCGCCTTCTTGACCCTGTCCGACTCCCGAAGAAGCTACAGTAAAAGTGATAATCTGCAGCAGCATCCCTCCCAGACTAAGTCTTCTGGTTTGCCATTGTGCCGGATCAGCGCAAACATGAAGTCCTCAAGCTTAGCTTCAGGTGCTACAAATAAAGCTGTGGTGGCATTCGGCAGCAATCTAGGGGATCGACTTGCCAATATCGAGGCCGCTCTCTTCAAGATGAGGGAAAACCAGCTCCATGTCCTGAAATTGAGCTCGCTATACGAGACCATGCCGATGTACTACGATGATCAGGATCCCTTCTTGAATGGTGTCTGTCAAATCGAGACCCCTCTTGAACCACTGCAATTACTGGATATCTTGCAGAGCATCGAGAATGATCTAGGCCGAAAACGCCTCATTGACAAGGGTCCCAGGACAATTGACCTTGATATCATCCTATATAACCAAGCTCACTTCAAGCATCCCCGTCTCAATATTCCGCATATGCTGATGCTAGAGCGGGAGTTCGTTCTCAGACCTCTTGCAGAGTAAGTCCTGGCGGTATCATTCTGGCCCAAACTGACCTTTTCCAGCATATTGCCTGATGCACGTCTGCCGACGGACTTCTCACCAACTGCTCCATACCGCCAAATAAGCCAACTATTGGAGGCTCTGCCGGGGAAAGATGCTACTATGTCCCCTGTCACAGTTTTAAAGCCGGAAATGCCACTCATCCGCACTCGCGATGTATCTCGCAAGACTCATGTCATGGCCATTTTGAACCTGACCCCTGACTCTTTCTCCGATGGAGGACTTCACACAGCCAAAGGCGCCGAATCAATCAAGACAACCGTTGCGAATTTTATCGCCGCGGGTGCCAGCATCATCGACATCGGTGGCCAAAGCACTCGTCCTAATGCTGATTATCTTGGACCTCACGAGGAGCTTAAACGTATCCTCCCAATTGTCCGACTTATTAGGCAGATGAAAGAAGCGGAAAATGTCGCCATTAGCATCGACACTTTCCACTCCGTTGTTGCCCGGGAGACCATTTTGGCCGGCGCGGACATCATTAATGACGTCTCCGCAGGTCTGTTAGACTCTCGAATGCTGCCGACTGTTGCAGAGCTGGGGAAGACCATTGTTCTTATGCATATGAGAGGAGATCCTCACACAATGACCACACTCACCGATTACCCGGATGGGGTCATCAGCGGAGTAGCCCGAGAACTTTGTGAGCGCGTTCGAGCTGCCCTAGCCGGAGGGATTAGCCCGTGGCGGGTCATCCTCGATCCCGGGCTGGGCTTTGCAAAGAACCAGCAACAGAACCTTGAACTTCTTCGAAGTCTTGCACAACTGCGAGAGCGGACGGAGTATTCTCCGGTGCTAAGAAATTTCCCTTGGCTTATGGGCCCAAGCCGTAAAGGCTTCATTGGCAACGTTACTGATGTGTCGGACGCTTCGAAACGGAGCTATGGTACTGCTGCCGCTGTCACCGCAAGTATCGAAGGCGGCGCCGATATTGTCCGAATACACGACGTTCGCGAAATGGTCCAAGTCACCAAGATGGCCGATGCTATCTATCGACGCCCTTGAAGTGACAGACCTGCAGATGCAAATTCCAGAAACCAATTGCGACCGTCACCATGCGTGAGGTCAGTCGGGCCCTGACTTGGTCCTTTGAGCATTACGCGCTGTCTTGATCACCACGATAGGTGCACAGGATGTAATGTGGAACTCAGTGACGCTGACTGTGACAAGGCTGTGGCAGCCTCGGAGGTTCTTGACCTGTGAACAGTTATGAGGTCATAGATACCTGCCTCGATTGGTGACAGTGGAACTTCATGCAGGTACGAATCACTGCCAAACATGTGCCTTTCAAATCACACCTCGAAGGACAACCATCAGTCTTCTGTTATCCCTCCTTCATGTTGGAATATGTTCTTAACCATCCACATTATCCAGCAAACCGTGCCCAGACACGCTCACTTCAGCATAATTCCACAACATGCCTTCTGACAATCCACCCATCGGCCTCCGCTGGCGAGCCAACACTCTGTTTATCATCTCCACAGTTGCCATCGGTTTATTCACCGACCTCTTTCTCTATGGGCTTGTTGTCCCTGTACTGCCGTTCATGCTCCAAGAGCGTATAAACCTCCCTGAGAATAAAATCCAATCCTACGTGTCTGGGCTTCTGGCCGCATATGCTGGCGCTAGCGTCGTCTTCTCCATACCCGTTGGGATCATCGCCGACCGAACTAATGCCCGACGAACGCCCTTCCTTTGTGGCCTTGCTGCCTTACTCGCCGCCACTATCATGCTGGCTCTCAGTAAGAACATCTCAACGCTCGTTGTCGCCAGAGTTCTCCAAGGCACCAGTGCCGCCGTTGTCTGGACCGTGGGTCTAGCCATGGTGCTGGACACTGTAGGACCCCGGAACCTTGGCAAAGTAATTGGATCGGTGAGTGTTATGGCTGAGCTGCTGGCAAATTGGGTCTCATACGGGCCATAGATTTTCTCTTTCATATCGGTTGGCGAACTGGCAGCCCCTGTTCTAGGAGGAGTCCTGTACCGCAAGACTGGCTATGGGGGGGTCTTTGGGTTGGGTGCAGCATTTCTCGGCGTCGACTTTATCATGCGAATCCTGGTTATCGAAAAGAAAGTCGCGGTGAAATACGACAGACCCCCGGTAGAAACACTCGGCCCTGGTGATGCCGAAGACCGAGAGGAAGGAATGGATAGCGGAGACGGTCGCAGTGAAGAGGAACCTCTGTTGCCCAAAAACGGGGAAGGTAACTACCGCATCCCAGAAGGTCAAAACAGGCTGGTCCGAACGCTGCCCATCCTCTATTGCCTATCCGACCCCCGGCTTCTCGTTGCTCTTCTTGTTGCGTTCGTCCAAGCGGCCTTACTCGCCACGTTCGACGCAACTATCCCCACCGAAGCCCAGACACTGTTCGATTTCGATTCGTTACAAGCCGGCCTCCTCTTCATCGGCCTTGACCTTCCATACCTCCTGCTCGGCCCCGTAGCGGGCTGGGCGGTGGACAAATACGGCACAAAACCAGCCGCGGTCCTGGGCTTCGCCTACCTCGTCCCAACCCTGATACTACTCCGCCTACCCTCCTCACAAATCGCCCCCAACCGCACTACCAACGTCGTCTTATACTGCGCCCTCCTCGCTCTCAACGGAGTCGGCCTTGCAATAATCGGCTCCCCGTCCATCGTCGAGGCCTCGGACGTCGTACAAAAATACGACAAGGCTAACCCGGGCCTCTTCGGTCAGCACGGACCGTATGCCCAGCTTTACGGATTCAACTCCCTGGTGTTTTCTGCGGGATTAACGATTGGACCGGTCCTGAGCGGGTCGCTGAGAGATAGCATAGGGTATGCCAACATGAACGTGGTGGTTGCATGCACTGCGGGCATTACGGCCATGTTGAGCTTCCTGTTTGTTGGGGGACCGCCGAGGATGCTGAGGAAGAAAGCGGAACTGAGGGAGAGATAGAGTCTTTCAGATGACAAAGGCAAGGTGAAGCAGCGGGCGCAAGCTATGGATTAAAAAATTCCATTCTTTTTACTTTATGCTTAGAAAACAGTGTTGAGACTTTCAATAAATATTATTGCTTTTGGTTGGCATTCTTCGGAGACACGCGACGCGAACCTAAACTCGTCGCGAACAATTTTTTAAGCTCCCCAGATGCCGTGGTCTCCAGGTCCCTCGCCTGTTCTAGACATGCAAGCGGCTTCGGATCTAATATAAGGCCAGCCAGCCAAGCTTCCATTGATATGTTGCTCGAGAGAGGGAATCGTGTTGGCTCCCCCCCAAAAGATCAGAGCCAAATGACTTATCTAGGTCGTCTTTGAAATGGGCCCCTGGCCAGCGCGGGGGTAGAAGCTCCCCGAGCAGCTTGGCACCGTCGGGACTCAGGATTGCACAGGCCCTCTGGGAATGAAAGGTTGCCAATGCGATCCGAACTGGAGACTCGACCTTTTCAGAAACAGGAGGTCCAATGGAAACCACCAAGCCATGGCGCAAACACGTTGTTTTCCGCCATCAGTATTCCCACAAGTTCCAATCATCTTCACTTGATGGAATGCTTGGAAACGTGGCTGCGGCAGTTAGGCAGGCATCCATGCTTCCGCACATGTATTGGTGGGAAGCGAGGGCGAGTTGACTGCTATTATGCGGTACGTCCAAATCCGCATCGAGGAGCTGGGAACGATAAAGGCCCCCAACGACCTCGAAGGAAGGAGTCTCCTCCCTTTTGATTCGGTCACGCTCGAATCGCAGCCAATGAAATCGAGGCCGCCGCGGCGGCCGTTCTCCATTCTCGATACACCATTCAGCTTCCTGTTCCCAGTAGTGCCATCGGAACAACTCCTCCATCAGAGAATTCGATTCTGCGAAATGTCCGGTGTGCTGCAGTATGGAAGCCAGAGGCCACGCAGCCCACCAAATAATGAGGCTTTTGACCCCGCGGGTTAGAACGCGGATGTCTAGAACCTTCCGGAGTTGTTTCTCTGCGCTGAGGGGATCTTGAAGACGGAAAAGAACCATTGCATGTCGGGATAGGAGGGTTGAACGAAATAGTTGCAGAACGGGCCCATGGAGTTCGACATGAGATTGATCTTCTTCTAAAAGTTGCGTCGCACTCATGGCTTTGCGGTAGCATTGCAGCGCTTCTTTGAAATGGCCTAGATGCGCATAAGCCCTAGCAGCGATGGACAAACAATTGATGGTCAGGAGATCATGGCGACCCATCATCCGCTCACATACTGGTAGGCTGCTGGTCAGTAGCCTTAATGCGTGGTCATAATCGCCTTTCCACATTGAGTGCCATGCATAGAGGTAGCCACTGACGAAGAAATTTGGATGCTCTCTGCCCCAGACTTGCCCGATTTGTGTGTGTGACCGTCCTAGTGACTCGCCATGCATTTCCATCTCCTCGAGATCATTACAGGCCCAGGCCAGAGCGTACCGAAACGGCACCTCATATGTGAAGCTCTTTCGCATGGCAGGTTGGGAACTGATGACAGAACAGCTCACGGTAAGGAAATCTGCCAATTGCTCCATTCGTTGAGTCTGCCCCAGCACCAGCATTGTCCAACTGAGACATGGCAGGATGAACTCGTTGTTGTGCTCCAAAGCATACTGCAGTATTTGCATTGACTGAGACTTACGATATTCGAGGATGCCCTCCTGCAATTGCTCTGAAAAACATTGCAAGTAATACGGCGCGGCCCATTGGCTGGCGCTCAGTTTATGATCCTCCTCATGAGGGCCCTGAAACGAACATACAGGGTGCAAGTAGACTGAGTATTCGGGTTGCTCATGCTTGATACCTTTACAAAGCGATCCGATTGATTCGCTGAAATCGTAGCTTTGGTGATCATGGGGTGGTTGGCATGAACGACATGCATTGGGATTGAAGATTGTCCCAGGGGGCGAAGCAAGCACAACTGAAGCTGCTCCTGAAGTCATAGAATAGGTCGAATATGGAGGGAAATAAAACCCGTTTTCGACTTGGAATGTCTCAGGAGGCGGGCTCGGCGGCCAGCGAGCTGGGTCCACCTGACACAGCGCATCGCTGGCGTTGACCCTGTTTCCCTTGTCGTCCGGCCACGGAACTTCGACGGAGGGGATTGGCTCGAGTGAGATCGGCTCGAGTGAGGGTATCTGGAAGTCACACATTGCCCCGGTCTCGGTCGGGGGCGAGGCTTTTTCTAGACTGCCAATCTTTGGTGGTGTGTATATTATTGGAGAAATATTCGGAGGCGATAGATTCGGAGACGATATACTGGGAGGCGATATCCACGGAGGCAATAGACTCGCAGGTGACACGTTCGGCGGCGATAAATTATGAGGCAATAGACTCAGAGGCGACATATTCGGAGGTGATATATTATGAGGCGATGTGTTTGTAGGCGATATCATCAAAAGAGACCGAATTTGATGTTCCGGCTCGTCTGAAGTGCTGTTGCAGAGCTGCCCGGGTCCAAGTGTTGGGATTTGGAAGTCTTTATCGTCTTGTCGATTCAGAAATAATGTGGGAGTACTCTCGCAGTTCGTGAGCATGTCTCTATTTGACGCAGAGCGAGGCCGGTGTGGTAGATCATGCAGGTTTGCATGCCAGGACGGTGGCGGGACATATAGCTGCATGTGTCTGGCGGTATCTGGGTGCATTAACAGCCCAAGATCCTTGTCTTTCCAGGAGATACCAGCAAGTCTCAAGGTGTATTCTGCTTCGTAAAGAGAAGGTAGTTTGAAAGACCCTCGGTGCCGTGAGATGTATCTTTTCTTGATTCTTTCGCATTCTTTCTTGACCTTTTGAGCGTTGTAAGTCACTCGTTCTTCCCTTTTGGGCACCTCGAAAACAGCCTCTCCCCCCCGAGCCTTCCATGTGTCTGCCACCACCAACATGGCAAGATAATACTGGTGGGGAGTTTTTTTGCGCTCATATTTCCATTCGTTCAGCCGGTTCTTGATCTGCCTCTGGCTCACAAAAATACTGCGAAGACGGAGTTGTTTTTGGATATCCTCGCACGTCTGATTCTCCCATAGATACCACCTGCGGATGTCTGATTTCAGAGCCTCCCATGTCTCCCTGGGAGGCTGCGGGGAGCGATCGCCTACCATTGGGTGTTACAAAGCTTTCTGAGATCCAACCAGGAGGTATCATTACAGTGTGATGAAGGCCACCGTTTAGATATTGAGGAGATTGTGCAACGACGCTCCTCTCTTTGGCGGGAGGGTGTTCGGGCAGATTGGGAACAGTCGCACCAGCGGCAGCGATCACAGAAGTCCGAGAGGCACACGACTGTGTAGGCCAGGCTCTAGAGGGTTCCGAGTTCTGCTATTCGTCAGTAAGGCTGGCTCTTTTGGCAATGTTAGCATTGCAACAGGCAGGGACTCGGTAAGGTGATTTGGCCGGTACTCACTTCAACCAACGGGAAAGGTATGAGCGCCGATGGCCTAAAGGTCGGTGTTTGGAAACATGAGTGACGTCTCACAGCTCGCTCTCTCTCGCGCTCTCTCTCCCTCTCCCTCTCTTTTCCTCCGTTTGCTCCTTGCCTCTCTCTGTCTGGTTCTTTCCCGGCCCTGCTCTTGGTCCGGTGTATGGGTGAGGAGAGAGTGTCTGTGTGCATGTGAGCGCTGTCGGCTCCACAGGCCTGCAAGAGAAATCTGACTCGTCAGAAAACGCTGCAGAGGAGTGACCAGGATGTGACGTCTAGGACAAGGGCCAGTCGAGGGAGCAGAGAGCGGGTTGAGTCCATTGACCTTCCTCGTGATGCACAGGCCTAGCTTGCTAGCTTTGGGTTAGATCACTTCTGATCACTTGTACTTGCAGGTAGAGCGAAATGCTGTGTAACTTGCCCTTGACGACCACGGCATCCTCCTCCGGAGCCAGATGGTGGGGGATCGAGACCGTCAACCTATACAAGATTGGACTGGGCGAGTCAGCCGTAGCAGCTTTGAAAGAGAGACCGTCTGCGGCGAATCGGGCAGGCATCAAGAGAGGAAGAGGTCGGAGGTTGGAGCATGTGGAAAGTGACAGGTCACCTTGCGTCCTCGTCCACCCCGGGCATACCCAGTATGGCCTGCAAGGTGTCCAACGAGCCAGCGAGCCAGCAAGCCAGCAAGCCAGCAAGCCCGAAAGCCAGCAAGCCCGAAAGCCAGCAAGTCACATCCCCATGCAGCATCATATTGGTCGCATAATTCGTTTCCTTTGGTCTGCATGAGCTATGCCACCCGGGTGGTGCTGGGGGAATTGGCCAATAACGAACAAACTAGTGCACCACTGCGGTGGCTGCGTTCGGTACTGGGTAGTTTTGCTGGTGTTGCTAGGGAGCTACGCAGCTAGTCATGCCGCCACCAAACCAGTGTCCTCTGTCCGCCCTGCAGGTGCCAGGTGCCAGGAGCCAGGTGGGTGAGAAAACAGAGCGAGGGCGTGTCCTCCTGCTGCAATCCGTGGGTTCATCTTATTTCGAATTTGACATTTGTCCTCCAGGGTTGGGCATCATTTCCCTGTACACGGTACTGGTGGTTGGCTGCCTGAAGAATGAGGCCATTAGTCTCGCCAACGCACCCGTTTCTACGGCGCCCGTTTTCATGGTATGTACTGTGTAGGTACCTCGTACCTCCGTCCCCCACGACGCGACTCAATCCGACTCCTCCCCGTGGCTTTGCTCCTTGCTCCCACTCGCCTTGATTTCCTCGCAAGAGACATTCTACCCTCCTTCGCTCCCGTGTGACTTGTGCCTAGTCATGAGTGGCACTTACCAAATGGACCCTGGGACCGTCGACATGTCCTGGCTTCGAGAATTCGGATCGGGCCAAGGAGTCGGATGGGCCTGACGAGGGGCGACCGAAGCCGCCTCGATGCCTGTGGCGAACGACTCCTACTGTTCCTGGTCAATATTCGGCTTTGCAGTTCCAGCCCGATCCACTCTTCTCGTCGTGGTCCACCGGACTCAGTGACTGCCCGTGATGGCGACCGAATCCTTTCACCATCAACCTTATCCCTTTCTAGGGTACGAGGCCTCGGAATTCTAAAATGCTTTTTGGATGCTGTTTTGTCGGCTACACCCTGCCCTACAATGCCACTGTGTCCTAGCTGCATCTTTCGGTTGCAAAGTGTGCTAAGAAAGACCCAAAAGCTGGTGCATTGCGCAAGTACGATGCGAAAGGGCGGTTACGCACGATCTGGCAGAAATCTAGCGTCACGTTTCTCTCCTCACTTTGGGTACCCGGTGCCGTCACACTGGCCTTGTCGTTGTTGATCATCTGGATAATGTGTGATACATCGGTTCACGGCGCATCTGCCTCGTCCGTGATGAACCATTTTCCTACGTCCCAGCCGTGTGGACCAGCATGGAGCTCACCAGTTAGATGGTACTTTAGGGAAGGAGGCTGTGCCTCACTGCCATAACATGGTGTCGACGCCCAACAAGAGGTATTCAGTCACAAGACTCATGACCGGAGCAAGGAAGCTTAGACTCGGATATAAATGACATTTGCGTATTCATTTGTAGATTGCCCTTCGTCAAGAGCCTGTTCCTGCTGCCTGAAAATAAGCGTACGTCCTTTGCTCCCACCATCTGGCTTGGATCGTCGGTTATGCGGCCTCCTCTTCTCAGGATAGGCCGCTTTGGAATTCATCCAGGCACCGTAGGCTGCAAATACCAGGTCGGACGGTCTTAGGCCTCCTTGCTCTCTGAGATGGCAACCAACAATGAAATGATTATGTCTTCAACATATCCCAGGTATTGATGGCTCATCTGAAGGTTTGGGCGGTGGTTTGGGTTTGGGTTTGGGTTTGGGTTTGGGTTTTGGAGGCTTGTCGCCTTCGCTGAAGCGTCCACGGCGTTCATCGCGCGTCTCAGCGCGGGTGACTACTTCTGAGTTAGAACTTATAGTGATAAACAGCGTCGTTGACCTTACCGCTTCCAGGAGCAATTCTGCCATTGTTGGCAGATGTGGACGTGCTGAGCCTAGCGGCTCGATTTTCAACGGCTTTAAGGGGGGTGGTCAGCAAGTTGAGGTAGTACCGCTGTATAGCTCAAAGTCAAATGATATCGTGCGTCTGGGTTGCACAAACCTGGGGCTAATGTGCGATCTGTGTACATGATGAAAGATTGATTTTAGTCCTAGCCTTGCAAGACCCGTAGTCCTAGAAATAGGTGGTCAACACACTGAGATTTGGAAGCAGTGAGCCAAGTGGTCCAATTGACGGGGGAAAGCCAAAGCCTGAAAGAAGCTGAGAAGGCCGGAGGAGGGGGATGTCAGCTTTAAACGGGGGCTCGTGGCATTTTCCACTCAGCGGCATTGACTCACGGGTCTGCCAGCGGCTGTCTGTCATTCCAGGGTATTGCTTTAGCGTAGGGGACCGCCAAACCAGAGCGTCTTGCAGGGGGGAGGGTTGCCGTTGTGCAGTCATCCCTCGTTGGTTCTTGATCTATGATACCCTTGGGGCATTGAGCATCTGTCGGCAGTCATGGTGGATGCGAAGACTGACGAGTCATGGAGTGTGTCTGACCCATTCCACGGCTGATCGGTTCATGCTTCCCTCCAAACCTGCCTCTCAATGGCTGCGGATGGCGGAAGCATTGCAGCGTTATCTGCGATGCTCTCACTACCGCCGCCGTCCAGCTCTGATGGGCATCTTCCGTGCATGTGCGCAGTGCCTTAGAGCGAGCAAGGTCTTGCCGTCTCGACAGCTGAGCAGCGACACTAGTCGAGGAGGTGAGTCTACCTCCGAAAGTTCTTGTTCGTACGTAATGGCCACATCTGATTGAATTTTCTGAAGCTCCGTGAATAAGGGAGGTGGCCGGTCCTAGGGCGCAGAGCCGCAGCCATTCCGTGGTTGGACGTCACATCAGTCCTATACCACGACACTGAGATCACGTACCGCAGGGAGCACGCAGGATAACTGCCAACCGTTGAGCAGTTATTGACTCTCTTTAACATGTCTCTGCCACAACGGGAGCCTGCCTTTTCACACAAGTCAACTCAAAATTCCCCGACTTTTTTGAGTGATCTTCCCGTCCCACCACAATGTTGGGTTTCGGGGACAGCCAGGGAAAGGTCGCGTTTAGCGCACGGAAAGTCTTTCTGCGTTTAATCAAAATATATGTACGGTAGAACCCTCATTTTGCGGGTACCGTAATGTCGAAAATCGGTTTCAACCAGGGTGTTGTGCTCAAAAGGCTCCGACGAGGGCTGGGATTCACCGACTACCGTTGCTTTGGTGTCAGATGAAGCGGGCAGGTCAGGCAGTTGACTCTGGCCAGAAGAAGCATCCAAGCTTGATTGCAGAGGTGACATCGTTGTCAGTGTCATTTGCCCGTGCATGTTCGCCCGGCCACGAGTATCTTCGTGCGTCCTTGGCCCTATCCGCTGGAGCATGGCACCGCGATGCCAGATACCTTGCAAGCAGAGCGGATGGGCCGATGCAAAATGCCGTGAGGGCGACGTTCAAGAGCCCTTACTTGATGCAACAAGAAGAAGAGAGACAGCACAGAAGGAAGAGGGAGTGATGAAGACGAAATAGAGTTGGACGGACGCGGATCTGGTGCATCGGGGACGGAAGTGACCGAGAACAGAGCGGCACTCACTCTTGGGACTGGCAGCAGCAGGCACCCGGCGAGCGCAGGGAACTAGAGGCGAAGAGCTAAACGCTGAATCTGCAGGCTCACCAGGTCTCAGTCCAGTCTCTACCTCGTCCATGTCCTGCATCCGCCTGAAGAGCCACCTACAACGCCTTGCGAGCTCCAGGCCATGGCGCCAGCTCCCTCCCCTTCGACCTTGACCCTCTATGGAGACGACGCTTCCCCCCGTTCGAAGCAGCATCCTCCCAACGAGCCCTCTCTCCCCACGGCCGAATCGTCTGCAGGCCCAACAATGCGTGCTGACAGCCCCGGCTCCTCCCCCTTCCAGTTGCCGCAGGGTGGACGACACCTGTCATAGCTCGACGGGCGCAACCGTTTCTGCGTCTAGTGCCCAACAGAGGCTTCGGGGACAGCGCAAGAGTCGCACTGTGTGCATGAACGAAGCCAAAAGGGGGTAAACGTCGGCGTCAGGGACCGATTACCTACAGCCGAAGCGTATCATGTGAAACGAGGGAGATCTACTGGTCGCTTTCTGGCCCAAGTCGCCAAATCGAGAACCCTGCTTGACCCTCCTACGAACCGGCAATCAACAAGCTGGCCTCTGGCTTGCTTCTGGATATCGGTTAGGCCCGGTGAGGACGGCTGCCAGCCGCGCCAGCTCATTTCGAAGCTTCATCTGCACCCTGCGGCAAGTGCCAGGAAGCTGAGCCTGGCCCTTTCTATCTGCACCTCGTGCAGACGGCCGGTGCTGCATGCCTTGAGTTGAAAGAGGCGGTCACAAGCCCTCGCCTATGGGACACCCCCCGGGTCAAGATTCTTGATGCCCCAGAGACCACCATCCCCTCCCCCGAACCACTAGTTAGACGTCGAGGCTTGAGGCATGATCCCGGATGGAGTTTCCAGCTGCACCCAAGCACATGCATCCCGCTCTTGAAGGATGGTTGGCTCTACACCATCAACGCCAATAATATCGGCTGTTGGCGCTTAGCATACATAGGCTGACCTCAATTTCCTTCACACCGGTCTCACCAGAAGCATGCTAATGCAGCGATACCTCTCCCCATCAACAATATCATCAAATCCAAGCTCTCAGATCTTCTGCAATACTCTCTCAGCAAGGCCACGTCACAAGGGAAGCCCCTTTTAGAGACATTGATGACTCTTCGACCCTGGAGAATTTGAGCTGTTGGTCTGATGGTTCTTTTGGCCTCCACAGGCTTGCAGGTACCCGGCGACCAACGACCGGTGCCGCAGGGGTGAGTTGGACCGCAAGGGTTCGAGCGAGCATGCCTTCTGAGTCATTGATATGAGAGATGCTTATCCCACGACGAGGTCTGTATTGCAGTAGATTGGGCATTAACAGGGACAACGCGTGACAACTCTTTGTTGCTCCTTCTGAGAATGTTCGGCGGATTATGGGAAGCTGTCGACATGCTTCATGTGCGTTCTTCGATGAGTCCTGGGCCGTGATCTGCACGAGGGCAGCCAGGGGGAAGCCTCTACTTCGCCGGCATCTGATTACAGTCTCGTCTCTTTAGATACCCTTGTTTCATAAGATCATGCGATCATCCAGGTTCTATGAGTAGATTGGCTGACGGGGCGGACATACTAGCCCTCGGGGCTCATGTAGCTGCTACTTAGTACTTCAAGTCGTACGCATTCACTATGGAGTACGGAATAGGTTATACCTCTTTGCACCATTTGGTCAAGGTCTCACCCGCGCTGGCGGCACCAAACTTTTTCTTGATCACCCACGCAATCTCATCAAGAGTCACATCCACCCTGAACATTCTGGTTGTTATGCCATCGCCTCCTAGCCTTTCGTCACCCAGCTTTCCTGCACCGCCAGCGTTAACCATCCCCGAATGCGGCACGATCAACTGCCACTGTGCCAAATCCTCCCACGCGGCTCTTGCGGTGTCCTTGCTCCATGATCTTAGACCTGTGCCGGTGAGGGGTCCACCGGCCTTCGTGAACGAGAACGACGACGAGCGCTGAAGCTTGGAGCGGGTGAGCAGCTCGGTATACTGCTTGTGGACGAGGGTGAAGTTCGTGGGTGTGGCGTCGTAGATGGTCTCGAGACGCGCGGCAGAGACGAGGAGGGATAGATGGAGGATGGGCAGATGCGAAAGGATATTCAGCAGCGATGGCGGCGAGATTGTTGCGTCGACGATATTGGGTGGTGAGTTGTGGGACTGGGCACGGTTATCGACACCAATTTCCTGTTCTGCGGGAATGGATAGGCTAGCAATCGGGATATACAATGCCGCTAGCAGCTCCGGTACGGATTTCGTGCTGTAAAAGATTTTCTTCATAAGAGCTTGGGTGGTTGACGCTGGGAGGACTTGAGTCTGAGCAATTTTACAGGTCAGTCAGGCTTCACTCTTTTTCTTTTTGGCTCGAAAGCTATGAGGGAATGTGGTAGGGGCACTCACCTCGATATACGCATTCCATTTCAGCCTCCAGTCCAGGTCCTCCTTTGTGACTCCCAATGCCTGCTTTCCCTGAACCGCCAAGCACAAAATGCCTCTCACCACTTCCTCCAACGCAACGAGACTCTTCACGCTAGGAATATGCAACCAGCGATGGCTGAAGCGACTCTTGACTCTTTTCTCCAAACATTCGACGACATCCATGCGCGTGGAGCAGCCAATCACCGCTATAGGGGCTTTCCTTGCTTGGGCGATGTCGAAGAGATTGTAGAGCAATGTTTGCCGTGGGTGGGTGGTGAAAAGATCAAATTCATCCAGGACGAAGATGACGCTTTTCGAAGCATGGTTCACCGCTTCAACATTCCTTTCACCCTTGCTGTCATCGAGTATCACGGAATCTGGATCGGCGGCCAGCTCCTCCGGGTGACTCAACAGACTCAACAGACTCGCCATCGTATCAGCATAACTGCTCACCTCTCCCGTTTCATCCTCCGGCACTGCCATCTCTCTCCCAAGCTGGCGCCATATTTCCCTCAGTGCCAGTTTGTCATCAGTCTGGAAGAACCCGTTTAGCTTGACTACGTGGAAATCGCCGCCGTGTGTTTTTCTTAGGTCCGTCAGGGCGTGTCGGATAAGGAGAGACTTTCCGCAGCCGCGGGAACCAAGAAGGAGGAGAGAGTTGGATTCGCCGGACGTGATCGTTGCAGTTAGGAGAGCGTGGAGGGCTGTGTGTTGGGCCTGGAGATGGGAGGGCACGGGCGAAGGCGAGCATGAGAGGGCGTCATTGTAGGTATCATCTATGATGCGAGAGAGGATCTGTAATTTGATGGCGGTGAGATGTGGATCTTCGTCCTCGGCGACATGGGTAGGGGTATTCCCAGATGGAGGAATGTCTGAGAGTTGGGAGCTTGAGATAATGTCATTCAGGTTAAGAGACTCTTCTAGGAAAGGTCCGTCGTCTTCAGGGTCTCCATCTCCCGAAGGTGAATATGCATGTTCGAGAGCATCTTCAAGTGGGTCTCCCTGGTCTCCTGCCGGCTTTGCCACTTCAATGTCGTCGAGATGCTTGGATTTCTTCTTGCTCGACGGGGCTATGTCCTTGAAGCCGAGTTGCTCTTCAATCTGCCTCTGATCGTCGTCCACAGTGCCTTCAAAAGCCACTGATTTCCGCGGTCCGGACCTGCCTCCCCGATCGTGCCGTGAGGGTGTCAGAATTCCTTTTGTTTGCGGTGATAAGATACTGGTCGAGGCGGCGACAGGCACTGGTTTGGACGAGACGGACTCGGCCTGGGTTTCCTCGGCGCCTCTTTTCCGTCGCTTAGAAGCTTTTATTGGTGATTCTGCGGCAGCTAATTCGAGTCTTCGAGAGGGTCGTCTTATACGTGTGCTCGATCGTGGGCGTGTCGAAGTCATGTTCTCCTCTTCCTTGTGTTCATCATCTGCGGCCGGCGCGTGGAGGTCAGGCCGCCGATCTTCGGCGCCTTCCTTTGCATCCTGATCAATTCTTTTGTTTCCTGCTGGACTATTGGTGGCCGCATTTGTCATGGGCTCTGCAATCGCATCTATTGCTTTCGTCCTGCGAGCACTGCTTCTTCGCGGTTTGTCCTCGGCAACTTGCTCCTCATCCTCTGGCTCAACGGTGTCCTCTTTGCTGGCCCCGGCTTGTTCATCTTCAATTGACAGGGCGTTCTGTTTCGGACCCCTTCTTGGTCCTTCATTAGACTTATCGGCCTTTGCCTCTCTTTGTATCTCTTGGACGGACTGCGCAGAAGACGAGGCCAGCGTCCGCCTTTTCGTAGCATATGTTCCTGTTCGGCGTCGCTTCGAGGCGCGGGGGGAGGGGTCGAAAGTGTCCATGGCTTGTCTCAATGGGAGCGAGACCAGACGTTGCATGGATCAGGAACAGTTCCGCAAATAGACGCGCTACGCGTCGGCATAGTTGCCGTTTCAACAGCGCGTCTTGGAGACTCTCGGTGTTTGACTGCGACAAGTGCATCTTTTCATTCTGGCGGCACCCCAAACATCATCCTGACCAACCTGACCTTGCCTGACCCATGGCAGCCCATGGCCAGGCTCTTGGGGCACCATTCCGGTATGTTGTACCAGGTATGCATCACATAACGTCTACAGAAGATTCACAGACTTTCAACTCAACCCGTAGTTGTCCTGATCTCGTCAGACAGCGCCTTTCTCCTCGCTCTCTACTGTGTTTGGGGAAACTCCACTGTCAGGCATGTCACCATTTTCGACCACTTGGATCCAACCTGCCAGGTTGCACCCAGCGAGCCCGGTGGAGCCGGGGTTCCAGCGAGTCCAGGCTGTTTAGGGCCTCAAGGGAACTTTGGGCGCCCGACAGTCTGGAAAATCTGGGGTATTGGGGCGCCAACGACTTCATGGCTAAGCGCCATCACCAGGTTCACCTCTGAGCAGCCGACAACGCTGGGAGAGAAACTTCAAAGGCACATGGTCCGGCTGAGTCTCACCTCGTCTGTGCAAGTCTCTGGAGCCAGCAGAGCTGATATCCCTCCCGAGATCGCGGTTGCGAGCGTTGACAGCGACCGAGCTGAAGGATTTTGGCGAAAATGAGCAGAGCTGGCGAAGCTTGTTTAGATAATTACGCCGAAGGCAACCCTCCCACAGACATCCACACGCCTGGAAATGACCCAATGGCTGCCCTTTCGCTTCGCTTGAATCCCCCTGCGAGGAGCCAGGCTCATTCTCCTTCCCCAGCCATCCAACACCGTCGCTTTTTGTGGGGGGGCAGCCAGCCATCCATTCGCCCATCATTCCACCTTGTCAAAGTTCAATTGGCGCTCTCTGCCATCCACGTTGGGCATGACCTCTGCCCCGGACGGAGTTTTTTCTCGCATACTTGGAGTACAATGACACCACCTGACGCAGGCCCTGGGTAGCACACTGCAGACGCGAGATCCAAAACCCACTTTCCTCCCACATCCCTATTGCCAACCCTAAGGTTGCGTCCTTTCGACTGCTCTTCCCTCTCAACGTCTCCCTCAACGTCGCCTCAATTTTGTCCATGCTCCCTGCTACTTCATTGCAGCTCCCAGTATGCGAATCTAGCGTCTCAAACATCATGGTCTGGAACGGTTTCCTTCCTGCTTGGCAATGAGCGATGCAAGCAGAGCCAGCCACGACCCAGGCGGTGGTGGCGGCGCTCAAAGCTACAGAGCCTCCAACGACAAGACTCATCCCTCCGAGTTTCTCGAGTTTGTCACGGTCCCCGGACAGGCAGGTTCATGCCGGCTGGAACCTTTGAAGGTACAGAATGGGCGGGACGCTCCCAAATCTCCAGCGGAGGACCGAATCCACCTTACTCAGTCCAATGATGATCTGTTTCATGGCCTCTCCGCGGCGATTCCTGGTCTGCGCCGCCTGTCAGTCGATGCTCGAGCTGCCACGAAAGCCGAACATGCCATGACGTTCTTAAGGGGCTGTCGCTTGTATCCAAAGGCTATCGCGTGGTCGCTGCTCCTAAGCATGACTATCGTGATGGAAGGCTATGACTTGACCCTCGTCAACTCCTTCTTTGCCTTCCCGGTCTTTAGGCGATCGTATGGCGAGCTACTGAACCCCCATGCTCCGCCAAGCCAACGGGATTATCAGATATCACCAGCATGGCAATCTGGTCTTACCAATGCAGCTGTTGCGGGCGAAATTCTGGGCTTGATGTTTAACGGCTTTTTCACCGATCGGTTTGGTTATCACAAGACCATGGTCGGCACTCTGATATGGATGGCTCTGTTCGTGTTTCTTGCCTTCTTTGCTGTCGATATCAAGATGCTCCTTGCGGCCCAGGTTCTTTGCGGTCTGCCCTGGTAAGAATCCGGAATATCGTGTCCTTCAACAGATTCAATTGACCGGCAAACAGGGGGTGCTTCCAAACTCTTTCGACCACGTACGCAGCGGAGGTGATGCCAGTGGCTCTCCGAGCCTACCTTACGTCAAATGTCAATATGTGCTGGCTTGTTGGTCAGCTGTGTGGAGTGGCGGTTATCCGAGGTCTTGTCCACAATAATTCTGAATGGTCGTACCGCATACCCTTTGGCTTGCAATGGGCGTTCGCGGTGCCCATTTTGGCCGGCGTGCTCCTTGCGCCTGAGAGCCCGTGGTGGCTAGTCCGACACGAGAAAGTCAGTGAGGCAAAGAAATCTCTATTGAGACTTACAACCAAAGATTCCGACCCAGACTTTAACGCCGATGAAACCGTGGCAATGATGCAGCATACCAACGAAGTGGAAAAATACCTGAACGGCGGCGGGGTGTCATATCTGGACTGCTTCAAGGGAACCGACCTTCGACGGACCGAGATATGCTGCATGGTGTGGTGTACTCAAGCCTTGTGTGGTAGCTCGATGACTGGTTACGCTGCATATTTCTACGAACAAGCAGGCTTCGACACTGCCAGCAGCTTCAACCTAGCCGTGGGGATGTACGGTGGCGCAATCTGTGCTGGGATTCTAGCCTGGGTTGGAATGCGCAAGATCGGCCGACGCACATTGTACCTTTGGGGCCTGGCCTTGTCGTTGATCATCCTTATTGTGACAGGCACTGTTGGCACGTTCCCTGAAACCAACGGCACTTCATGGGCACTGGGGTCCTTGATCATCATCCTGACATTCGTGTACGACTTCACGGTGGGGCCCGTGTGCTATGTCCTCGTGGCCGAGATACCATCCAGTCGCCTGCGAGTCAAGACGGTGGTGATTGCCAGAGTGGCTTACAACGTCGTCAGCATCATCACCAATATCATCACGCCTCGCATGCTCAACCCCTCGGCGTGGGACTGGAAGGGAAAATCGTGCTTTTTCTTCGCCGGCACCACGCTGTTGTGTCTGGTGTGGTGCTGGTTCCGTCTCCCGGAACCGATGGGACTGACGTACATGGAGTTGGATATCTTGTTTGAGAAGAAGGCCAAGGCCAGCAAGTTCAAGGAGTTCCAGGTCAATCTGGCGAGTACGGGGTACTTTTCGCTCACGCAGACCAGGTCGGACAGTGTGTGGAGAGGATACCAATAGCGGTCATGAATCCAGCATATCCTCCCGGTCAGATGAGACATTAAACTAGTTGAAACGCCTCGCGTCGTCTTCTTCTTTGGTGACCTTGCCACGCAACGCCAAATGTTCAATCATAGCTGCATGCCATGCCCGGCCTTTGTTCGCGACACGCGCAATACGCACATGTTTGAATTCTTGGCACTGTCGCACCTAAAATAATCGACTGTTATCAGAGGCTAAGGGCCACAGCCTCACACCCCGCATCTGGCCCCTGAATTCGTCATGAGATACATCGTCGTCGTCGTCGTCGCACTCGTATGTCGGTAGTCGTAATCAGGGGTAGTGGCAGGGGTAGTGGTAGGGCAAGGGTAGACTGACGATCGCGAGAGGCGTCGCGAGCTAGATCTTCAGGGGGAAAAGGGCGAGGGGAGGGGAAACACGTACTCGAACCTATCGTACAGGAGGTAGGTGGTGTTGGTGTTGGTGCAAAGGTGGGTGGACGGGGGTTTGGCTTAAGTGTGGTGGATACTCGACGCGATCAACTGCTCATACCACCTACTTACCTACTCCGTACCTACTGTACTTCGGTAATGTACTGCTCCATAATGCTCCACAGGTACAGGTACAGTATGGAGCAACCTACTACTCCGTCCAAGTGGGTGGTTCCATACAGCCCTCGGAGAAAAAGACAGAACCAAAGTGGGCCGTTTTAGACATCGAGTTGAGTGGGAGTAGCAACTTCTCTGTTGGTAATATTCCGTACACTTGTATATGCCTACTCCACGCCAGGCATCATCAGAATTGAGAACTATACCATACCCGGAGCCTGCTTGAGGCAGGCTGCGATGGCAAAACCGCGGAAAAGGAATAGCAAGGTCAGAAATGCCATTGGATTCATTGCGTTGCGGATCTTTTTGTCCTCTCTATCTATATTTCGCGCGAATACTGAACAGTCCCCTTTTGCAACCTTGTGTCCCTGTGCCGGGTCTCCTCTTCTGATCTCCTTCTCCCTGACCAGTGCTCCCCTCACAAGGGGCCCCCGATGATCAAAACCCAGCCATGCACATTCGTCCATCAGTCAGGTTCTTCGATCGTAAACAGTCTGAACCGTTCCTCCGACAATAAGATGCTAGTCCCATTGGTGCCAGCCCTATGCAACCCCATATCACCCACCATTCTCAAGGGTCAACCTCCCTTGACTTTGAAGTATTTGTCCTTTAGAAATGTGTTCCCCGTCTCGCAAAATGCTGAAAAGGCCGTACAATGCAAGTCCCTCCGAGAAACGCCAGAGAAAATAACCCAACCCGAAGCCACCCATCCAAGTGTGTAAGAGACCAGTCAGTGTCGGTGCTGAGTAATCACAACAATCCCATCATCACGATCTTTCTCAAATCTCCCAGGTCCTTCCCACGACCGGCCATTCACCAAGCCTTCTTGTTGTTCAGCAGCACCGTCCAAGGTCTCCATATCGTCATCATCGAACATGTTCAAGTCGAAACGTTCCGCCGTGGAACTTGAGATCATATTCGCCGCCCACATCTATGTTTTTTTTCCGCCATGTTGACCGGACATGCCGAAGTGGTGTAACATTAAGTCCGGCGCCATCGGCCTTGTCCTCTCTGAAAACAAATGCAATCCATCCACGCCGTTTCCATGCAGGTATGTTTGCGGCTGAACCAGGACCATGCTGCAGTGCTGCTAGAGTCCGCGCAAGCAATATCCTCGTTTTAGGCCCAATGTTCTATATGCATTAAAGCTTTTCGATAACAAAAAGACGTGAAAAGGTAACCGTCGGTGAGGTCGAGCAGATTTTGGTGGTGTATTGGTCAGACGACAAAACGTTAGCGCGTAGGGACAAGGTTGTGACCAGGTTTGGTGGCTGCCTTCATCGATAGCCAGTGGAGTTCGGTTGTCCTATTGGCACGGGGCTATCGCTAAGAGTGTGGAGAGGTCGAAAGAGTTGTTTCATATCCAGCTCCATGGTCTCGAGTGCATAATTATCATCAATATAGGCCACACTGCCGGGTTCTTCGCCTCGTTGGGCACCATCGGTCCGACTCCATTCTCTGGCCTTTTTGAGCCCATGCAAAACTTGTCGGAGTCGATCATCTGCAGAAAGCTGCCAATCGCGAGTTCTGTTTGGCTGCATGAATGCACGAGCGAGCCAGTAAAAGTGTACACCATCCCGACAGAAGCCGATACGCCTCAGAACGTGATCGTCATTTCCTGGTGGATACTGCAGCGCATAATCTTGGTCCCAAGCTTGCTTCCACCGGGCAAGAGCGGAATTGATCGATTTGTACATGTTGTTCGCGTCTTCTGGTGACACCTTTGGTTTTTTGAGGCGTGTCATGGGGGAATCCGAGGAACCGAAGAAAAACCTTGAGCGCTGAACCTGCCATATTTCCACATGGAGCGCGTGGATAAGGATGAACTTGGAATAGACATTTGTGGTTCGCGGCTGCATAACGACGGTCGCGCTATGCAGAGCACTCATTGCATGGTGCATCTCAAGTTGTTTCAATCTGAGCGAGCCGCTCACGTTGATCCTCGCTTGGGCCTCCGGTCCACGAAGGCCGAGGGCTTGCGCACAGGTTTCGGCGTCTGGAGCTTCCCACGCAGCGTCGTCGCAAGGTAAGGGTAGTTTGATCTCGGCCGATGAGAATTGCGGGGCCACATTGAAGTAGATACACATGGCGGCATCCCATAAGAAGACCATGAACATTAACCGGGATCGTTTTTCCTGTTCCACCCAGGAACGCCAATCCCAGCGCCACGGTTGGGCTGTTTGGCCAGGTTGAAGGTTGTGAAGATAACTGTAGCTAAGACGATCCTCTGGGCTAGCCAAAGTTAACATGCCGAGCTGTCGAACGAGATACAATACGCGTTTACTCTCGGCGCGGGCAAGGGCTCTCTCGTCGGGACCTCCGTGCCAAACAAACAAGCTCTGGAGAATCTGTAACGCAAGGAGTTCTTCAAACTCTGTCTCCCCGGTCATCGACAACCGATTCCTTGCGACCCCCGGCTCCAGGTGATGTAAAAGTTGTGATGTTTCATCAATCCTGGATTTGACGAGCTGCATCAAAGCCCGTACCTGTTGTTGAGTAACGCGATCAGAGTATACAGCACCGCTGCAAATTATGACAAGAATGAGGCCGTCATAGGCGGTCAGGAAGTTGAAGGTGGGTAAATGAAGCCATGGAAAATGACCTTGAAAATTCGGGAAGAGATCGAGAAAATGCTGGATGGCTTCGACGGTCAGGCAGGACCTGAAAAATTCATTTTGTGGGTCTCGGTGCGATTCCTGTAACCCCCCAGGGAAAACAAACGTTAATAGCGAGTTCACCTTGGCTTGGAACAAGTCTTGCCGAGATGCATGCAGGTTCCAGAGAGGGGGTCCAAGCGTACCGTCAGCTCCAAGGCTCGTAGAGGGAATGTAGTAACCATTCGATCCACCTTCATGGGTTTCAAAGTCCTTTTTGACATCGTTCTGGGATTGGTCATAACCACCAAACATGGGGTTCATGTATCCCTCATTGCCACCTGATGGAAACATATGGTTCCAGTCATCCCCGATGTGATGAGGGCCAGGCATGACATTGCGCTTATCGTCCCCTCCACCGGGCTGCATACCATAATGATCGGGAGGTGTGGAATTGGAGTGATACATCATTTGGTTACTTCGGGGATTATGCATCGACCACGAGTTGTTGGGATTGGGGTCCATGCCGGTGGGTCCAGAACCAGGCTGCATGGGCTGCCCCGGACGCTGCATGTCGCCCGGACCGTTGGACTGCATGGGATAGGCCATTCCAGGGGCAGGGGCACTTGTGGTTGGCGCAGAGGTGTTGGGCATGGCAGCAGTAGTGTAGGGAGGGTTGGGCATCACCGCATTTGGGGTGGTGGCGCTTGCTGGCGAGGCAGTTGCAGCCTTTTGTTGGTTCTTTTTGATATGAGCAGCAGGATTGGACAGGTGGCTTGCTCCCGTTGGGTTGCCACGACGAACGGAGCATTTCTGAAAATGCCGCTTCAAGATATCACTCCTGGAGAACGTATCGTTGCATAACACACACATGTATGGCCGATCGCCCGTGTCTGCAAAACCGGCGTTAGTGTATCAAAACGTATCATGGGGGTCGAAAAGTCTTACGTCTCAACATGTGCCGCTTCAAATGCTTCGCGTGAAGATAGGTCTTTGTACAATTGGGGCAAGGGAATTTTCCGTCAGCATCTTTCTGAGGGACCGCGCTGCCCTTCTGAGAGCCATTAACTCCATTGGGCATCACTGGAGGGCGCCCTGGTGCACTGGGCAGAATGCCTCTTCGTCCTTGAGAGCCTACCACATGTGTTCGTGTCGGATCACGCCCAACATCAGTGGTCATAGTGGGCATCGGTTCGGAGGCGGACCATGCTTGCTGGCGACTGTCTGGCTGGCCGTATGCTGGTGCTAGAGGATCTTGACGAGGAGGGGCAGGAGCGAGAGGTTGAGGGTAGGCTTGACGCGGCTGCGGTGGCCCTTGATAAGCCTGTGCAGGCGGTTGTTGTTGAGACTGCTGTTGCGCCGGGTTATGGGGCTGCGGCAGCGCGGACGACGGCGGCAGACCGGCCATAGATGCTTGAGGGGCCATGTATCTGTTCTCAGGAGCTGGAGAGGGGATAGGCGCGGCGGTAGGAGCAGAGGTATATCGCGGCAGATCGTTTCGGTATTGTTGAGGCATGTAGTTCTGACTGGCAGGTGGGAGCTGCGGATAGTTGATGGGAGGGAGATGCGTGTTACTCTGATACGGCGGCATGGCGTAGGCTGAGGCCATGTTATTTGGATTGTAGGCAGCTTGAGGTGTTGCAACGTTGGACGATGTTGTCCTTGACAGTGACTGCCTTGGGTCCATTACCCAATTTCAATACACCAGTGGAGTCGACGAGCTCAACCGACCATTGGACGACAGAGCGCGACGACGAGGTACAGGACGAAGAGGACGCTCGCGTCTGGATGAAGCTCTTGGTCGAGGCCGATAACTTCAGTAAGGACAGAAAGGGTTCGAGTTGTTGGGTTTTTTTTTTTTTCTCTCTTGAATGGATTTTGGGGGGGGGGGGGCAAACAGGGTTGTTCGAGTATCCTGAAGAGTAAAACAAAAGTCTGCAAGGTACAGGGAAAGCCACACAGGTCAGTAAACGGATTAGCGGAAGGGTGGATGTCTGTTGTGAGCTGTCTAGACACGCGACAGGGCGGGTTGCGGCTGATCGAGGTGAGGATTGCAGGGGAGTGGTTTGGTAAAGTGGAGGAAGATGGTGGGTGGGTTTTTTTGGATGGTGGAAAAGAGGGAAGGGGGAGGGAGAGTCACGTACGGGATAGAATAGAAATTTTTGTTTTGAGGAACGCGCGAAAAAAAAGTACGAGGGGAGTGTTAAGATGAGGGTCGCCTGCTGGGTCGCTTTGGCCGCTTCTTTTTCGCCCCAGTGGCCTGTCGGTGACTTGCAGGAGGATAATGTTGTTGCTGGGTCTGGCGCGGCAGGGCAGACGGTAGATAGGCGGCAGGCGTGCGTGGGTAGGAGTGGGAGAAAGTGGAAAGTGGGAAGGTTTTGTGTCTTGGAAGCTCCGTAGGATGATTTTTTTTGGGTTGGGGCGGCAGATAGAAGGGTGGGTGGAGGGTGATGATGATGATGTGGTGTCCAGCTGGTGTCCAGGCAGCAGGTGATGGTTGGTCGCCGAAAGGGAGCGTTTGAGAGGCGAGAAGAAGGCAGAGAATTTTTTAACTCGGGAGGTGATGCCGGGCAAAAGATGGGTTTGGAGCCTTTTTTGGCTTGGCTTTTCCGGCTCCAAAGGCAGGAGATTGTTGTTTCGGAGGACTCGGCCAATCGCCAATCTCGACTCGGCGGTCCGTCAGTTGCCAGTGAGATGGCGAAGAGGGAGGGTTGAGGTGGGACTAAGCTCAGAGCAGCAAGTGAGAGGCAAATGGAGGAGCCATACGGCTTCTGGTGGAAGAGAGGGGGATGACGAGGGTGACCGAGGTGATGGCGGTGATGATACTGATGGATGAGGGAGAGGATGATGATCAGACGAGAGGAACACAGCAACAACAGTTACAACAGAGGCAGAGCATTCAGTTGATTGTTGTTGGGTGAGTTGACCAAGTGAGTTGAGTTGGTGAACGAAATGAATGAACGATTCGGTCAGTGCGCAGCGCAGCCGCTGTGACAGTTGGGGCCCACCTTTCTCGACCATGCGGGCCAATGATCCCATCATTTGGGCGACCCACCTTCAAATGTCGATCGGGGAGGGCGTTGGTGGCGGCAGTAGCAAGCAAGCCAGCGAGCTAGCAAGCCAACAAGCCAGCAAGTCCAAGCCCGGCCGCCAGTGGCCCATTACCAACTAGGGGCGCCAGGGGGGAAACCACACCACTCAAACCCCCTGTCTCCTGCCTGGTGTCCTCCAGAACACGCATCCAGACTAGGTAGGTAAGTAGGTATTACTACCACCACTGTGACATGCTACGTACTAGTATTACCCCCCCCCCCCCGGTGGCTGCTGCTGTTGCTTGCTGCTTCAAGTTGCTCTTTTTCATCTGGAGAATTCCCGAAACAACGAATAGAGCTACACCCCGACAAGCACAGACACAAAGCCGGTGCGTTCGTCTGGGATTTTGTAACCTCCTGAAAACCAAGACTACTCAATGTCATGCTCGTAATTGGATAAACAATGACAGAACAATGTGCATCTACTGTAGCTTGAAACCACGACCGATCAACTCAGGGTACCGAGTAGTATGTAGCCAGCACACAATGTTGTCAGAGCGCCAAGGGCTCTAGAGTATGAGGAACACGCACATCTTTGCTGCTATGTATTCCCTCAAACCGTGCTGTTGGATAATGCCGATTCTTGGGCAAAATCACTTTACGATCAAAAGACCAGAGGGACACAAAAAGGTCCTATGTGAGTACGAGTTCCGAGCCCCAAAAAAACGTCGCGCTTCCCTTGCCGAGTGGCTGTTTATTTTCCTTGTATTGTCGTTCGTTTGGATGCCATCGACTCTTCTCGGGTTTTCTTCCATGTGCTGTGTGCTGCTTTGTTTTCCTTGAGCACGCTCCGAGGTCGCATACGAATATCATTGCACAAAAATGGCGTGGACTTGTACGTGACCAGACAGGGGGCTTGATTGGGGGCAACCAGGACCAGCATTGGCGGAGATGAACGGAAAACGCCCCCAAGAGAATGAAAACAAGGTGCCCAGCGGCCGAGGGAAACAGCCATGGACCGGGGATGAGGACGAGGTTGAGAGGCACTACCGAGTAGACAGGGGTTGGCCTGTTCGGCCAGCTTGGACACGGTCGACCCAACCATCAGCCCGAATTCATCATTTGTTCGTCGCGACTGAGTCAGGCGATGACGCTGGCCTTCCCCTACCTAGGTATGTAGGCTGACCATTGAGCAGGTACCCGGTAATATCGAACTCGTCACCACCAACCTCGAACCCCTTGTGCCCACGGGGACAAGATCGCCACACCTGTTTACATGTGCTCGCACCATACCGACTATTAGTATTGCTGATTCCACGGTCCGAAGAAGAGAAAGAGCAACAGCATCAGAGATAGCCCAGCCAGATACCCCAAGACTGCTGACAAAACGGCCGCCTCAGCCGGGAGAAGCACATTACATCTACTGGTATTCGTTAGGTCCCGCATACGAGTACTCGGTACAAGTACCAAGGTAATCCTTTCGGAACGTACCTCTTGCTCGTTTTCTAAGCTGTCTCGTTTCGGCCTGGTCAGGCGTTGTCCGCGCCTCACCAGGCTTCGCTTCAGGCGCCACTCGGCGCTCTTGTCCGGCAACGCGGCGCTATTAGGCGTGAAGGCTGGTCTAGCGAACCCTGATCTGGTTGCGTTCTGAGATTGTGGGCGCCAAATCTGGTTCATTGCGTTCGCAATAACATTTACTACTAATTCCTTAAAGATATTCTTAAAGCGAGCAGGAGAGATGATGGCGGAGGCACTGCAGGCATCGGGTGCGGTTCGGCGGGATCTGAGTGAGTTGAAAAGCAATGTCATAATATTGCTCCTCTCACCAATCACTCGTCCAGGGTCTGGGACGCTTTGACGGCACTCGGAGCCTTTTGCCTCCTTCAGGTGGGATCAGAGGAGATGCTTGATGCTAGACGCATCATTGCCAGATCAGTGGACAGGTCAGAGTATCCCTGACCAGTCAGGAATTGCCAGCGACAGAAGCAGAAAAAGCGCCGGCTTGTCTTTTTGGGTTCTGAAAATTTCCCCCGAAGCTGTTCCGCATGCTTCATGGACACACAATTCGGCCTGGATGCAACATCAAATTTTAATCGAGTCATACCCCTTGTGTTTGGGATTCAGATGTCTGACCATTCTGAGACTAATCTTTTCCTTCTGAATTGGCTCTGTCCTCGACAGCGTCCCATTCGCCCAGGCACATTGGCGGTCGAACCAAGGCTTAACACACAACTTGATTTTCACAGCTTCCCCCCTGTTGTCCTACTTCCTTTTGCGATGACAATGGGACAATGCGTGTACTATTTGTGTGGGTGGCATTGATCGTGTCACAAACAGCCCCGAATACACGACTGTGGATTTTCTTCATGTCAGCGACCTTGGACCTGGACAGAAGAAATCAACCGTTGGTCTTGTGCCATTGCTAATGTCCCCTGAAGGTCACAGGCCATGCTGACCGTACAGGACCAGAGGCATTATGGTGGTAGGGCCTTGGGTCGAACATATGCACGACGCGTTTTGTCGTGTCGGAAGATCGCGGCTCTCCGAACCACCGCATCAGCATGGATTAGGACCTCGGAATTATGTCCTGAAAACGTATTGAGGCCATCTTTCAGACCTATTTGCCACGCTGACGGCAGATTCCCATTTGATTCAGCTTGAAAGGGAAACTAGGAAATCGGAAAAAGGCGTAATTTACAGAGCACTCTTCAGAGAAAGACTTCAAAACTGGAAACATCCCACCATGTCAGAATCCACGGTCAGATGTGACCCAGATACTTTGTTTTTCCTAGGTGTTTATGTGATCTGTCGTTTTACCTACCGGGAATCGCAAGGAGGGGGTGATTCAGGGCGGCTTGGTTTCACGATGACGGACAACACTCAAGGATTCGCGGCTTGGGTCTTTTCGAGAAGCAGGCAAAAGATCTTCCATGATTGCGACTCAGTCGCAGCTAGCCTCGTCTTTTGATTCGATGCCTGCTTCCTTGGGTCTTGGTCGGGTTTGTCGTAACCTGACCCGCTGTTGTCAAGACTAGGTACCTATACAACAGGTCGTGGCGATCTTGAAATCCAGACTTGCTCGGCGGGTGATTGAACTCTACTAGGGAAACTGCCTGGCCGTAGGAAAACCGTTGGAATAATGGACACATATCCACCTTTGTGAGCTCCGCAGCCCACGTGGTGAAGGGCGTACAAAAGCGCAAACTTCTTTCCCTGCTACGACCCGCTCAATGACGTCGCTGTCGTGGAATTCTCGGGTACGTGGGTGTTGGAACTTGTCGATTATATTTTATTGCCAGGGCTTCCTGATGCAAGCAGGGCTCTGTTTTGTTTAGACGTCCTGAGAAGTCGCGGGATAGTATTTCCAATATGTTTTGTGCTTAGAGACAACTTTGCCTCATCAGGCCCTCAACGTACCATTCCTGGCCGCGAGAGTCTGCCCCGTTTCACTGTCTCACTCTTTACCATCTCGGAACCAGCCACTTACTAATCTGCTGATCGGATATTTTCTCGATATCTGGTCTTTTGCAAGCTTAGGCCGACGAACTTGCGCGTGTCAGCCTTGTCACGGGCTACGCTTTGCTTCTACGTCTACTGTCTCCCCTCCGTACAGCCGGGCATTTGCCCAAAAGTGAAAGGCTATCAGTCATCAAAAACCAAATGTTCACGGGACACGCGGACGGTCGCCGGCATGGTTCCGCTGGTTTGTACGCGCAATTGCCCGAACCGCAGAAGTGAGCAATGTCGGTACGACGCTGATTTCCTAAACGAACCACTAACAATCAGACCCTATCTCGGTTTTGTCGGCTGGCCTCATTTTTCCTTGGACCGATGCCAGCTGGAACATGGCGGCGCCAACCCAATGGCAACTGCCAAGCTGACCACGGATTCCATCTTCCAGTCATGCCACTTACAGTGCACGGACGAGACCGTCATAAGGAAGTTGCATAACTAGCAAGGAGGAGCATGATCGTCTCTGTTTCGGCATGAACGAACTTGGATTTCCGAGGGGGTAATCATTCAACAGAACCGGACGCTGACCAGCCCCGGGCAGCATTACTGCCATCACTGCCAATCGCGTCCGCGGGACGAGCTCTTCCAATTCCCTTCCCCCTTGCCACAAGCGTCCTGGTGCCCTCGTACGTACCTCGTAGAAAAAAAAAAATGCAGAAACTCTTTTTCTCATTAAAATGCCCATTTTAGGCGATTTCACCGTTTGCCTTAAGTATGATTGTTATTACGAGTACCGATTACGCTTATCCGCAAAAGAAAAATCACATGCAAAACAGTCTATCAAGGGGAGACACCGAAAAAGCAAACCAAAACAAGGAGCTTCAAAGCCCCTATGTGCCCACCCCGTTACAGTTACAGTCCTGTTCTCGCTTCAACTAACCGAACACGAACCAGCGAACGGCTAATGCAGCCACAGGGACGGACAATGAAGATCAAGCCCACTATTTGCCCACTCTTTTGTGATCCATTCTTTCCAGAAGCTGTCAGGCAGCCCAAATGCGCCCCCATTTCGCGTCCGAGAGTGAACTTTTCTTATGGAGCCACAAACACACTCGATTTCCGGATTAAGCACGCAGTCCCCTGTCCGGAAAATGGCGCCAGGTTGTCGAGACTCCGACACTGGGCACATGATCCATCCAACTCCCTACAAGGACCGAGTACCCAGAATGGTTGAATTACCTAAAAATCGGATATGCCATCCGAAATCATGTGCATCCTCCGGGTTGAGCTCACAATCCATCATTCAGACCTTCATCGACAACTGAACGACTGCGTTCCTAAAAGGTCGTCATCACTGCCGATGGGTATGATGCCTTGTTTGGTACCTTTGGCTTGCATGTCTCCAGGATTTTACTCTCAGCTACTCTGAAGATGCCACAACTGTCTGTGCGCGGTGAAATGATTCTGCTCTTTTACGCCTGGGGCTCAAGAACCATGGCCCTTGCTCATGACTGTTAGACATCATCGTCATCTTTTACCTAACCGGCCATTCATCGCCTTATTACCCTGTAGGACATGACGCAGGTAGGTTCTTCGGCCTAAAGCGTGCTGCACAGGTATTTCGCGAAGGCGCCAATATAGCAGGACGGGATTTCTTCTGCGCACTTGAACCATCGCATCGCTACTCAAACTGCCTGTCCCGATGAAGGGTGCTCCGTCTATTACTACGAGGTATTCTCACCTGTCCTCTGCCTTGCCCTGCCCTCACTGAACATTTTGGCCAGGCTGGATCTTGGCAGGGGGTCCGCGTTGTTACGTCACGACTTCACCATCTGGCGCATCTGGTGGCCTGTCCATTGCCATTGCTTCAGCGCTCCGCCGAGATCGATGAATCTGCTCCTCTAAGATCTGAACCTCCCTGAGATCTCCCTTTCTTTCTCGATTGAGTTGAGATGCAGGTCTGGGGTTCGCTCTTTTCAAAAAGAGCTGACTTAAGCCTGGGCCGCACCGGTTGTGCAACGGGCTACTTCACTCTTTCTCCTCTGCGTGGCGCTCTTCTTTACTCCCAATTTGCACGCAACGTGATCGTCGAAACTAAGCATTCAAGGTCTTTGACAATGTCCAAGAGGAATGAACCAGCTCATCCTGAGCAAAAACACCCAAGCACCAAACGAGCCAAAGAGCTCGACGCGCACACCCCATACGACGAACTCAGGTCTCTCCTTGCCGCCCAGGAGTCTCCCAGTGACACCAGGAGAGTTCTACACTGGTTCCGGAGTAAGGACCTGCGCATCCACGATAATCGTGCGTTGAACGCGGCTTCTCAGTGGGCAAACGAGGCCCATGCCCCGTTGCTATGCGTGTACGTCAACTGTCCAGCGGAGTTTAGATGGCATGGCACTTCACCCGCCAGGACGGACTTCATCTTCGAAAATCTCGCGCTTATGAAAGCTGAGCTCGAGGCGTTGAATATTCCATTGGCGTTCCTGGAAGCGAGTGAACGTGACGAGCTCGTCCCAACCATTGTCGACTTTATTCGCGAAAATGATATCTCGCATGTGTACGCCAACTATGAATACGAAATTGACGAGTTGCGCCGCGACGTTAAAGTCTTGAAGGAGGCCACTGGTGGAAGCTCCAAGTCTAGAGGATTCCATCTCTCTCTGCATCATGACCAGACAGTCGTGGAGCCAGGCAGCGTACTTACAGACAGCGGGAAGGCCATGAAGGTATTCACGCCTTATCATAGGGCATGGCTCGCCGAAGTGAAGGCCAACCCAAGTGTGCTCGACACTGTCCCCGCGCCTTCAAAGAATTCCACCGAATCGAAGAAAGAGCTCAAGCGATTTTTTGACAGCCCTGTCCCCAGCCCACCTGAGGAGAAGCAATTTGCCAGTGACGAGGAGAAAGGAAAAATTCGCAAACTCTGGCCCGCAGGCCACGACGCTGCTGTGAAGCGACTCACCCACTTCCTCGACGAGAAGATTGTCGACTATGCGGCAACACGATCTAGCCCCGCAAAGAACTCCACGTCTCGACTCTCTGCATACTTCAGCGCTGGCGTCCTCTCCGTTCGCGAAGCCCTCAGTGCAGTAAGCAAACGGAATGACAGTTCCACTGATTTCTCAAAGGAAGGCTGCGATCCCGGCATGTCTAGCTGGGTCCGCGAGATCGTCTTCCGGGAGCTGTACCGACAAACTCTTCTCCAAACCCCTCATACATCGATGAATCTACCACAGAACTTGAAATTCGACTTTGTGGAGTGGGAGGAGGATGAGGAAGGGTATAAACGCTGGGAAGAGGGCACACTGGGCGTCCCCTTCGTGGATGCTGGTATGCGGCAAATCAAACACGAGGCCTATATGCACAACCGCTTACGCATGAATGTCTCGAGCTACTTATACTGCAACCTGCTCATCGACTACAGACGAGGAGAGCGATACTTCGCGGAGAAACTGATCGATTGGGATCTGAGCAACAATACGCAAGGCTGGGAACCCAGCTACACGGTGTTCAACCCTGTGAGCCAGGCCGAGAAGAATGATCCTGAGGGCGAGTACATTCGCAAGTGGATCCCAGAGTTGAAGGGTGTGAAAGGGAAAGCGATCTTTGATCCATACCATCGGTTGGACCCACAGGAGTTTGAGAAACTAGGCTATCCCAAGCCATATGTCGACTGGCACAAAACGAAGCAGCGGGCGATCGAAAGGTTCAAGTCGAACATGAAGAATGCTGATCCTTGAGCTGCACAGTGTCAGAGTGAGGTCTATGTTCGTCCTTTCCGGGGTTGGATATGGAAGTCTTCCTCCAGAATGACTGTGATGCGGTCGATGTCCTCCATTCTTTTGTTGATATCATTGTCCATGAGGTGGCCGCAGCGCCCATCCTGTTTGTAAACCGCCTTGTCTTCACTCTTGACAACATCAATTCTGACAACAATGGCGCGAATAGACCAACATGGCCGCGACGATGCCGCAGCGCCTATTGCAAAAATCCGCCGAGAGGTGTCGAGATGTGGTGATTGACGGACACCCACTAGAGCCTCCTCCCGTAAATATCTGTCCTTCTGGTTCTTTTCAGCGCAACGCTCCTTTCTGGCCTTCTTGTCGTTATATCACTTCATAGGCATCGTCGAGAACGTCAGACTGGCCTGGAACTGGCATCCTTCTGCGTCTCTTCGCCTGATATCGGTCGTCGCCGCCGGTCTGACCGGGCTTGTCGAAGAGAAGGACGTCCGCCTGGTGAATACGATCCTGCCTTCACTGCCAACGCGGCCGCCGCCTGCTTCTTCGTTCCACCTGCCTCTTCGTCCCGGCACAACAAGCACGTCCGGCTTACCTGACTACTCGAGAAGAAAAGACTCTAGAAGAAATCATCGCCAAGGAGCGGTTTGAGGAGAAGAGGAGATCATAGCCAAGTTGCCGTTTGTTTGTTGACACCATGTTCTTTCTATATTTATTCACACCAACGATGCCTTCTGATCTGCCGCTTGTTGTTAGACCGGCGGCTGACGAACTTCGAGCACAACTTTACCAGCTCACTGAAGTCGGAAAAGCCCTCCAAGCTGAAAGGGCCACTCTGGAACACCAGTTGAGAAGCGTTCAAGAGAGAATCGCGGCCAACGAAGGCAGAGTCCGTGCAATCATGGCTGACCTTGATGCAAGGATGTTCAAGGAACATCGTTCCCAGAGTCAGCCCCAATTCCAACGGAGTGTCGTTGAAGATGAGACTGTCATCGAGGGCATCCGCGCCCAGATGGCGCAGAGCCTTGGGTTGACCAGCGCGGTTGAGGCCGTGAGCAAAAATCAAGGGACGATTGCTGACAACAACCTCCTCCTCACCGCAATCATGACCCAGCTGAGTGGCGACCCGTTTCAGCTCGCTCATCGCGTTGCTCGTCGCATCACAGAGATTGATCGAATCAGAGCCCAACAGCGCGAAAACTTCCCTCTTCAACTCAACCTCACTTATCCGTCACCTGGTCAACATAACCTCACCTATCCCTTACCTGCCCTACCTGCCTTACCAGGCATCGTCAACCCCCCCTTGCCTCTCACGCAGGCCGCAGTTGTCGGAGACGTGAGTATTCGAACAACCAGAGAACCATCAGTCATCCCTCTGCTCTCACCTTCCATCAAATCCGAGAGTGACTCCACTGCAAATCCGCACAATGATACAAACACTCAACCGGACCTCACCGAAGCTACGATGCACGACGACCCTGCTACTGTAGCTCGATCGGTCGAGAGCACCCCGGTTCCTCGCGCGGAACAAAGCCAAGTCGTCGCACACGGAATGGCAGCTCTCCAGAAGGATTTCCCTGGACTTCTGGAATCCTTGAGCATACCCTCAATGACACGCACCAAACTGACCCCCACCAGCCCTGCGTCTGCTGCTGTTACTCCTACCGGAGCGCGCAGCAAGCGTGGTCGAGCGTCCATGGAAGCAGACGACAGCCCAAGTCAGGGTGCAGCCAAGACAGGCAAGAAGGTCAAGACTGACAAAGAACCAAGTAAGCCACCCCGTCTCAAGTCTCGATGGACAGTACTAACCTCGGAAAAGCTATCGCGCATACTTTTGTGAGGTACCTGACCCGCCTCGAACAAACGCACCAGTACGGTGGAGCCATAACTGAGATGCTCAAATGTGCGCGTTGCCAAGTGATTAAGCGCGACGTCCGGGTTCTCAACTGCCTCCATCTGTACTGCCATCGGTGCATTCTTAAACTCCGGACTGAAGCGTCAAAGGGGGACGCGGTCAAAGGATTCCAATCATTCTGCGTGAAGCCAGCCTGTACACAAGTCGTCAGCGGCAAGACCACTGTGATCGACTCCGACATCATCGACTTCTTGCAGTGGTACGACAAGCAGTCTCCAACAATCACCTCCCTTCCTGCACAAGTCAACGTGCTCAACGCTGCGCTTGTCAAGTACCCTGAGGACGAGGACATCAAACGCAAGTTGGACCAGGTGCAGGCACAGTACGGAACCCTTCTGGCCAGTGGTGAGGCGGACATCCCCTGTGACCTCATGCAAATTGCAAAGTTGGCCAGGAAGCCATACTGAACAACATCAAACAAATCGAGATGTGGACACACGGAGTGAGGCGGATGCGCGCTTTGGTCCCGCCATTGACATCTCTAGCAGATCTAGCATTGAGACTCGGGCTGAAAACATGAATTTCCAGCAATTCGGTCCCGGCGACAGTGGGTAGCAAAAGGGGAGTTGAGCTCGTGGTCGATAGCTACTGTCATTGAGTTTTTGCAAGCTTGGAAGGAACGGGCTTCATTATGGTATTTCATCCTCGGCGATCCGACAGCCATATCGGAGACATGCGCCCCAGTGCGCAAGCATGCCAGGACATTTGCATTTTTCGAGGAAATGGACTCTGGGTCAACAAAGGGGTCACTCGAGCGCCGATATTGGATCATGGATGGATGGATGGCTTCCATGTCAGGCACACACAGAATAGAGCGAGATGCAGCAACTACCAGAAGATCACTCACTGCCTACGTATTTCGTAGGTAGATAGGTAGAAAGATCCATAGGTAGAGAAGAGAGTTGCAGCGGCAGTCTCCTCGATCTAATCCAAAACACGCACCAAAAGAAACATTTGTATGTATTCGGTTTTCCCTGCTCTCGCAAGTAGTACGGCCAGTTACGGGTGGGATTGAACAACGAGAGAATCTGATATCTGATATGTATACGCATGCAGAGCGTTAATCAACGATGTGCTCAACGTGCCCGCGATGCATTTTTGTTCTTGTTGCTGCCGTTGCCGTTGCCGTTGCCGTTGCCGTTGCCGTTGCCGTTACTGTTACTAATCCCGCATCGACCACACCGGGCCAGCGAGCCGCCCTAGGTCCAACTCCTGTGGTCTGCTGTTTGGTGCACAAGATGAACTGAAGCTGGGAAAGCCGTGAGGATCGGATTTTGCGAGCGGGATGGGGTTTGCTTGGGGTGCAACGATGGCCCTTCAGTGGGCGATGGACATGGCCAGGACCTCATCCTTGTCTTTGTGCTTGCCTTTGTCCTCCTCATCCCGCAAGGGCCCTTCCCCCTCCCTCCTCTTGTCGAGGTTTTTCTTTTTCTTTTTACCATCCCTGCTTCCTCATCTTCCTGATCCGGCCCAACTCGCTCCGGAATCCCTCCATGAACAACTTGCGCCACCTCAGGATCCGTATGTTCTTTCTCCGCTGGCCCCTGCGGACGTGCTTCTCCTGGCTCCTCATGTCCTGCTTGACGCTGTTCTCGTTGCATTTGCGTTCCAACAGGCGGAAGCCTCGCGTCGGGTCGCCGTAGATGCCGTCCACCGTACGGCCCAGCGTTGGACGCAGGCGCAGCGTGATCGGCGGGAGCGAGGACGAGTAGATGTCTTCGTGCAGGTCGGAGAGGAGGGTCGAGGCGGAGGGCGTGTTGTTCCCGGTGCTGTTTGATGTGGCAGTCTTGGAGGCAGCAGCGGCGTTCTGGTTGCGAGCAGTCCCCAGCAGTTGGTCCCAGCGTGAAGCAACGGTTTCTTTCCTCTTGGACTCTGGAGCTCGGGTCTCGCGGATCAGATCCAATAGCTGGCTTCTCATCGGATTGGGAGAGGAGTTGTTGTTCTTCCTCGGAGGTCTGGAGCGCGACGGAGCTGAGTCCTGGGATCTGGAAGCTGTAGAGCAGAGCTGCCTCGCTTTTTCTCGCAGTATAGCTCGAACGACATCGTGAAGGGGTGACCTCTGGTAACTCGAGGAGATGAAGGGGCGCGCTGATAATCGGGGAGATAAAGCACAACGTGCGCAACCCTGCAGGGATTGAGACGTCTTCATTGTCGTTGATTTTCAAGTAGAAGGATCTGAAGAGGCCCTCGAGCACGTCGCTCGGACCAAGCGGCGAGCAAATAAGGGCGGGTCGATGGCCTGAGTGGGTGATGAAGCGTGTGGTTCATACAGTTCAATTGAAAAACAGTGACGGGACGCAATCTCAAAAGCTCGGCCGCGCAAAATCGCCAGCCAATCGAGTTCAAGCTTCTGCGGACCGAGATCCAACTCTTGAGGGTACATTTGGGTACCCAGTACACATGGACTTCCTCGATTCTGCACATCGCTTCCAGGTTTGGCTTCAGCCACATATTCCAGCAATCTACCGAGTACGGGGAGGGAGACGTTTGATGAAGTGTCCGCGCATTTGCTTTGACGCTTTATATCTGCCACAAACACTCAGACAACTAACCCATCGCTCCCACCAGTCTGCTGCGCCCCGCAGGATGTCTTCCAACTCGTCCAACCTGGTCACGCTCTCTTCGCTCAAATACGTCCACGCCACGACCCTGGGTCCTCTTCTGCTCGATCCCACCGAGAAGGCCAAGATCGCCATAATAGACGTCCGTGACTCTGACCATATCGGTGGCAACATCCACGGCAGCACTTGGGTCCCCCTGCACCAGCTGGACGTGAGAATGCCCGAGCTGCTACGGACGCTGAAGGACAAGGAAAAGGTGATTTTCCACTGCATGCTGAGTCAACAGAGAGGGCCAAAGGCGGCCTTGACATACGCGAGAGCGAAAAAGAGGGCCGAGGCCAAAGAAGCTGCTGAGCAGGCGCAGTCGCAGGAGAGAGAAGAAGAGGCGAAGGAAAACAGAATGGAATCGTCGCCACAACAGGAGATTTGCGTGCTGGAAGGCGGATTTGGCTCCTGGCAAGCACGGTTCGGCGAGGATCCGAGGCTCACAGCAGATTATCAGCCGGACCTGTGGTTCTGATCTTCTTCACACGAGCTGGCCTCTTGTTATTTTTTTCCGGCTGAACGTGGCTTCTCTCGACCTGCTCCAGATCTATCGGGCCGGCCTTGGATCGGGAATT